GCCTGCGTCAAGTGAGTTTGCATATCCCGATCTCAACTGTTACAATTAGTGCGGAGACACTTACAAACCAGGTTGGGAAAATATTTAGTCCAAGCATACAAGGATTATAGTCAAAGCGACGTCAAACTCGATGAGCTATCTCTTCGGATGGAGATATGCTGGCTCCGTATCTCGAGCCAGCTGGAAGTCACGAAACACCTTGAAACTGAGATGGATGGCGAACAGAAGGGTATCCAAGAACGTATTGTTTCTGTTCTTCGATCCAGGCTAGACGCCGCTGTGATCCTCATTTCAAAGCCCGATAAATATGCAAGCTCCAAAACCGCAAAGAAGCTGTACTTTCTAAGTCTCAGAGACGATCTCGAAGAAACGGTGGCTGAGCTTGAGTCATGGCAAAAGAGGTTTGAGCCTACTTGGTTCCAGTTAGTCAAAGCTACTCCGTCGACTACCATTAACGGCATGCATAAGAGCATATCAGCTGGCAACTTTCGACATGGCACAGAACCTACACTCGAGGCCGTGAAATTTCGCCGTGCTTTCGAAGACGGGCACGGACCCGTATTCATCGCGGAAAAGACTCTCGAAAGTCTAGAAAAACGGACGATCCCATACTGCTCTGCTCTGCTTGCTGTTGACCCGACAGAAGGCAAGTATCACATAATAGACACAGTCTCCACCAGCACAGTCAAGGCAAAGGACGCGCGAGATCTCGCATCTCGTCTACGAGACTCGAATCCGCTGAGTTCCGGAACCCTCAAGTGCAAGGGGATTGTTCGACAGCCGAAACAATCCAGCATGGCATTCATATTTCGAGTTCCAGACGGGTACACCAAAGTGCGTAGCCTACGCGAACTTCTCCTTTCCGGCCAACCGCCCGAATCTCTCACGATGCGGCTTGAGATGGCGCGTCAACTCGTTACCGCGGTCTATTTTGTTCATCTCTACGACTTTGTTCACAAAAACCTCTCTCCTGAGACCATTTTGAGTCTGGAGAAGGAGGGTGAACGAAATGCCACTGTGTGCCTCGTCGGTTTCCAGGTTATCCGCCATGCAGAAGCGAAAACGAACACGTCCAAAGCAGACAGGAAAGAGATACTATACCAGCATTCAGCACGCCAGGGAAGCGATTCAGTTGATTTTATAATGCAGCATGATATATACAGTCTTGGGGTGTGCCTTCTCGAGATCGGCCTATGGGAGCCATTAATTACCTATGGACCCGATGGGACACAGCAAACCTCAAGCATCATCGGACTTGAACAAAACGGATCGGAAACATTCACTCCTAGTCTTGTTCAAGAGCAACTAATCTCTTTGAGTCGAGGGAAGTTACGAGTTATAATGGGCGACAAATATAGCAAGGTGGTGGAGACATGTCTAACCTGTCTAGATGAGGGCAATACCGACTTTGGTGATCCTAAGGAGTTCCAAGATGAAGATGGCGTCGAAGTCGGCGCGAGATATGTGAAGAAGGTCATAGATATTATCAGTGAGATATCTTTTTGAGTATTGGGTGGATCGTTGCCAAGGGCTGGAGGTTTCGAGGCTAAGCGGACTGGTACCAAAACATCCAGTCCGCCACACTTAGATTCAAGTCATCGCCAAAGCCAATGTCGCCTATATCAAAGTGGCTGTCAATCGCGTCCATCGATGTAAACTCCGTAACTCTCTCGTCGGAAGGACCTTGCTCGTTGCTCAGTCCCTGTAACTGAGTAGCTTGACGACTAGCTGCCTGAGAACCAAGCATCACAATGAAGTCCGGCTCTGGAGATGAAAGAGTAGGAGGGTTCACCCTCCATGCGTCAAGTGTAGCCTTGACGATTAATTTTTGAATAGCGCCCTTGGCTTCGGCGACCTCCCTGTGATCCTTATAAAAGTTTGCCATCTTCTCCCATGTAGCGTCAAGCTCCGCAGGAGGATAGAAGTCAGGTCTAGCCAGGCTTGTTAGAATACACTTCAATGCATCCCACAAAAAGAACCCTTTTATTTGCCAGTGAAATTTTCTAGTCGATGGGTTCTTATGTATAGCGCTGTCGGTGTCAAGAATCTTATGAGCTAACACGCAAAGCTCCCTAAGTTTTGTGTTGTCGATGTCCTCATTTGCGCGCGGAGACATTCGGTTGCGAAGTCGCACGATGCTGGCAGCTGATCTCGCTATCCCAAGAGTAAAGAACTGGAGTGGACTAGTAATGTCACAGTATCGGAGGTAATTCATCTCGATGGTCGTTTCGACCTCGTCCATGAGGTCTTCGATCTCCTTCCCATTCTTGATTTCAAGCGAAGGGCCATAATTCCTTACTGTGACCCCTGTCTGCGCGAAGAGGTTCGAGAGCTCTGCTTTAACAAGGTAAAGTATCATCTCGGTGGCGCCCCTTTGGGCCTGAGGTGGTTCCTTCATCCCCGGGAAAATCTGATCATCGTTGATGTTGAGCGGCGTCTTGGTATCCCAGCTACCAGGGAGTATTGATATACCGCTCCCTGAAATCTGGCCCACTTGAGCATCGAGGGGAAGAAGCTGCCAAAAGAGCCTGCGTCGCATTTCCACATCGAAAGGACACAGCCCATCAACCTCGCCATCACGATGGATCCCCATGCGCTGTGCAATGCGGACTGCCACTCCAGTAAGAATCCAATACGTATGGGGGTCCATTTCCGTACGCATGATAATAAGAAACAGAACATAAGCTTGCAGAACAAGCATTTCAGTAGTCTGGAGCCACAAAGCATTGACAAGTGATTGTCGTACTGCTGCTTGGTACATGGCCAGCATGTCGGATCTCGATTGGTTGAACTCAGCCAGGCACTCCTCTTCTGCCATGGAGAACACAGCAGAGTGGTAAATTGAAAAGAGCAAGCACTCCTGGGCCTTGGAGGCAATGGAGGGCTGCTGAGAAATTGATTCAACCATCTTTGTTGTCGATGGGATGTGCAAAAGCTTGCACAGAGGGTCAACATTGCTAACATGTGCCGCCCATAACTTCATAGCGTCCAGATGGCTAGGGTGATAGGCGCCAAGACTCTGTGAGACGCCGAGGAGCATGTCAGATAACGGGTCCTGCAAGACTGTCGTGACACCTACGGAGTAACTCTGGCTGGCGAGAGCCTCTGCATTGTGGTCGCCGTGCCTAGCGAGCTCATGCATATCCATGTCGCCGGCATCAAGCCAAAGGCGACTTTTGACATATCGAGATTTGCCATTTCCCGAAAGCAGCTTTCCTTCGCGTGAAGCTTGAGTTGTTGAGTTACGAACAGAAGAACCGGTACTGATTGTATCGGCGGAATGGCCAGAATTCCGGGGCGATGGAGGCTGGTATGGTCCTGTTGCCGCTATTGGGACGGTGCTACTGTGTGAGGACTCGGTGACATTTGTGACTGCAGCACCACCTTCATGGCATATTCTCTCTTGGGGACTCGGACGGGGGCCATCATGCGCGTCCTCCACCGCAATCAGATCTTCTGAATGAACAGGCTTCCTTTTCCGCGGTCTCGGCGGCGGAGGCGCGCGGTAGACACAGTCCAAGTTCGCCTTGATGCAGCTCGAGCAGATAGGTGAGGCCCTGTCGCACTTGACCTTTCTTCGGACACAGGACTGGCAGGCATATGCGAGAGGTGGCAGTGCGAGAGACGCGTTCTCCCCCTGCTCCTTGGCACAAGCTGGAGCCTTGCTTGGCGCTGGCGCTATCACGACTGGCATCGCGCTTTGGAACTGGGTCAAACCGTGATGCACCGGCACAGAATCAAGTTTTGGCTATCGCTAAAATCCCAAGTCATGATTCGAGCATGCGGGAATAAAATTTCCATCGGACGCCACCACAATCACCCAAGGGGCCACGCCAGAGCAGGATGTTCTCCGAACCCGAAGAAAGGCATTGGGCTGTCCAGGCGTGTTGTTGTGATTCATCGTTCTCCCAGCTCAATCTTAAAATAAAATAATCTTACGTAACCATACAGACCAATAAGAGGCTTCCCATACTGCATAAACACGGCAAATGACGCCGCTAAATTCCGACAGTTTCCAGGAGCGATCAGACTGCCCAACAGGATTTTATCCCGCCTGCTTTACAGACAAAAGAAAAGCTCTAGTCTAACTTTGAACTGTTGTTTGCGTGGTAGTTTGATGGCATTAAAAACAGTTGCTCATATGTGCCCTCCTGAACGTCACTGGAAGCTCTTACATGAATGTGAAGGAAAAGAAGTTACAACGACTAGCCTTATGTTAGACGGGCAGTCTATAGAATGCCAGATAGACAAATCAATTTGGCAATCAAAACAAAAATGAATCAGGAATGAGAAATATATATATTTATATCTAGTATTTAGATTAGCTCTTTAGTTATTCTTCCTTCAATCTAGTCACCGCGTTGACAGTAGTAGGTGACTCCAGGGTATGTAGCAACGCTTAAGTCGTCCCCTCAATTTAGCCCCGCTGTCTAGAATGAAGAGACGCCATTACATAAGCATCATAGCTGGTGTCGGCTCAACTTCGGCTCAGCCATACTTGTTTGGGGTTACTTCAATGTGTGGCTTAGGCCTTCTGTGGCTGACGCACATCTCTACCCCGTTTCTAAGAGCGAACCCTGCTCTTAGAAGAAGCATGGCGAGTTACGACAAGAGTCAAAAAAAGAGAGAAGAAAAAATTGCATAAAATTAGAAAAAGGCTCCTAGAAATTAGGCAGTGTCGAGTGATGGTATTAAGGACGTCCCTAGAGCTTTTCATGCTCTTTTTTTTTTCAATTCTATCATAGAGTGCTTAGATATATATTGAAGGATTCACCTTGGCTAAGGCGAAGGAATTTCTCTTTTGGCTTAGAACGCTCGATTTGTAATTTATATATAGGAGGCTTTAAGGGCACTTTAGGAAACGATTACAGTTACAACTTTAAGCTTTCTAAAAGAGGAAAAGTATCTAAAATTCCTTTACCTAGATCCTGCTACTCAGACTGAGGAAATCTATGTTTATGTTATTGAACGAATATGCAACTATACTGAACTGAGACACTCTACTTTTCGATCACGTGGTCCCAGATGGCAGCTACTGTCTTCGAGGAATCTTTAGGGATTCGCTTGAACCCGTTCTTGCGGTCGACATATGTCAGACCGAACTGAGGCCCATAACCGAAATTCCACTCCAGGTTGCTATATTGTGTAAAGTTCTATCAGCATCAAAATACTAATGGCCTTGCTTCTTCCGAGGAACCCAGGTACTTACTCAAGCAAGCTCCAGCAATGATAGCCGGCAATTTTCGCGCCTTCTTTCTTGACTACGTCGCACAATGCACCGATGTAAAGGTCAAAGAACTCCTGTCTGTACTTATCATTGACGATATCGTGAATGGAAAACTTGGATTCATCTTCGACAGGATAGCCATTTTCGTAAACGTAGATCGGGATGTCAAGTGGCTGGGCGTATGTTTTCCAGACGTGAGTAAGCATCTTGGCAAAGCCCCAAGGGACTTGAAAATCGAGTTAGCATAATGTGTTTGCATAACACTGGCTACATAAGGATCACGCTGTCGATCTTGACTAACCTGTATGCGGATGTCCATTCTCACCGCGTCGACCAATAGCAACTCCATTCTTGTAATGTGTCTTTTCCACATCGTCGAGATCGCGGAAATTCGTCTTAGTGTAAGGATCAAATACTTTCCCAGTCGCGTACATTGTTCCGTAGTGGTTGATGGAGAAACTGACTTATTATTAGCGAAGAACTATCCACTGGAGACAACTGTGGGAATGAGAATGGGCTAATTATTTACAAATCAGCAGATCCTTTGACAAGTTCAAGTTCTTCTGACGTGAGCTTGGGGAATGCCTCGCCGTACTGGTCCCAAGACTTGGTCTGGATTCCTTTGACTATCCAGCCGGAGTTAGTGTCATACACAAGCCTTAAGACACAGGCTTAAGAGCCCAACGATGAAACACCTACAAATTGGCAAAGCCCACCAGCCCAAGGATCTTTCTTCTGCAATTTTGGCAGCATTTATTGCCAGCTCTGATTCATCTAGTGGCTCAACCCAATCATAGTTCTAATGGAAGTCAATATCGACAGTCACAGGAGCTGTAATCAGTGAATATGCGAAATGATACTTACTAGGGCGATACCAATTTGCCCTTTTTGCTGGGCTTTGAAAGTGGTCTGATATAGCTTCGCAGTATGTCCATGGACCAAAAGACAGTTGTGGCCAACCCTTTGTGCGATGTTAGCGTTGGCGCCATTCGGACCCTTCAATTTCCCTGACAAGCGATGAGCAATAGCTAGGTACTTACCTGAAAAAGTCCGGTCTCGTATAATTCTTCACAAGTCCATCAGGCGCTAGTGAGCAAAAAATCCAAGGCTAATACTCAGACAGATATTAGATTTCTTTGTTACAAACATCATACTAATGTTACTCACCTCGTTGATTGTGAGCCATCGTTTGACCCGGTCACCAAATCTCTCGAAGCAAAGCCTGGCGTAAGAGAGAAAGTCTGCGATAAGAGGGGCAGGATCACTTGAAGCGAATCCCCGATATGCTTCGTCGAGAGCGAGAGGTGTATCGTAGTGGTGTAGAGTTACGGTCGGTTCGACCCCAGCGTCAATTAAGGCATTAATCTGATAAAGAATCAGTCGTTTTACGCAACTTGAAATGGGAGAGAACCTAATCTCAGGTGTACTTACAAGGTTGTTATAATATTCTATTCCCTTTTCGTTGACTGGGTCATCCTCCCCCCCTGCGGTCATTGATTAGTTAGTGGAATGAGAATCTGAATGGTATACCAGCTGACATACCAAGCGGCTTGACACGAGACCAGGAGATTGAGAAACGATAGGATTTGGCCCCATACTGCTTCAAGAGTTTTACGTCTTCTTGCCAAAGGTCATAGGAGCGACAAGCATCGTCCCCTTTCTCGGGCTGGTCTTTCAGAAAATCGTCCCAGCTGCAAGGGCCTCTCCCATCTTTGGAGGTAGCCCCCTCGATTTGATAGGCTGCGGATCTAGTTCCAATATTTAGTAAATGGTAAACTCTCTCAGTGTATTTCACTCACGCATAGCCGTGGAGAAAGTCGGGCGGAAGGACAGCCTTGAGATCCTGACGCTCGACGAGTGGGAAGGCCATGTTGTCCTTGTGCTCGCTAAGTGTATGAGAAACTTTGTGCATGAAATATTTTAAGTTGAAAGAGACAACAATTCAAATTTTTATGTTCACTGCTTTTTGTAAGCTGTTTGTTGATGAAAAGTGTCAATCCTGTTCTGACTTAACGTAACCCAGATCTGAATCTCCTCCACAATGACCCGAATGAGAAAGATAAAACCGTGACCTAAAGTTCGGCTCGTATAGCCTGTCATTTGTTGTGCGTGTTCTGACTTTGTTGTTACCAACCCTTGCCGCGATCACCCGCGTCCGTCGCACCCGTCGGAGCCGTCGGACGCGTCGCCTCCGTTGGGCACTTGAGATAAGGCGGGCGGTACCGGCAGTCCAGAACATGGGTGGCTCATGTGTGACTAGCAAACTCAATTCTAATCAGTGTCTCATATTGGCTGCTGCAGGTCAAATTTCATCTCATGGGCTAACCGGAGGTGGAAACCTAGCTGTGTTTGGTATGTTCTGGCTAATAAACCGCACAGTCAACAGCTTGAATACTCCCCCCCAAAATGTCTTTCGAGCACTCAACGGATCTGTAATACTACGCTTAAGCGACCTTTACGGCAACCTCATGACTCGTCCTTCCGGGTTGTTGTCCAGAAAGCACGTATCCACTCTCTCCTTATCCTGCATGGACCTGGGGAGACTCTGGGGTAAGATTACGGGGCGATCAGAACAACTCGGCCTACGGGGACCATTTTGTTATCTCTCGTACCCTTCAATTGGGAAAGGAAGCTAAGATACCCATTGAGGTTATCAAGACGGGCGCGGCCGGACAGGTAAGTGGCATTAGGCGCCTCGGGACGAGTATAAAACAGTCATCACCTCGCAACGGACCCCTTGTATTTCTGCTCACAACCTACAAGGTCCTACAACTACCAAGATCAAGAGGTATATATCGACATCATGTTTGAATATCTGAAGAACACTACGGCTACCGGCCTGGGATGCATGCTCCTTGTCTCAATGGGTGCCTTTCTTTTTGTAAGCAGTCCTCTCATATAGGGGGAACGAGACCTTTGAGAACCAGCCTTATCTATCAGAGATATCTAATGAGAGAATGAATGATGTATAGGGCTTCGACAATGGATGGTGGGGGACAATTCAAGGCGCAGAGGCGTTCCTTCGTGCCTTTGGATCCTGTGCCCTGGTGGACGGGGTAGAAACTTGCAACATCAGCACACCTCAAAAAGCTGCCGGTAGCTCTGTTCAATCTGGCGGTGTCAGTACGTATCCTCCATAACCACTCTCATCAACCCCGTTTCTCATTGTATTCCGTCATCCTCTTCCCCAACCCTAGCACACTGACACTTGCTCATCTGTGTAGTGATTGGTAGCCTTGTAGCTATGGAGCTTAACAAAGCTCTCGGCCGCAGGAAATCGCTCGTTGTTACCGGCATAATCTCCATTGTCGGCATCGTGCTGGAGATAACCAGTGCCATCGGTTCAGCTCGTTTTACCCAGTTCGTCGTCGGCAAAACGGTGGCCTCGGTGGCCATGGGCTTGTGTGCCAGCATTGTTCCAATCTACCTCTCCGAGACGTCCTCGAACGAGGCTCGGGGATTCGCGATCAACATGTATCAAAACGTCCAAATCATTGGGTACTGCCTCGCCGCGGGCATTGTCTACGCAAGCTCGAAGAGGAATGACGCCGCGTCTTACATGATTCCGATTGGGTTACAATTTTTGGCACCAGTGTGCATGGTTACACTCTCGCCACTTTTGCCCGAGAGTCCGCGATGGCTTGTTTGGAATGGGTGAGGATAAGAAACTGTTGATAATTACAAAAAGACGCTCAGAGAGTCCTGGCTGACACGATTCTATAGCCGACGCGATGATGCGATACGCTCCGCCTCGCGTTTATTCGGAACAAAGACGAACGACTTCGACGCCGAGAAATATATAAGAGAACTCGAGATCGCATTCGAGAAGGAACAAGCGAACCCCGAAGTCTCCTCTTGGAGAGACTTATTCCACGGACCAGATTTCCGGAGACTCCTTATCGCGGTGGGCATCCAGTGTTGGCTGCAGGCCCAGGGCTCCGGGTACATTGTCAACTACATGGTCTCGTTTCTGCAGGACAGCGGCACATCCGACGTCTTCCCCTTCATCATGGGCCTCAATTTCGTCTACTACGGCGGAATCCTCACCGGACACTTCTTACCAGACAACCAGGGCCGCCGACCCGTCATCATTTACAGCACAGCCGCAAATGCCGTCTTCATGCTGGTCATTGCCAGCATCAACACCGCGGTATCGCCCTCGACAAACACGTCTGGTGCTGCCTCGGTAGCTTTCCTGTTCCTTTGGCAACTGTCTTCCGGCGTCATGTCCCCTCTTATCTGGATCATCTGCACCGAGGCTGCTCCAACCCGCAACAGGGAACGGGTTCTGTCGATTGCCGTGTTCATTAGCTTTGGTGTCTCCCTCATGATCACTTCTGTCTCGCCGTATCTCCAAGACAAGGGCTACGGCAACCTTGGGGCGCGGATCGTGAGTCAATACTTGGATTTGCATCTACAAAGTGGGATTGCTGACACGTTGAATACAGGGATATATTTGGGGGGTTGCCTCAGTGTTAACCTCTGCCTGGTCCTACATCATGGTGCCGGAATCCAAAGGCTTGTCGCTGGAGCAACTCGATTATCTTTACGAGCAAGGTGTCCCTGCTCGCCATTTCGGAAAATATCACTTTACCGATGCCATTCTTCCGGTTGAAAAGGTCGAGTCTGAGGTTCAAGTTCAAGATGAGGTCGTCTTCGAATCAAAGAAGCACTGACGGCGGATGAAATTCCCCTTCAACTAGCAGGATGCTCTATAGCTGGTGATCTAGGAATGATGGAGTAGGTTAGACTGTGTAGCATATAGCTCTTATTATCTATCTACAAGTTTCAAGGGTGAAGATCGGCAAAGAAATCTAGAAAGTGATCTCTCTCCGTCATCTCTGTCCCTTCAATGTTGAAAGACAACTGCATCGTATCCAGGTCGTCGTTCCCGGCCCATGATGATGGCAAAAACATGAATTCGTCCAGGTTTTCAGTGTCAAGGCCCACGCTATTCTCACTATTGGAGTTCGCGGTTGCGTAAGCTGCGAATTCCCCAGCACGTTGCTCAACTGGGGTCGAGGCGGAGTCGGCCTCGCCTGAATCCCCCTCAGCACCTGAGCGGCGGCAGGGTTGAACCAGGCGGACTATTTCTTGTTTGGTGATGCCAGCCAATGACGGCCGACGACCAGCTATGATATCACTCTCCATTGAATAGAGATGCCGGATCAACTTCGCTCCCCGGATGCCTATCCCTGACTGGTCTGCCACTGTTGCCAAGAGTCTCGCCAGTGTGATCAATCGACTGCGGCGGGCCGGAGCATCTCCAGGTGTGCGCCTATCACTACTTGCTTTGACCAGGTCAAGGGCCATGATAAGCCCGGCGGCAACGAGCCAAATTGTCACGTTCCAAAGGCGGAAAAAGGTGCTCAGTATTCCCTCATCAAACATGCTTAGAATCGTGCGAGCTGCATCGACACAAGCGCTGTGGGTTTGGGAGAATGATTTATCACTTAGCGACTTGACAAAGTACGCACGATGCACCAGGTACGATCTGTACGCTAAAGACATGCCGATTATCCGTTTGGCGAAGTGAGTAGTCGACGGGGACGAGCTCTCGATCCGGAGCTGGATAAATGAAGCGTAAAGGCCATCTAGCTGGCTTGATGCCTTGAGGACGGCCTCATAGGAAGGATTTTGGTATGGCTGCAGGGTCCCATATAGATCGTATAGTATTCTTGACGAGTGGGAGGTGAACAGAAGATATGTGAGCGAGGTAAAGCTGGTAGAAGTAAGGGCGGTAGTTAAGCCATCATCCGTCAAGCTAGGCAACGCCGTATCAAATTGATGCGGCGCGACATCTGGAATGGTAGAATGTTAGATGAAGCTGATCGAGAAGCTGCCTCTTTTTTGTCCTGGATAGGAAGAAAGGTAAGCTCCTTACATGAGTATCTGTGGTACGGTGTGAAATACCACTCGGTCTCAACCAATGTCCACCAGGCTCTTCGGCCCATTTCTCGTAGAATGATATGTTCAGCCGATCCCGCCATTTGACTTCCAAGAAGATGAAGATTGAGAGCCCTTGCGGTTCCAATGTTGATTGCGAACATGGATCTGTGCGTCTTGGAATTCCCCGACAGGTGAAATGCATAATTTAGAGCAATCATGGCCTGCAAACCCACAAGAGACGGCTCTGCCAGTCCATCACAGCGATAAAAACTGGCGAAGCTGCAATCAAACCAGAAAGATGCGAAGTCGCGAATGCTGGCCATCTCAAGCGGTGCGCTTGCTAATCGCTCATCGCTCAGCAGATAGGCAGAATTGCTGAGGATAGCAAACAGCACGCTTAGAAACATGTCATCTTGGATCTCATTGCCATCCTTCCAGAATTCGCCATAAGTACATATGATCGATGGTTCGTGTAAGCAACCGCAGAACCAATTGAGGTCTTGAAGAAATGCTTCTACAATCCAATCGCAATCTGATCGCGAAGGAAGGGCGGCGATACATGCATTGAAGGGCATGGGGCTGTACCATTTTCTGCTGATCCCTTGGCTTGCTTGCTGACTGCTCAAGTTGTTCTCATTATTATCCTGCCACCGACGAACTTGGCCAATGTCGAAGGCAGCGTCCTCCATGGCACCAGCCAACCCGCTCTCATGGAAGTCGACATTCTCGTCTCCTTCAGGAAGAGAATCACTGCTTCTCATACCAACCTTTGCCTCCACAGCTGCTAAGCGACTGCGCATCATGGTTAACTCAGCCTCCAGCGTGTCTAGCCTGCTGTCATCTTGGGAAACCTGGTGTCTGCGGGAGGGCGGCAGAGGGCGGCGTTGGCACATAGCCTCCTCGCCTCTTTCCCTGCAGGCACGACATGGAACTCTCTTGTCACATCGAATTTTGCGCCTGCGACACTCGGCACAGCTTTGGAGTTTCCGAGACCGGGAGGTTGCTAACTCAGACGCGCCCAAACCTTCACCAAAAGAAGCCATTGGAATACTTCAATATATGTGGTTGATCGACGGTCTTGATTTGTATTTACTCCGCATCGATATTTTGCTTGGAGTGCCTTGAGAGAAAAGCCGAACAATCGTAGTGTGAGGAAAGATGTTCCAAGCTTCCGTATCCAGGGAATAAAAAAGGGGACGCAGTGTGATGGCGTTGGAATTGGCACTAATGCGGCTGAGTAATAACCGTTACCGAACGGTTGGGGAAAATGACGTATTGAACGTGGTGCTTATCGTTACCTAGTTTACGGTGAATCTCATGTAAGGAGGCGACGCTTTTTCTACTTTTTTGAGCTTTATATAGGATCTGGTAGTAACTTTCCTAAATGGAATCTGCGTTAAGCGGCGGACTTTTTTACTGGCTATGATATACACGACTCGCATAAGTAATGAATTAGCCTGCACAGAAATAGGAAGATACGGTGTCGAACGCTCAGGGGAGGCCAACCAGAACTGTCAGAAGAGTGTGTTGTTAAATTGACCTCAGACTACCTAACTTGAATAAATCGATGAGAACGCAGGATTTTGGGCAATGGACAACGGCCAACTTGCGTACCTTTGGCTAGCGGCTGTCTTGTTCCAAATTGGAGTCACTCTTTGGTCGTCACTTCTCCGCACCTCCCCGGTAACAATGAAACAATAATCTTAATGGAGTAGGATAAGCGCCCTAAAGTACTATTAGCTACATGATAGTGTGGCTCCTTTGTCGTTCAGGCCTTCTAACTAGTCGTTCCCATGGTTAAATGAGAGCGAGCTGCTATATATAAGAATTCGAGTGAGCATCAATTTTATAATCACTTATTATCTTAGCATTGTAGGACCCCCCCAACAGCCTCGCCATTCATCTAGTTAAGTACTTTTGCCATCGTATTAGAGAAGGCATATAATAAGTCCCCTAAGGAGAGCCCAGTTAATCATATCCAGCCTACCTCATTCCAAGCCTTCACGAAGGGTGTAGATATCCAACAGACTGAGTGTCAGGCCTTGCGTTCCTATAATGAAGAGCAGCATCAAAAGGTTAGCCAATCCCTCGCTAAAAGTGTAATGTCAAGCAGGATGAACCCGCTCACTCCTACGTGTTACCATCATATCGGACTGGCGCATCTTTAGTCCTTAAAATACATGCTCAAGATTCAGTAGCTCCTTTAAGTATGCCTTTAAGTGGTGAGGGGTTAAGGCTTTGTGACGGTGACTGTCAAGGTAGTTCAGATTTGAGGGGTTCTGTCGCCACCCCTAGCCTAGCAAGAGCAGTCTCATTCAGTCAAACCTGGCGGATGCCATGGGTGTTGAGTTGGCGGAAACCTGTGCTCTTTCAGTGGCAACGAACGGTCGGTATTCAGTGAATGATTGCTTGATGCCCGCAACAGAGGGACTAAAGAAATTGAAAATGACTAAAGGAGGGACTTATTTGCTGATCCTAAGGAAGATGCTACTGGTAGACGCTGTGATCTGATTTCAGGGATTAAGGGGTAAATGAAAACGGGTAGGACCCTAAGTTGGATATGCTAGCAAAATCAAATGCGACATTTAGAGTCTGAAATGGCCACAAAAGGCCCTGGACTACGATGATATATATACATACTCAAAGATACTTCTTCGCCTGTGACAGAGAGCGCACAAGCTCTCGCGAGCCGTGAGTTGTCGCCCGGTGGACCACATGGGGAACGCATGTGAGACCGCATTAGAAAACTGGTAGACGTTGGTTCTTCCATTGCCATGCTGCGCGGGAAAACTCAGCAGGAGGACATGAACAACATGGGAATGTTGGTGCAACTGACGTCATAGAATTACATTGACAACCGCACCGAAGAGCTGAGAAGAGGTTTGGGGCATGACCAGACCAAAAAAGACAAAAATTAACATACAACAGCGGGTATTCGCTGGTCGTCACCGACCTAACTACTAATCCACCCCTCAGGAGCTTATCTATGGGAGAGCGGACGGGATCCCTCATATTCCGGTAGTAACGCCGTTTTCCGGATAATCTGCGGAAGGGGCCAGCCGCTTCCCCACTGCTAGAGCTGAATAACAACTGTTTGTCGGCTGACCAGGGCCGGGACGTTGACGCCTCCTGCTAAGCGCCCGGCTTGGGCTGGCCACCTGTTTTATGTATTATAACTTCTTAAATTTCATTTTTCATCTCCTTACAAAAAGGAGGGTTATATCGGGATCGGCCTTAGATGTAATGCTACGTAGGTGTAGGTAAGCGACAGCTCACTTATAAGCTTAGGAGCCCCCCCCCCCGGCGTGGCGACTTATAAGTTCTATAACTCTTCGTCCTCCTGTGCTCTATCCCTTGGTTTATAATTCCTAATATTAATGACCCTAATATTTAATATAGAGAGGGCTAAGGCCTATATCTAGCGTTTTTATAATAAGAGTGTGGTTTATAAGCCTTTTATAAAGACTAAAGCTAGATATAATTATATCTAGAATACTTAGGAATAGTATATGCCCCTAATTAGCCTACTGCTTTCCTTAGCTAACTAGTATTAGGTAGGCTATATAAATAGGAGTACTAGTTAAATAGATCTAGCTAGATCTTATACTATAAAATAGTGTAGTAATAAATTACTACTAAGTGTTTTTAGTATTATATTTTAAGGTATATATAAAGTAGATTATTATTTATAGACCTAGAGAGATAGAGATTATGTGGAGGGTTAATTTAGTAAAGACTATATAGGATTACTAGCTAGCTCTAGTTAGAGTTACTAACTTAAAGTTTATATCGCTTAAGAGAAGGGAGTTCCCTTAATAGGCTAGCTTCTAGACCTTAATATATAACCCTAGAAGAGAGGGTAATAATATCCCTAATAGGCCCGCCCGCTAAATTTTAAATATAAGTTAGGAATACCTATCCTTATATAGCTTCTTAACTAATTTTATTAAGTAGTTACTAACCCTAGCTATAGAGCTTAAAGCTAAGCTTAAGTAGATGTTTATAAAGTGTGTGGCTACTATAAATAATATAATGCTTATTATTATAACTATATAGAGCTAGTTAAGCAATATTATCTATAATCTAAGATATTAAGTTAACTTTTATTAAGTTATACTTTTAGGAGGGATTAGCAGCTGGCAGCTAGAAGAGGTTCTTAGTATTCCTTATAAGAGGGTGGAAATCAGATGGCTCTAAAATGTAAGTGACCTATTAAGACCTTAGCCTATATATAATATTACTATAAAATATATTAAGAAGGGCAAGAGCAAAGATAGGATCTAAATAGACTAACTAAAATAGTAAGTAGAATATATATATAAAAGGCTAGCTATATCCTATTAATTATTTATTATAGTGTTACTTTCTAGTTAATAGTTGTGCTAAACTGCTTGATCTGCCCTCTTAGATTGTTAATTTTATAAGCGCTTATAGACTAAGTATTTAAGGAGGGCTATACTAGCCTGGATTAGATTCTATAGAAAATGTGGGACTCTGATCTAGGTGTGGTATTTATTCTATTAGTATGGAAGAAGTCTATTATAGGGTAAGGTATCTTTAAGTTAGTATACTCTAAATACTAGGAAATTTAGCGGAGAACCTATCTAGTAGCTGGCCTGAGTGATGAGGATGAAATTAGGCTATACTCTCTTTGAGTTAGCGCTAGTGATTAGCTCTTAGGTATATTAGTATATTTACCCCCCTAACTCTGGTTAGTACTAATAGTTTATTTAGGCTGCTTAGTGGCACCTTTATGAAACTTTATATTAGGTTATACTAATAAGGTGTTTAAGTGAAGTTACTTGCCTTGTGATATTAATGTAAACCTACTATATATAACCTTTTAGGGGTTAGTAAGTAATACTTAAGCTATATTAGAAGTGATATAAATAGTATTCCTAAGGAGGGATAAGAAAGCACTAGTCTATATTACTTAAGTAGAATGGGATGCCCTAGAAGAGTAAGTAGATATAATAGAACTATAATATAAGCTTAACTAGATACCTAAAAAGGTATTAATAGAAGTAAAGAGACTATCTAGTAAGATTAGGATTATAAAATTAGTAGCTAAAGGTTCTATCCTTAAGTCTACCTACTAAGAGTATTTTAATAATATAAGAAAGCTATAAGAAAAGGGGCTCTTAATAGATTACCTTATCACTTAGACCTTTAGCCCTTATAGGTTATAGCTTTAGGCCTTATATAATATAGCCTCTATAGTTAGTGCTTAGCTTATTATTAACCCTGAAGACCTTAGTATCTCTAATATTATGCTTATATATCTGTAAAAGTATTTAGGCTATTATACTAAGGGTGAGGATCCTAGTGATAGTAAGGATGAGGAGAAATTTAATAAATTAGATAAACTAGAGAAGGATAAGTAGTTAAAGAAGGCTAAACTAAGATGCCTACTTAGGTGTGGAGACTTTACTATAAAATATAGGCTTATAGAATATATAAAGTAGTAGTATATAGATTTATTCACCTAGGAGTTCCTATATTTAGAATGTAAGAGGTTTGGAAGTAAGGTTTAAGTCCCCCCTAGCTTAGAGGCTTAGTGTAGTTATATTGTATAATATTATAGTAGTATATATATACCCTTAATGATTAATGGAGTATTAACCTGCTTTCTATATAGTAAATATAGCTTAACTAAAAGGGGCCTTATGTTATATATATTATTAAGGTATAAGTGAGCTGGCTATTTTAACTAACCCTTTGCTTATCCTAAGTGTAAGCGACTTTAAGGGGTTAATTATATAGTATTAGGAATAGTAGAATAGGAGGACTATATTACTGAGATATACCTAGGGGTGAGAATAAAGAAAAGGTATCTTCTAGAGGTTATTACTTTAAGTCTAAAGAGGTTTAAGGTAGATTTAGAGGATAAGGGAAGCTTTAGGGATATAATTAGTATAGAGGCTAGCTTAGACCCTTATACTAAGGAGGAGTTTTAGGTTATAGGGAGGGACTTTAATTATAATTAAAGAAGCTAATAATAGCTTAATTCTTATATTAATACTATCTATCTTAAGAGAGATATGATCCTTATAGTTATAGCCTATAGCCTTTAGGCTAATAGCTTTGTGAGAAGAGCTTAGCCTAGAACTATTATTATAGGTTTATAGGGGACTATAAATGTATAATAAGGGTCCTATGACCTCTTAAAGTAGAAGATAGCTGTTCTATAAATGGCTTATAATTATTGCCTATTAGCTATTATAGCTAAACTAAAGATAATGAAAAGCTATAAAAGGAGATCTCTCCCCCTAACTTAGAGTGCTCTAACTTAAACCTTTTATCTATACTTACTACCTCTACTATGTCCTTTATAGTCTCTATTAAGGGTGCTTTAATATTTATATACACTTATTAATTATATCCTTTATTTAAACTATATCTCTTTATTAATTCTATATTATTATTATACTGAAAATAAGCTATAACGTTGATCTAAGGTAATATAAGTACTAAGATATTAAGTATTCTTTTAACCCGCCTTAGACTTAGGAAACCTCTAGCTATAGACTGGAAAATGCTTAGAGCTTATAGCTATCTTCTTATAATATATATAGAAGAAGCTAAGTAAATTCACTATATATTATTTAAGCCTATACCTCCCGCTATCCTGTTCCCTTAGACTTTGAAATACTAGATATAGGTTTAGGATATTAAGCTTAAGTATAATATATCTAAATTCTACTATATTAAAATAGTGGATAGAGTACTAAAGATTTTAATAACCTAGTGTCCTATAGAAGTGAATGTGAATTAGCTACTAGAAGCCTTTATAAAAAGGTTATAAGTTTTATATACTAATAATAAGTGGGATAATTTTAGAAAGAACTCTTATCTATAGTATAGAGAGAAATATACTTTTCGGCCTTATTATATTATTATAGGGGTGGAAGGAGTTAAAGTTGTAGGCTTCTAGAAAAAATTATATATAGGGATTAAAGAAGTTTTAGATAAGCTCTTAAATAAGATATATATAATTATTTTAAGAGATTTAGGGGAGCTAGGATAAGAATAGTATGTTTATATTTAGATAAAGATATTTAGTACTTCTTATTCTATAAGTGCTATATTATATATAAATCTAGAGAGAGAACTAGAAGAGAATATAGAAGAGATAGGAATAGAGGAGGAAGAGGTAGAAAAAAGGCTGGAAGAGGTAATAATAATAGAGGAGAAGGTAAGGTTAAAGGTAGAGATAGACTGTGAAGATAATGAGTTCTTATCTGATTTTTAAGTTAAGTATTATTTTTAATTAATTTTATATTTCTATTTAGCCCTTAAATAAGTGAGTTTTTAATCTTAATGTATTATAGTTCGCTATAATAATAGTAGGTGAGGGCTTTAAGCTTAAGCCCCTTTATTTAGATAGTGAGGAAGTATAGTAGCTATAGTCTATAGAAATAGATTATATATACTATCTAGTGCTAAACCTTTTAATCGCCCTATCCCTCTTATATGCTATATTTACCTAGTTCTACTATATATCTGTGAAGAGCTAGAGAAGCTTAGTAGAGCTAAGCTATTTTACTGAATATTAACTAGAACTAGCTATAGTAATTATACTAGCTACTAGGAGAGGTTTAACTATCTAAGTAGTAGTAGTAGTAGGAAGACCCTGGGGTATATCTCTTTAGTCCTAGGCTACTGAGGAGGCTATTTTATTAGTGCTCTAGTACTATATATACTATTATAGTAAAGGGAACTACTAAAGACTACTTTAAATATCTATCTAGGTCTGGTTCTCTTTGTAAGTAGTAAGTGTTAGTGGATAGGCGCTCTTAGGGATATATATAAGATCCTTATATATTTTTTGCTTTCCTATTAATAGTAAGTGAGTTAATAGATTTATTATTCTATAAGCCCTATTAATATAACTTACTCCCTGGCTTAGCGCTATCCTTAGAGCTCTTTCTGCCTCTACCTATGGTTATAACCCTTTCCCTTTTCCTTGCTAGGGCCTATATTAGTTCTAATGTGAGTCTACTTAGTATTCTTTTTATTCTTTCCGTTCTATAGGACCAGGTACTATAGCTATTAGCATTTGATATTTTAGGTTATATATAGTTATACCTGGCTTATTAACTCCTCTTTAAGACTTTCAGAGTAGGTAAAAAGACTTTAAGGCTTTAAAAAATATTCAGGAAGTCTGGTTCTAAGACTCTGAAATTCAGAGTGCGTAAGCACAAGCTCGGAGCTACTTTAAATTTAAATTTAGAAAATCATCTGTGATGTAGATTGAATTTTCGCCGTGTAACTGCTATTAATAGCCTGGCTCTGTATTAAAATACATTTAGTAAGAGTTAGAAATTTGAAAGAGAAGGGGGGGGGGATGTCGGAATATGACGCCATGATCATCCGGTCTTATTAAATTCTAATCTAGTATTATGCCCTTGCTGGTATTTGTAATTAGCTTTTTTTCGCTGGCTTTATTGTATTTCCTAGTGTATTTAGTTACCTATAAGATGCTAATATGCTGGTGTAGTTAGACGCTAGCCCCACGCTATAATAGGCTATTCTTAGTATTCCCTATTACTCTATATAGGCGGCTTCACCTATATTACTAGCTCCCTTAGACTCCTTTATATATTTTAGAGGGTGAGGGAAAATTATATTTAGCTGCTTAACTAAGTCTTTATATATGTTAATTCTATAAATGATTTTATTCTATTAATAATAATAGGCCTAGGATGATGAATCCGCTGGCGGGGTTTCTAATAAGTATTATTAAAATTTACACTGCCTAAGATAGGCACTAGTCTTAGTTAGTAAAGGTAACTATATCTATTGCTGGAGCCTATAGAGTAATGATGCTATTCTTATTTAGACTATATGTATTTTACCTATATAAATTGATATAATAATATATAGAGTGTTATATATACCTGAAAATTATGGCTGATTAGTGCCCTATACTTCATTAGTTATAAGCTATTGGCAATCTTCATGTTGTGATAGCCTGACCACGTGCACCAACAAGAGCATCAACCAGAGGCCGCTTTGAGTATTTACTTCGCCATATAGCGGACCCTCCTTGGTTATCTAACTTCAGTTGGAGCCGTGTATCTTCTTTTGGCCTGGGTCGTCTGGCATAGCGAGACATGGCCCGATATGGTTTTCTCTTACATTTAGAATTAACTAAACCTATTTACTAACTGTAACCTAACTTTGCTCCTTGGAGTAAGTATACTCGCGTGGTCTATGAGCCTGTAATTTAGTAAGAGTACTGAAGTATGGATAAAATACCTCGAGAATAGTTAGTGACCCCTCTAGAGATATAATCCCCTTGAATGCCGTAGTAGAATACCTATGGTGTGCTTCGTTTATGATGCTCTTAGATTTATAGGCCCTGGGAGCTAAAGCCTAGTTTGAGCTTTACACAGCTGAAGACGGAAATCTTCTAAGAAATAGGCGTATTGGCTATTTACTTTAAATCTGATCAAAAATCAGTATTGTAAATTATTGCAGGATGAATTTAAATTTGAGGTAGTATCGCGGAATTTGAATACTTTAGTATAGAAATCTATTAGTAGAAAAGTTATATCTATGAATTTATGTTGCGCTAGAGAGGGCTAAAATATAGAATAGGTATGTGTGGATTCTCTAGATTATTACTAGTATGATTAGTAGATCTAGTAATAAGGAATAGGACTAACTAGTGAATCTATCTACTAGTAAGGTAGCCTAGATTTTTACTAGTAAATATATATACTAGTATAATAGATAGTGTGTTTACTAGTAGTAGGATATACTAGTTAGCTAGAAGGGCTATTTACTAGTAACTTTGGCCTAACTTTTACTAGTAAGGGTATATACTAGTAATTAGGCCCTAACTACTACTAGTAAGTGAGCTATAGCAATCTAGGGAAAGATTAGATACTAGTAAATAGGCCCTGACTACTACTAGTAAGTAAGCTATAGTAATCCAGGGAAAGATTAGATACTAGTAAATAGGTTCTAATTACTATTAGTAAGTGAGCCTTAGTAGTGTATAGAGCGAGATACGCCTTAACTATGTATAGCGTAGCTTACTAGTATAAGCTTGGTGAGTAAGGATTAAATACTAGTAATTAAGCTCTAACCGTTATTAGTAAGTGTGTTTTAGTAGCCTAGGGAAAGACTGGATACTAGTAAATAGGCTCTAACTACTACTAGTAAGTGAGCTATAGTAGTGCGTAGAGTAGACGCACTTTAAACTATATATAGCGAGGCTTATATATATGGGGAAAGTATTAGATACTGGTAATAGTTCCGACTGTGTTATAGTATAGTGGCTCTCTACGCCTAAGGCGTTTTAGGTTAGTGCTAGGCACGCTAGATCTCTTATGTGCTTACTAGCCCTAGCGTAAAGATAGTGCTACTATGTATAGTTTAAATTTCGTTCTTAGTTATGGGGCTACTCTAAAATTCAAAATTAATAAATAAAAAATAAAGAATAAAAATAAAATAAAATAGACTATAAATATTCCTTATCCTAGTTGCTGATGTAGCTTTAATATATAAATTATTATTCAATTTATATAGATGTAATAGTAGTTAAGGAACTAAGCCTATTACTATTTCGATTAGACGCTAAATAAATATATATGAAAGAGCTTAGGAAATTTCAATAATAGTAGTTAGAAATACATAAACTATTAGCTATCGGTGATATTCCTGATTAGGATAGTGAGATCGCTTGGTTGTTTAGCACTCTAGATGCTATTATTAATAATAAGATATAGCTACCTTAGCTAAAGTATCTTTGCTATATAGCTATTATAAACGTTTTTAAGGTAACTAAAGAGAAGGTTGGGGTTATATAAAGGTAGGGCTAAATAAAATTAAGGCCTGGTGCTATAAATGTAAGTTATACTATATAACTATACCTCTAAGTGTAGAATAATAATTATAATTTTAAATATATAAAATAGTAATTATATAGATATCTACGTATTATAAAGAGATAGCATAAATTAGGGGGGAAGTTTCTAATTATACTAGTTACTTATAGTAGTATAGTAGAGAAAATTATATAGGTGAGTTATACTACTATCTTTGAATATTATGCTAATAATTTAGTAATAATTGATTAGTTATAAAGCCTATGCTGCGAGGAATTAGTGAAAATATGATATAAATTAGCTTACAGCGAGTGGTGGAATTCTGTCGGGTATTGCAATAAGAAGAAGTAAAAGAAGAAGAGGTAGAAGAAGAAGAAGAAGAAGGCGTTGCTGAGCTACGGCTGGGTTAAATCCATGATTCCACGAACAGACCAGACGAATTTGACAATCTTGACAACGCAAAGCCAATGCTTCCCTTCAAGCATGAGGGATGCGATGTTTCAATTGCTGCTATTCTGCGATTTTTCCGAAGTTCAGGAGCAGAGGGGAGAGACTGCTTGATAATATTAGAGCTGCATCTGGCCGACCCAGGCCTAGTGAGGGAGGTGAAACGGCTCAGGCTGATGATGAAGAGTTTAACAGAGCGCCCTGCTCGTTTGTAAAGACAGAGGAAGTGGATGATCAGATGATACTGTCTTAAAGGCTAATTCCCTTTAGTTCTAGTTCTGTCCTTTCTGGCCGGTCACAGCGTAATTTAACGCCGTTGCTTTGCTTCTGCCCCATGTGCCTCGTGTGCAGCTTTGTCCCGTGCCCTGTGTGCGGCTTTGCGCCTGCCCCGTGTGCAATGTGCAGCTTTGCGCCGTGCCCTGTGCAGCTTTGCGCCGTGCCCTGTGCAGCTTTGCGCCGTGCCCTGTGCAGCTTTGCGCCGTGCCCTGTGCAGCTTTGCGCCGTGCCCTGTGCAGCTTTGCGCCGTGCCCTGTGCAGCTGTGCTCCGTGGTGTGCCCGTGTATGCCACGTGTTTGCCACGTGTATAGCTTTGCGCCGTGCGCCGTGCCCTGTGCGCCGTGCGCCGTGCCCTGTGCGCCGTGCGCCGTGCCCTGTGCGCCGTGCGCCGTGCCCTGTGCGCCGTGCCCTGTGCAGCTTTGCGCCCGTGCCCTGTGCATCGTGTGCGTCTTTTGCCTCGTGTGCCCCGTGTGTCCGATAGCTTTGCCGTCCGTCTGACTCTCGCCGCTCTTACCCCCATTTCATATTCTGCCAAGCCAGTCACCCAATGTGGCGCACTTTTAATAGCCTAGATGATGCACATTCCATTTTCCGCTCCGCACTCTCCTGCTACGTACATGTTCACAGCCGAAGCATTATCTCGCGACCTTGAAGCACCTTGACTCACTCCAATTAATTATATCTAGTCTCAGCTAATCTCATCCCCCGAGTTGTCTGATCAGTGGTTGAGTTGGAAGTAGATGATGAAGGCATAGCATTCTGGGTGTGCTGGAAGCTTGCTAGAGATCTCCTCACAGCTAGTGAATAGGTAGAATCGAATGCAAAACGGGCCCCATTCACATTCCCGTCTCACGCCAACTTGGCACACACAATCTCGACATTTCCAATTGTCGAGTCCTGCTGCACCTCGTCTTTCATAATGGAGTTATCAGATGCGTTGGGATCCCAGTCCAGAATGTCGAAGATGTTCTTGTACGCACCCCAAGGCGCGCTCCAGTAGACCCGGCACATCTTTGTCTCGTCCTCGCCGTCCCACTCGTAAAAGGTCAGATAGCCCTCAGTGCCGATGGCCGCGTCCGACCATCCGCAAGAAGATATGAGACCCTGCCCCTGGGCGGGATGACTGTCTTGTCGACCTCAGTAGGACTGACCTCGTTGTCTTTGCTGCCCCGGTAGCATTTGCTCCTGGAGAGGTTCAATTGGGTTAGATAGAAGCTAAGGTTGATGGAAAGGGAGAGGGAGGAGTTACGGTTCGAGCTTGGCCTCCTTGACTCGGATATCACCCTTGCGCAGGCGGCTTCGAATCTTGATGGCAATCCATTACTTGTAGGCCATTGCTATGAAGATGGTGCGTAAATTGTATTGAAAGGTTTGAATTGAGAGAATAGATCGTTATGAGAGACTGTAAAACTCTGTTGAGGAGCTAAACCTGTCGGAGAGAGTAGAGATGTCGAGGCTTATATACCCGAATATTTCAAGGAATGGATGCCGGCATAGCCTAGTTCTCTCCTTTGATGAGTGAAGAGTGAACTTCTAGCTATGATAATGGAGCGATGAATATGGTCATCCACGAATAGGACACACATGCCAAGCATCGGCACTTGTCTGGTTGGTGCACCCGCCCTCATGCAGAATGGAGATGACAGGGCACACGAGCCGCTGTGACACTCTGCTCACGACTAATGACGTATTGTTCGTAGGGGCTGCACTAGCAATATGGTGGCAGCGATCCGTAAGATACAGAGGCGAATAGCTTGAACTATTCTTCGAGCAGTCTGCACAATATCTTGCAATGCTTTTAATATAGAGGCTTATTTATTCCCAGTATAATAATAGCTTAAGTAGATAATACTAAAGGCTACTATATATTCAAATAATACTGATTTAGACGACGTCAGATTAATACAGCGCATTCCGAAACATATAATTACGATCGCGAACGAGTTCTTAAAAGGCAAGAGACCTTTTATCAGCTTTTGAGCTTGGTAGTTAATAGTCTTAAGCTGAAATGGGGAGTATGTGCTAGTTTAGTATATAACGCACTTAAAGGTACAGAGGCATTATTACTTTATCCTTAAGGTACTAACAGTCGCAGAAACGAAATTCAAAGCATCAGGAGTATATAACTCTATATAGAAAGGTAGCTATATCTATACTATAAACCTAATAGTGAAAACCTATTTAGGTAAAACAGAGATTCTTATCCCTAAAGATATACCTATACTAAACCTAGCATTCTTTATAATATATATTATAGATATTCCGTAAGTCACTTTATAAATAAATAGTTATAGGTGAATAACTAATAACGCCTAGACCTAAAAAAGGCTTTTATAGATATTAAGACTACTAGTCTTAGATGATATAATATCCTAGAAGAAGTATAGAAGCGCTAGGTAGATTTAAGTGAGCTTAGCCTAGAGTATGGAAAAATACCATTATCTACACTCTTAGAACGTCAGTCTAAATTGAAACTAAGCATATCACAGAATAACTATATTACAATTTGTTTATTAGTTTATATTAATAGGCACCGTATACACTATAATTCTAACTAGTGAATAGCGATAAAACCTCTAGTTTAGATGAGGGTTAGTTCCGCTCTATTAACTATATAGCGGGCAGCCTAAACTAGGTAAGGGAAGAAAGTCTAGTTTTTACATTAACTAGCGCTAATACTAGGAGTAATCTTAAGGCATAATCTACTTTAGCTAAGGTGGAGATTTTATCGTATAATAATAAAATCCCTCAATTTAATACTACTCTAGCTACTAACTACAGGCTTATAAACCAAAGAGTAAATAAGGTTAGTCCTACAAGAGACCTAGGTTCACTATATAATTAGCTTAGCCCGCTATTTACTCTATTAAGTTTCATTAGTACTAATACTAATACCGAAAGGGGGCTAGAGGCGCCTTCAAGACTTCCGTCCGACGAGATAGTATATAAAACGCAATCAAGTATTCCTTCCCTACCCACTTAGACACAGCCACTTAAATAAGTAGTAGCAGGGGGGGTGGCCAGGGAGTAAATTACATCCCCTTTTAAGGCATAAGGATAAACTTTAATAACTCTATAATAGAAGTTAATAACTTAAGAAGTATAGTTACCTTAAATTACCCTAATACGGCGGATAGCTATAAGTAGTAAAGAGTCTTACCCCCTATTAAGTAGTTACTTTATACTATAGATAATTAGAGTTAAGAACTACCTAGTCTGCTTTTCTCTAAGCTAGGAGTTAAAAATATATTAAGAATGAAATACTAGGTATCCCTACTAAGCATTCTAGCGTATTATACTTACTAGGAAGCGTTCCTATAGTCCCTATAGTAGCGCTAATACTAAATTCTAGTAAAAGCCTTAAAGTAGTTAGAGCGACTAATCCTAGTAATATATCTCTCTTATTAGCTAATATATATACTATCACTTAGGAGGGTGAATTTATTTAGGATATATTAGACCTAAGACTATACAATAGCGAACTCTTAATAGATTTTTTTTAATATAACTTAGGAAATAGATTTAACTAATATTATTATAAAGTAATACTAAAACCTATTCTCACCTTCCTCTATATTACCTTCTTTCGCCTCCTTAAATACTACTATTATCCCTCCTATAACTAGTAAACCTAAGCCAGTGTACTAGTCTAATATCTATATATTACTCTTAGATTTAATTAAAATATAAGTTATATTTAAGAGAAGAAAGGCTAGCTTAATAGAGCCTAATTTCATAAAGAAGCTACTACAGTCTAATCTATATATATACAGCCTAGTTAATTAGCCCTTACTAGGTTTTAGCTATACATCAGCTAAGATTTACTTTATATAATTAGCCTTAATTTAATCAGCCTAGGAGAAATAATATACCTTCTATAGTACTAACCTTTTTTTAGGTAACACTATTGAAAACTTTATGTATAATTCTAAGCAGCTATATTTATATATAGATGCCTCTTCCTTAGTTTCTTTCATCAGTGAAATACTTTTATTATCTTTCTAAAGCTTACTAAATAGTCCCACGGCCTTAGTAGGCAGGTCTAGGAATATATATAAGGCATTTAATATTACGAAGTAGGTATATAGGGAGAGCAAATATAAGATATATCTAGGTTAGAGTGAGGGTAGTCCATATATATTTATAAGAAATAAAATGATATTAGGGAAAGTAGCCCCTAGTAAGCTATGAAGTAGAGATATAACGTGTTCTACTAGATATAGTTCCGATAAACCGTGCATTAGCCTAAGTGGGGGAAGAAAATCTACGGGGGCTGATTATGTAATGCACCACCGCATAAATCGGAGGCTCGACCCGTAACGTCACTCTAACTCTTACTTTATGCTAGTCGAAGGCTCTAGGCTATTTGTAAGTGGGAGAGGGGGCCTGTAAATATACTGACACACTTGCCCGCGATAGTTGTGCGTGAACGGCGTCGTCGCCTATCTTGTTGATCCCTCTTTGGAGAGTAATTAGACATTCCTAAGTCCGGTAAGAGGGAGGGGCTCGAAGCAACACAGCTGAATTGAACAGCTGCAGCTGGGGGATTAAACACTAGGTGAGAAGGCGATATTGAGTTGAAAAGATCACGGATGCTGGGACCGGTTCTATCTCTGCTTTAAAATTATTTACCACAACATGGATTAAACGGTTTTTGAGATGAATCATTCTTCAATTTTAATTCCATGTCGACTATTCAAAAGTAGTATATGTAAAGGGAGTGGGGAGAAATATTCACTCAGTTCCTCTTGAATCATGTCCGAATTTGGCTTCTTTGTTCTGTGGTAATGGCTCAGAAACAGAAGGCATATCAACTTCTCTTGGCTGGGTGATATTGTCTTCTGCAGGTTGTAGCTGCTGTGAAGGCGGCTGGGAAGGAGCCTCTTCTACGTTGGGTTGCTCAGGCATATTGAGTGAGGTGAGTCTAGATATTGTTCGAATAATCTTGCTCTCGCACTATTCCGAACCACTTCTGTCTAGTAATACAACTTGAATCCAGCAGAGGTGTTAGCAGAAGAAAAAACGACAACGCATCCAGTCATGAACCTAAACTTAACAGCTCCTCCTTATCACTTTTGATCAAGCCTGTTGGGCTCGTTGTAAGGTCACCGACGTGTACCGTGATCGTTGTACAGAGGGTACCTGTGAGAGCCAAGCTGAAACGGCACAATGGGACTGGGATTTCTCAACGTAGAATGTAGACAATTTTCGAGCAGGATGGTCAGTTGCGGTCTATTTCCCTAACTTGGATACTTTCGGGCAGGCAAAAAGGGGACCATTGCTCTCCTTATAAGGGGCGGGCTCATCTTCTATACTCCCATTAGCCACTTCTGCCCACGCATGTTGTGGTTGCAACCTCGTTTCTTCTAGCTCGGCCTGCATCTCGATATGGACTAAATAAAAATTATCTCGTTAGGGGTAGTGATTCCACGAGCTTCTGGCGTGTCTAACGAGCCTATTCTTCTATACAGGAACTTCTTCCTAGTAAATAGGCGTTTGGTGGTGGTAGAGGTCTAATAAGGGGCCTATTAATAGGTCTATGAGTAGGTAGAGACTAGTAACTATTATGCTATCGGCCTGTTAATTACTAAAAATACTAGTGCTAAGTAGCTAGAATAGCTAGCCTCCTATAAGAATTAGCGGGCTATAAGACAATCATTAAGCTTAATATAAAGAGTCTATATTATATATATAGTAACCTATCTAATAATCAAGTAAGTAATAATCTAAGTATAAGTAAGGATATTAAGCTGAAAATAATACCTATTATAAGTAAATAGTTAGCTAAGTACTTAATTAAACGCTCTAGGAGACCTTTAGATACCTATAGTATTATAATAAAAGCTAGGGTCTACGAGGTAAAGGGCACGATATACATAAGCTTAAGGGGAGCTTAGTTTTATAGGTATAGAGCGTATATAGTAATAGCTAAAGCCTTAATATATTCTAGAATTATAGCCTATTTCCACTATTCCCTTTTAATATATAGAACTATAAAGGGGTAGGTAATTACGATAATCTGATCATATTCTTAGAAGAATACTAGAGGAAATATAAGATTAGGACTTACTTAAATATTAGTAACTCTATATATAGATAGAGTTACTAAAGTAAGGCGTATAGAGTTTCTTAATATTTATAGAAGGTTCATTCTACCGCTATTATATATAATATAGAGGATAAGGGTGGTAATTTCTAGAAGTATTTATCCTAGTACTAGGAATTAAAACTATCTTTACTCTAGCTAATAATTATAGGACTTTAAGTAGATAAAGGTAGTAATAAAGGTAATAGAGAGGCTAGATATTATATAGATATCACTAGGTTAATATATAGAAGTAATATCTATAGTAGTCTTAAGAGAGAATGTATAGACTGGTTATAACTTATATAGGTGTAAGGCGATTAGTATATACTTATACTCTAGCTAGAGCTAGGTCTAGAGAGAGGTTTGGCAATAAGTATTCTATAGGCTCTATTAAATAAAAGGATTAATATAGCTTTATATGGAACTACGATAATAGGGGGATACTAGTTCTATATATACTTATAAATAGGCTTGCACTAAGAATAACTCTATAATATTAAATAGTGTGTAATTAATAAGATAAGAGGGCTAATATAAAAATAGTTATATGCCTCTACTCCCTTATAGGTTATTAATCTCAGGGGTTAGGAGGATTATAACTAATAGTGGATGAAAGCTACATTATCTAGGGACTTTCTATACTTATATAATTAAGTAGATTAAATTACACCTTAGATATAGTAGCCTTATATAAAGATTTCCTAAATAATACTATTAAGATAGCCCTTAGGGGAATTATAGAGTAATAAATATAGTATTACTTAATCTTTATAATAGTAGACTAGATATAGTGAAGATTAGTAGACTTACTCTTAGTTATTCTTTAACCCTCTTATTCTAATTATATTTACTCCTATAGTAGTCTTTTAATGCCTCCTTTACAGCCTGCTTTTCTTAAGGAGATCTTCCGCCTAATAAACACTAAAAATAAAATATAGGAAGGAAAAGAAAAGTAGTATATCTAGTTCCCTTTAATAAGGTTAAGCTTATACTTAGCTTCTTTACTTAGTAGTAATAGCTTAGAAATAGTGCTTATATTAATTACTCCTCACTAGTTTAGGTCGTCTGCCTTAGTTATTATTAGGTTTAAAGTTAATAACTTTAGGATTATTAGACTTACCTTAGCCTAAATTAATCCTAGTAGGGGTACTTAGGGGAGTTTAAGGAGGCTACTACTAGTCTCTCTCTTCTCCTCCTAGGAGGTTTATAGTATTATTATTCCTTTTAATTCCTCCTAGCTGCCCTAGGATGTCTTCTATAGAAGTAGTATTCTCTATCTTAAATAGATAATTAGAGTATACTAAACTACCTATATCTATATAGCCTAAGGAATATTAAGGGCGAGGAGAGGAATTATCAGTACTATTAGTTTCCTTATTATTATTCTCTATATCCTGGGATAGTTTTATAATTAGCTTAAGCTACCTAAGATATATATAATTATACTTCAAATGAATTAATTATTATTACGCTACCTCTAGACTCTATATTAGTTAAGAGTTAACTTATAGTAGTTCCGTTATTATTATAAGCTAGAGAGGATCCTAAAATAGGCTATAGTACTATATTAGGTTACCCTAGGATATCTTCTATAGATATTATTCTATCTATCTTAGCTTAAGGCGGCTAGGATAATAGCTAGGGAGGAGGCTCTTCTCTATTAAGTCGCTTAGGTATATTAAGTAGGTCTAGTATTAATAAGGTTTAAAAAATACTAAGCTCATATAGAATAGCTATAACTACTTCTGACTACTACTATTTAGTAATTAGTAACTTAGATATAGAAAGGTATTTATAGAGGGAATAAGGGTATATACTTATAAATCTAAACTTAATAGTCCTATCCTTATTATTAATATTCTTTAATTAGATCTATATAGCTTATTATAAGGTCACCTAGTTATATTATGATTATTATAGGATAGTTAGAATAGCTTATGAGATCTAAGCTAAAATAGTATAATGGGAGAGGAATATACTAATGTTTAATGATGTAGATAACTTACGAGTAAGATAGTTAATTATAGTTAATTTCCCTGATATAGGGACTTTTTAGGCAGACTAAGGGGAACTATTGCTCTTTTTATATATCGGGGCCCGTTCACCTAGTAATCACTCCTTTAAGATAATTCTGCTATACATTAGATGGCTGCAACCTCGTTCCTTCCAGCTTTACCTACACTTTGACTAGATTAGAATAGTCTCGTCAGGGGTAGTGATTCTATGAACGAACTTCTGATGTGGCTAGTATTACGCTAAGGCTACTATACGGCTGTGGCTACCCTCCCCTTGATTATATATATGTTGGTTGTATCTATATCCTCTAAGTTAAGGTATAAGTAAGCTATCTAGGATGTATTACTGTGGAAGGTATAAATCTCCTACTTAGGGTAAGCTATTGGTTGAATAGAAGTTACTAGTTAACTCAGCCTTAAATATCCCACCCTAAATCTGGATGAGCTATATATATAGCTGTTTAATAGTTTCTACTATATTCTAGCTCTAAAGTTATACTATACTTATGTAATCTCGTTCTATAAATCTTTTAATGGTAGTATAAATGATAATCTTAGTGTATCTATATACACCCGGCTGTAGCTCGTGGACCTTGTACTTAAATACTTTTATATTGGCTGTAAGTCTAGCCTTCTAGTATTGATATGCAGTAGCAGGGACTAATTATAAAGGTATTAGCTTGGGGGTCGCGATATGTAGCTTCTCCTCTGCTTTCTTCTAGTCTAGTATTGCTCTTACCCCTGTTTCTAATGCAGTCTATGGCAAGTGAAGATGCGAGTAAGCTTCATGGGATGTGTTGCTTCGAAACGCAGCGCAATTCTCCCATTCAGGGCAAGCCGTTGGTTGAATATATTGGTCAATTCAGCCCCAAGCATCTCATCCTAAGTCCGGCCAAGCCGCATGTGACGGATGCAGCTGCGGTCAGAGCTCCCATTTAGTTATATCTCCGGAGGGCCACGTATGAGGCGGCCTAGCCTGATTCTCAGGCTTGCTGAAATCAATCCTGTCCCTAGGAAGCTTTAGAGCCTGTTTTGTTGGCCCTTTTGCTCCGTGGAATCTATCTACCATTGGAATGTCTCTGATGATGGTCTCGCAGCTTTCCAACTTCATGTTGATGAGTTCAGTCCCGAATATTCCATCCCAATTAGCTTAGGACCATACATTCAGATTTACTACAACCCGGGTTTAATGAGATTGAACCGAGATATTATCTACTACAATTCAAAAAATCGACGATCTTGATGCGCTCATTCAAGGCTAGCCGCAACCCACAGACCCATGTATTTGAACGCACCCCCCGCATATAAGAGACTCAGCTCGTAGGTCGCAATATGCAACCTCTTTTGTTTTATTCCAGTTCAAGTCTAGGGCATATCGTCAGGTTTCCAATGAAGGTCCATAGACAATGACGACTGATCTCTACAAAGGATGTACATCGGCTGCGAACTAATGCTCCTCTCAACCCAGCGAACGCCGTATCAAGCCCGTCATCGGCATAGTGTATGCATCGTATCTTGATCTATTAACCATACATGGATGACATCCTCTTAGAGTGTTGCTGAGTTGCCACCACTAATGGTACTCTTGATTAGAGACGAAGTATTGCGGACCGCCGTAACCACGGCCATGTGCGCGGCCAATCGCTATGGGTCTATTATCTCGCTGGTGGGTCACCATGGCTCCGGTAGCGCCACAGGCTCTCTCATCGCGAGATATTTCATCGCCAGTGGGTCTTTTCCCTCGTCGGTGGGTCAAGTCGCCCACAGCGTTTACTCATCGCCAGTGGGGCAGACTTTGTTCGCTCGTGACACATTCCTTCGCTGGCGGGGTGCATGATGTAGCGCATTTCTTACATCATGTGCACGTGCCTCATTCATTTGGATCCGCTTGGGTTGCCCATCCTCACATGTTGGGCACAAATTCTCGCACTCGCGGGATGTCCCAACAGCTGTATCATCAGAACCGCACCAAGCCATCTCCTCATATAATCTCTTCACAAAGATATGTCTCACGCATTGAGAAATACAGCTCAGTCAACACACCCTCTTATCGTCGAATTACCATAGTCACTATCGGTTCAATGGTAAATCCCGCATCACTTGCCTCGCCAAGGAAATATTTCTAATGACGATTCAGAATGTTCAACCCCTTGACCAAACGCTATTTGCCGCGGCAACACTAGTAAATGAGAGTGGCCCAATTGAAGGCCGGAGTCAGATGGTATTTTGGGAGAAATGTATCACGGCACAATGGAAGAAAAAAGGTGGTAGTCGTTGGGAGAATATTGATGAAAAAACTGGTCAGACGAAGCTTGAGCCCGGCTACCTACTTTATTTCTACGAAGGCACTATTAAACAGAGCGAGTAGAAGCTAGCCATAGCTGTTGTGTTAACTGAGCCAACATTTCTGCATCTAAGATTACCCTGAGCTGACTTGGTGTATTGGAATTGCCATGTATACTCAAAGTCAGCAGTCGTGTCATCGCCTCACCCTTCGCCAACTCTTCATGGCGTTGTGGATTATTTTGGAAAGTCGTAGAGACCAGTGTTCCCAAAAGTCTCTGTATAGCGGGCTCGCGAGCACGTGTTATATCGACCTGCCCCTCCTTAATGAAAACATCTGTGCCATCTGACAGCTCCATAACCCATTGAGCATTCTCCGTGTCGTAACGAATAAACTTATCAAATAATTCCTTGGCTAGAGTTGATGCCATACCGCTGGTCACATCAATATCCAAGGAACACTGGTTGGCGTCCTTCGTGTATGAAACATTGATGCAGGCGAAAATAGTATCCTTGAGGACTCCATCACACATACGTTGCGGAAACACTGTTGGAAGCACTGAAGCCTTGAGCCAGCGATTGTTTCGATGAAGATTATTTATAGGCTGTATTTCTCCATGCGCCTCGCCTGCCTTGCCAGTGCAAGCAAAGTGAGGCTGCAATGTTTCCCCACAGGTCCCAGTAGCTGTATTTGCAGTCATATTTGAGCTTTCGGAGTCAAGCCGACGAACGCGGCTGGGGGGGTCAAAATCATCCAAGTCAAACTCTTGGGGACGGGGACGCTTAGAGAATCGAAGAGAGCTAGGTATCGAAGAACCGAAACCACCAGCAATAAGAGAATCTGACAGAGTTAGACGGAGGATTAGCCAAGCTGGTGAAGATTAACTAACTTTGTCGTTCTTTGGCCCGCTGTGATGTGTGAAACGTGTGGTGGAAGTAATGTACCAAGGACTTGTCTGAGCCAAGGAGGTCATCGAGCCTCTCAGCTACCGTGTTGATGTCTGAGCGGCTAAATTCCTTGGTCAAATCCGATATAGCAGCTTCATCCTCGATCGCTGCCACCACTAGAAACCAAGCTCCTAGAGATCTTGCTAAGAGCTGGGCTATTTTGCTTCCAGGATACCGAGAGCACGCCTCGATCCTGTCCAGAAGATTGGCCGGCGCTCTGTTTTGGTTTTTCACCGCCTCAACGCCCTGCCTCACGCAAGCAACAAACCGATCGGTACTCTCTGCCGCCATGTACGTTGGGTGGGGTTTGAACTGTGAGATGCGTTCGACGAGCCGTGCGATGCGGGCAAAGTATGCGGGTTTAAATGATACACAGCCCCATTTTGAATGGCTTGGGGGGCCAAGACATGGTCGCTAACTTGTGAGTGGCCCCACCACGTTCCACAGTCCACCACATCCATCGCGAGCACCACATCCATCGCGAGCACCACATCCATCGCGAGCACCACATCCATCGCGAGCACCACATCCATCGCGAGCACCACATCGTTAGGTTGAATGCAGTGACCCACTTTGCAATAACCCCGGCACTTAAATCCGGGCCCACTTTGTTCATATCATTCGGTTTCACCCTTTGGTAAGGTGGATTGGCCTCCATTGGGTCGTGTCGAAAGGTGGGTTAGGGACGAGTTGGGCGGGAGATGTCGGAAAGGAGATTTGGGAAGGGAGATGTGGGAAGGAATAGTTAGGAAGGGAGATTCGGGAAGGCGGTTTACGTGCCAACGTGTCGATCGCAAGGCACCTCGGTACCCCACATTATGCCACCCTTTCCATTACGTGGAATTGGCATGATACGCTGTCCGCGCCAGATGAACCGGCCAAGCGACTAATCCAGAGGTTATGCACATGCTCGGCGCTTACCCTACCATCTAGCACGGGAGGAGGATCGTTGCTACTCTGGCCCACTGGAGCAAAGGCTAACCGATTGTTGAAAGTGAGGGGGGCAAAGTACGTGCTGAGATAGTGAATAGAGCAAAGTGGATCGATATTATAGGGCATATTCTGACCTGGTGACCAATAATAAAGTCTCTGTGGTAATGAGCAACTCTCTTTGCAAGACCACCCAAGTCCGACCATAACCAGCCAGCCAGTCGCACTGGAGGTCCCCGCTTTCGGGGGCCAATCTTTCCAGCGGTTGGTTGCGTTAGGCATCCGCATTGGATTTCAGGATACCCTAAATAAATGCTCTAGAGAACCGATGTGCATTCATGCTTAGCGATCGAGCCTCTTAATATTAGTGGAATATGGATATATATTATCTCCACTTACTTTTATATTAATACCTTAATAGCTCGCTACACCCTCTTAAAGTCATCTTAATTAGCTTTTCCATACCTGGCATTATAAAAGCCGCCCTCTATCACCGATAAATATACCTTGGATAGTTCCTAAGGTATAATGAAGGTACCAGGATAATGAGGCTTATGCTATAGTCGTTAAAACTCTTAACTAGTAAAATCAAGTAGGATAACTAATAACTAGTAAGGGGTTAGATTGCTACTAAGTGGAAAGGATATAAAAGGGCCCTTAGTGCCTATAAGCTTAAGTCTTGTTTAATATTCTTAATACTTAGCTATTATAGCTATATCATAAGAACTTCCTTGTTATTAATCACCTGTTATATAAACAATATAATACTTTATCTATCTTTGACTTCCGCTTAATAATTAGTAAGGATAATAGTAACTACTAGCGTTATAATAGTTTTAACTATTTATGGGCTTTAGGTTCCCCTTATAATGAATAATATAAAATTAGCTAATACCTTATAAGTCTATACTCTAATTTCTCTCTTCTTAATAAGTCTATATTAACTAAATATTTCTAGCTAAAGGTGTAATAAGCTTCCTTGAATAAATAGCGATTTGCACCCTAGCTAAGAGTATATTAAAAATCTTACTACTATTATTAGTTAGTACTAGATAACTAGAAAGTTTATAGCTATGTTACTCTATAAGTATAAGGATACTCTGGTTAGGTAGGTTAAGCTTAAGGTAGAGCTTAAGATAATGCTTAATGAGTTAATTAAACCTATCCTTACTGAAATTATTGACCTAAGTAAGCTTAATATAATGCTTAAGGTAATAACTAGAAAATGGATGAAACCTGCCTAATTTAACTCTCTTGATCTAAATAATATCTATAGAATTATCTTTAAGCTTAGTACTAAGGAGAATTATCTAGTCCCTTTTGAGTTTATAGAAGGCCCTATACCTATGTCTAAGGATAATAATACGCTTACTAGCTTTATTAATGATTTCGTTCACTATATTAAGAGTTATAACCTATCTAATGTGATTAGGCTTTAATTCTTAGGGCCTATTAAAGATAATAGCTAGTTTATCCCCCTAACTGCTAAATTTAAGTTAGGTAAAATAGGAACTATTATGCTTTTAATATTTATTATGAAGGGCTGGGAACTTGTCCCTACTAATTGGCCTGGCGTTAGCTGGCCTAGCGCTAGTAAACCTACTAATGTTAAACCCCCTACTAGTTAATCTTAGGCTGAGAAAGTGGTTAATAAGGTAAAGACTTACTAAGTTTTCATTAGTTAAGTATATTATAATAAAGATGTCTTGAAGCTGTTAGCTTGGAAAAGGCTATTATATAGTAATAACGTTTGATTTATAGTTTCTATTATTAGTAGTCACTTTAATAGTACTACTTCTTGATTCTTTGTAGCTACTTTAACTATGCTGCCTCTTGTATTTGCCTCTCTACTTCTTTGTTAGTTGTTGTTATCTGCTCTTAGGCCTTGCTACCCCTCTTATAGCTTTTATAGCCTTCTAGTCTAGTTATAACCAGATAGCTCTATCTATATCTATATATATTATCTATTCTATGTAATGAACTGGTGGTATATTTTAATATGCTATATATTATAATATTATTAATAATGTAATTCCAAACTATTTAAATGAAATATTATCTATATAGGTAGGGAGAAACTAGTTTAAGCATTAATAATGTGAGGATAATGCTTATAAACTGCGCTAGTGAGCACTTGCTATAGGGTTTAAGCTATAACTACTCTAGATAATTAGTACCTATACTATATCCCTTTTTTTATAAGGGAAGTGGCATATGGTAAAAATAGTAGGGCGATATATAAGTATAGAACTAGCCCTAGCTCCCTTAAACCCTAAGCTAACCTTTACCTTTATATTATTACTAATAATTATGTCTCTATTACTATAGATGTTTCCTGGTATATAGTAAATCTAGAGGCTTATAATATACTCTTAGCCTACTAGATTACTAAGTTCTTTAATAAGTATGGACTTATAAGGAATAAAATTGATTATTTTGCGGCTAACCTCTTAAGTAGTCCTGTCTCTACTATACTAGTATAAGATGTAACTAGCTATACTATATCTAGTGATAAGGTAGCCTAGGTAGTTTAGTTTTAGCACTTATAGCTACCTATAAACCTTATTAAGTTGGTAAGGTAACTATATAGTGATTTTGTCCCTGAATGTAAGGCCTAAGGTATATTTAGCTTAGTCTATATGTATGTGGTAAATCTTATACTTAGGCTGGCTTTCTATTGAGTTAGGAAATAGTTATTTTCTTCTGCCTCTTAAATAGAATTATGTTTGTAATAAACTGTGTAAGACTTTATAAGGTCTAATACCCTATCTATAGTTATTTATATATTATATCTAGTTAATGAAAAGATATGTATAGATTCTTTGCTTTAGCGTGGACTAATAAGTATGCCTATATATTAGAGCTGCCTCCTAGTTTACTTAATAAGTACTTTGAGATCCTGGATAAAGTCTCTTTAGATTTGCCTCCCTAGCTATAAGAAAGGCTAGATAAGGTTCGCTAGGGGTTGCTAAGGCTCTTCTAGCTTAGTTATCCTATAGTTCTCTAATATAATAACCTCTTAGTATAGAATTTAGAGTTCTTTATTTCCTCTCTATTCTAGGAGAATAATCTTCCTGAAATAGTAGGTTCTTTAGCTGGAATACATACCTCTTAAAATAATACTAATTAATAATTACTAACCCTAATTCCTATTTAGGAGAATAATATCTATGTAGATAAGGCTATTAGCTATATTATAGGTAAGTAGTTATATAGGATTTCCCCTCCTTTTACTTTAGTGTTTAAGAGTGAGGCCTAGGAAGATAAACTAATTAGCTTGTTATAGGTATTATTAATTAGGCTAATACGAAGATTGCCCTGTTTAGAGTATCTCTCGTGAGTATAGAGATCGTCCTTAGTATCTAAAATAGAACTAATTAGTACTTTTATCCTAACTATTATAGCCTTTAGTAGTTATTTTAGAATACTTTCTATAGTGTGATTAGTTATATCTTGAATGATAATTAATATATAATGGTAATTGTAAGGCTGTTTGGATTCTTCTAAAATTATAGCTCTATGGAGAAAGAATATATAATTGTATACCTTTTAGCTTTATGTCTGCTTTAAATTAATTATTTCTAGCTACTTGCCCCCTACCTAGGTTAAAGTAATAGGTTATAGTAATATGAGCTATGACCTAGGATGTATTTATATATCTAGTGAGCTAGTAGTAAATAATGAGCTTAGAGTAGATCTATTGGTGGGAGAAGAAGTACTTTAATGCACCTGGCGCTAAAAGACTAGTATTAGTGTAGTGTGTAAGGTGATTAATATGTTCCTGGGATATCTGTAGCCCTTATATGTCTTAGGTGTAGCTATCTGCTTAGAAGGCTAATAATGACTATTTATTATATTATATATAAGAGATTATTAGTATTAATGTTCCTAAAAATAGTAGTAGGATAGTGTATTTGTAAAGCTTTGGAGAAGGGAAAATTAAATGAATTATAAGCTTTGTAAGACTAGGAGAATTATAGAGGCTTCTTATAGGTATGGTTTAATAATGGTGTCTAAACTCTCTAGCTAGTTATCCTCTAATTGAAAATGTGTAACTACTAAAGTGTATTCTTAGTATGCTTAATACCACCTTATGCTCTCTTAGTCTACTATGCCCTTAACTTAATAGCTCTAGTGCTAGCTGGTACCCTCTTCCCTAATACTGGTAACTAAAGATCCTGAGAAGCTTAGTATATTCTCTACTAAAATATTTTGTATATATAGGTCTCTATATGTAAGGGTTACTCTATAGCCCTTTAGTATGGTAGGAATATATTAAGAAAGATAGCTAGATAACTACTTATACTGATTATTCTGTTCCTAGTTATTATATAATGCTAGGGCTATAGCTGAGCTAAACTCCTTATTAGTTTTAAATAGGCTATTAATATTATTATTAGGACTTATTATCCTAAAAACTAGGTTAGGTAAACCGCTACTATAAACGCTGCTAATAAAGTCCGTGGGGGGTTAATTAAATGTATCTGTGTGAATATTAGGTGAAGCTATAATATAATTAATAACTTTACTTTAATGGAGAGGGTCTTCTAGAGTGACTCTATATTAATGCCCTAGATATACTTTATAATAAGGTGGAGAACCTTAGAGTGTGGATTATAGTATATAGTATAGAGGCAAGGTATAGAGATTTTAAGATATTCCTCTATAAAGAGAAGTGTATTACCCTTATTCTCTGTAATTAACGCTGTACTTAATGAGAAAGATTCTCCTGATGATATATATACTACTATTGCTCCCCTAACCATACCTTCTGGGAGATAGTACTGACCTTGATGTGCCTTGAATTTTATCTAGTATAGGTAAAGGCCTAGGTAATTTAGTAGAGTTATAGAAGTATGGAAGCTTTACTAGTGTTTGTAGAGTTATGGTGATGATGTAGTGTTAAGGATTTTGGATGTATTGATTTAGATAAGTAGTTGGTTGGTTGGTTTTATTCCTACTCGGTTTTAGCTGCTATTTAATAATAGTTATGCTCGGCTAGTGGGGTTTAGCTGAAGTGCCCTAAATATTTATTAGTAGCGTCTTACTTCGCTAACCCCTGTTTGGTGTTAATTAGCTACCTCTAAACCTCCTATATTCCCTAGTTAACCTCTATCTACCTTGGCCTATTAGCTTCTATAGATAGTGGTTTGAATTACTACTATATATATAAGCTTGACTTCTAGTGAGGTGGACCCTCTACCTCTATGTCCTCCCTACCTATAGTCCCCCCCTAATGCTTAGCTTTATCTTATTATAGACTGATCTTAAATTACCTAAGGATTTAGGTTTATTCTATAAACTTGATGACCCTTACTACTACTTTGCTCTCTATTAATAACGCCTAGAAGTCCTAATATCGCTAGAATCTACCTATCTCCTGCTTTTGTATTATAGTGTACCTTCTATATTAGAGTAGGATGTGCGCTACTATCTATTATCCCTCGCTATAGTTATATCTTAGGTTAGTAACCCCTAATACTCTTCGCTTAAAGAGGAACTACTATATTCCTATCTTCTCTATCTGGAGCTAGATGTATATAGCGCTCTGCCTTCTACTGAAGTGCTTATGTGGTTGTAGCACCTTAGGTGTTGGCTTAGGAGTGTGATGGAAAGTTACTTAGCTACTGATTTCCTACTATTACTATGCTCGCTATCTTTTATTAATAACTCTATGTGACTATATTCTTAATGTGAATTGCTGTGAATGTAATACTGGCGGCTGGCGCTCTTAGTCCCTATTATTATCTATATCGCTATCCTATGGCCTCTTTAGCTGCCTAATTAGCCTTTTTATTGCTGTTTATCCCCTTATGGGCTGGATCTATCGGATCTCTACGGCAAGGCCTTGTGTTTGTAGTTCCTGCAGTTGTTGTGTTATAATCTGGAGGAGGTATGCCCCTGAATGGCCTCTGGGCCTCTGTACCGACCTGATAGCTGCCTGGTTATCTGTGTAGACCAATATTTTCTTCCTAATGTTGCTCCTGTTTCTGTTCTCCTGAGCGATCTGGAGAGCTAGAGAGATGCCCTATAGCTCTGCAGCATGCACTATCGATATGGTATCCTTGCCCACTCACTTCTGGTTTGATCAATAGTAGTACATACTGCTGCCGCTCCCACATGGCCGTTGATGGCGCTTCCGTCTGTGTATATATGTAGAGCATCTAACTCGTTCATAGTGTTGTACTGGTGTCTCGCTTGTGCCTTCTCCGCATTCTCTTCGATAAATGTCCTTGGGCCCGTCCACCAAGGCGGGACGACGGGGGGGGGAATCGCTTCTATTTGTTCCACATTCAATCCTTGCTCCCAATAGGCGTGACGTTTTCTTAGAACTCGTGGTCGCTGTGTTGGCAATTTTGTGGAGGGAGTCTAGAGACGGGATCGGATATTTTTATGGGCTTCTGCACAATAGGTCTTAGTAATTAGGACTGCGCCATACAAATGTGCAACATGGGATCACATCTCATAACCAGCCAGCCAGCCACATTTCCAGAAACCAGCCACACGTCTTAGGACCAGCGGACCAGCCACATGTCTTTCTTAAGATGAGCCATATATGAGCCATATATCCCTGTTACGCACAGCCACGTAATTACCTGGTTCTCGAAGTCAGCGCCTCTTGGTCCAATCTCCGGTATTTATCCGAGATATGGAGATACCGTTTCTGAATCAATTTAATGGACAGTCTGCCAACTTGATCATACTCACCACAAAATTCCAATGTCTGACCCAGAGATTGTACGGCTTCAACGCGAGAACGAAAAACTCAGACGCGAGAAGGAGGCAGCGGAGGCGAGAGAGGAAAAGGAGCGGCGCGAGAAAGAGGCAGCGCAGGCGCGAGAGGAGAAAGAGCGGCGCGAGAAAGAAAAGGAGCAGCGCGAGAAGGAGGAGCTCGCACGCGAAAACCAGCTAACTACATTAGATGAATATCTATAGAACTACTATACCTATCTCTACTAGAACTTTAAGCTTGCCGATAAGTCTATATCCTTAATAGGGTCTATAAGGGTTAATTATAAGTTCTACCCTATATAGCTATATCCTTAGAGTAAGTTTATAGACTTATTATACTAATAATAGTTTAAGGTAATTAAGGGGGCCTATAGAAATAAGTAACTCTTTAATTAATAAAGTACTACCTAAGATATAGGAAGGAGTATTTCCACTAAAGTAGTAGCTAATAAGAGTATAATTACTTATTTTAAAAAAGTTATAATAGAGGACCTTATTATTACTATTTTTAAGTATCTAGAAGGCTAGGAAGTAATATATATAAAATATAGATTTAATGACTTATAATTTAGTGATAATAGCTATAAAATTATATAATTAAATAGTTAAAGTTAACTAGTAAATAAGGAAGATCTAGGTAATAATAGGCTAGAGTAATAGCTATAGATTAAGCTAAATAAATAAGTAGTATCTAAGTAGAGAGTAAAGCCTTAGCTAATAATTCCTAATAGGTTTAGGCTTTAAATATAACCTAGTGGAGATAAAAGTATAGCGTTTATTTATAACTATAAGGTAGCCTATAAGGTTATAGCTAAGTATATTAAACTAGCTATTATAAAGGAAATATTATTTATAGAAGTTATTAAGTAACTTAATAGTAATAAGTTAATAATAAGTGCTAAGCTAGAATAATTTAGAGTAGAAGTATAGATCGCTATAGCACTTATATAAGTCTTTAACTATATAATTAACTATAGGGTTATATATAGCTATATTATAGTAGGCTAATCCCTATTACTAGTTTATTTTAATTAAGCTAATCTATAGATACTATATTATTATCTATATATACTAGATGAAGATATAGGTAAGATGTTATTCGCGAACTAGGCTAATAAAATAATATATATAGTAGTAGCTTAACTATTAAGCTTACTCTTATTAAGTCTTAAATCTAATATGCTTTAAAGGGCTATTCTTAATATAGCCTTAGAGAGTATGAATATAGTATTAGTAAGGTAGCTAAAACTATATAAGGATACTATATATTTCCTCTTAGGAGAGGATATAGAGTTATTACTAATACTATTATCCTTACTGCTATAAGGGGATAAATTTATATCTATAGTAGCCCTAACTAGCTAGGTAGTCCCCTTATAGTTAAGGTTATTATATAGGAACCTAGTGTTACCTCACTAGGATAATAAGAGTAATAAAGAGGAGGAGCTAAAGGGCTATTTACCCTTATTATAGATAAGACTAGATATAGCTAAATAGAAGGTTAGTCTATTAGATAGTAGCTCTAAAGAAGATACTAAAATAGCTAATTTAGTACCTACTAGGTAATACTACTTATAGGCTTATTTATTAAGCCTTAAGAAGGGCTAGGATATAGATAATAGCTATCCTAATATACTCTCTTATTATATAGTAGGTAGAGTTAGTATATAGTATCCTATTAATATTAATAAGTTTACTTACTTAGTTAGTAAGTAGTTATATAAAGACTTATACTAAGATTATTATACCTTAGATAGGTAGGGTAAGAAGGGAGTAATAAGTATACTATTTAGAGTGGAACTTATACTATATAGCTATATATTTATTAGTAAGGGGATATATTTAAATTATCTTAAGTATCTATAGTATAAATATTATATTTACGCGTAGTTAGAGAGCCTCTAGGGCTAGGTAGTACCTATATAACTAGGTCTAGTGTACCTAGATTAGGGCTATATTCTACTAAGTAGGATAAGGGTGGTTTATATAATACTAATATTATAGAGCGGCGAGGAAGTAGTAAAGGTAAATATAGATATAGTAGATCTATGGGTATAGTGGTACTATTTATTATAGGCTATCTAGGCTAAAGGCGTTAACTATAGTGATGAGCGTAATATTAACTTACTCTAGAATGCTAAGTGCTACTATATTATAATTATTAATTTCGACTATACTATCCTTTAACTAGCCCTTAAATACTACTAGCTCTCTACAGTATCTAGGAGTAAGAGAAAATATAGAGTAGATAACCTTAAAATTCCTTCCCGGAAGTATAGTTTGCTCTATAATCGCCCGTAGTTAGACTATCTGATGTCAAGGTAGAAAGGATATTAAGAATCTAGCGACTCAGGTATATGGCCAATATGAGTCACTTGATATTACTCGTTTCGCCATTTTAGATAATTAACACAGGGTACAGCTACATCATATACAGCTAAAAACCCCAATAATCACATCTTTATTTTGGTATTGATTAACCCGGGTGTCTTGCCCCACGCGTCAGTCTTGCTGGAAACAAGGATGTGTCGCTCCAAATGTGAGATGAGAAGTACATGTAGTACGTGCCCATGAAGAAGGATCGGTCACCAGCGATAAAGTCGCCAAGGAATGGTGATAACTTTGGCGAGCTGGTCGTCAGTGAATGCCTCGCGTCCGAAGCCCACAGAGTAGTCAGGTTGGGGACGAGTGCCGGTCAAAGGGATTGAGTTGTTCCAGCCCTCGTTGACACTCTCGATCAAACATTTGAGACCGGTGGAATCATATATAGAATTTCTGCTGGGGACTCTGCTAGCCAACGGCTAAGCGCCCCCGGTTGCATCAGGTGGGGAGGAACTGCCTCACCCCCCCGCAACCCGCTCACAATCGATAACGCAAAAGCTACTTATGGAGTGCTGGATCACAAGAGAAATAGAGTTTGCCGCGTTTCGTTGCGTGACAGCTACCCTGTTAATCTCTGGGGAGCTTATTTCCTTGGTGCTGAGTCAGCTTCAGATTTGTAGACTAACGCAGCATTCACAATTTGCTCAACGGCGATATGACACAGCGAAGCTTAGGGGTCGCCAGAGTAACTGAAGCCTACCCTTGCTAGTAGAAAGATCAAGACGGGGGGCCAATTCACTACTACAACAATACCACATGATGTTGCGATTTTGGTGGACGCCAGCGTAACCACATCACCAAGCCACAATTCGGGATTACGTCAGTATTGAACGAGCCACTTCTGGGAATTACCGTGACCCGAGAGTGGTGCTGTTCTTGCCTACCCTATACTTTGGATCATATCAGTATTTATTTTTCTTTTCGTTTCTTTCGACTGAGGTATAAATATTGAAACAAGTAGCTCAACAAAACTCGGTAGTTAGTAATCAAAAATTATCTCACAAGTCGTTCTCAACTCAAACGTCCTTGGATACCGATATCATACAACGTTCGTCGAAGAGGCGACGCTCGACCATCCGGCTCTCCCAGCAGCCAGATTCTGGGATAGTCTTAACGAGGAATGGAGACGATCACCCAAGGTAACCATTATGGTCTGTAATCTGGTTACAGCCAATTATAAATGTCAGTGGCGATATACATAGTGAGCTGAGGAGTTCTATGAGAGTCTTGGTGCTGCTCCCTTTGAATCAGGTGACCCATGGGAGCCTGGCATAGTGGGTTCGCATTTCCTGCGAAATGACTAAGCGCAGTGACCTTGCTGATCTCTTGACCTAACCCTGGCATGGCCGGAATAACGACGATAATTAGTGCGTTCGATTATTGCAGCGGCATGACGACTTCTAATCGGGTGTGCTGTGAGCCTGATTCAACCTAGAATTGTTCAAGCAGGGCGCCGAGGTCCGACCCTTAGAGGAGAGAGTTATGCGCCTCGCGAAAGAGCATGGCAGGACTGTGCCAGTTCCCGATATCCGCGTATCAACTTATAAAAATGCAAAGGCCGTCCCCGCCTAGGGCGAGCTATCTATGGATTTAATGCCCGATAAGACGCTTCAATCGTCATGGCTACCCTGTGAGACAGAGTGCTAAAGAGATGACGTAATGGTGCCGCCGTGTCTAAAAAGCGCGTAACGAGCGAAGCGGATTTGCCTGTGGCAGTGCAAGCCGCCACGAGTACAGAGTCGCCTGCGTTCACCGAAGCGTACACAGGATGGAGGTGTACGGCATCAGCCATATATGCATGTGCAGCGGAGAATATCTATAGTACTTGCGTTGTGCTCGCCCGTCGCGCTATCCTTAGAAAAGTACTTGGCTATTGGCGACCTGTACCTGCGATCACGTTGATGTGATTGCGTTTGTTTATTTATTATTACGCTATTAAGCGTTAGCTATCGGTCATAGGAACTGTTGTATATTGATTAGGTAGTGCTAAGCTAATTAGCTAGCGTGTGTGATTTACTATATATTTCGTTATAGAGTCTTCCCTACTATTCTCTAGAAACAAGCTAATAATCTTATTACGCCAGGTCGTTTAAATCGCATAGTATACATTCGCTTGTTTAGCGTCTATCTGTGTTTATTAACCCCCCTAATCTCCTTCCCCGCTTGATGATAACTGCTGAATATATTAGACCCCCTGGTTTATATTATGGGCTAGATCTACGCTATCGCTACTAAGTTTATTATAGCTTAAGCCTTCCTTAATGAAGAGTATAATAGACTAAGCTACATCACTTAGTAGGATAATAATAGCTATATTCTTAGCTAAATTAGCGGGCATAATATCGCCATCGCTATCCTGCCGGATAGAGAGTATAGTACTACCTTGGCGGCAGTGGTAGTACGGGATCTTATCTATAGCTTTCTAAATGTGTGTATTAGGTTAATAGTGGGCATTAGGGGCGGCATACCTAGCTTAAAGTATGGTATATATCTTAGCGATATGGTTATTAGTAGCCCTAATAGTAGTAAGGGCAGTATATTCTAGTATAACTTTAGTAAGATTATTTAGAACATTGTGTTCTAAGAAATAGGGTTCTTAGCCTAACCTCTAATAGTATTATAGATAGCTATAAGCTCCCTTAAGAGCACCTATAAGCTATAGGGTTATTAGCTTATAGATGAGGTAGAATAGGCCTTGAACCGCATTAAATAGTAAAAGAAGTATATACGACCTGCTCTAGTATATGATAGATTATATAAGCCTAATACTATTCACCCGATAATATCTAATAATTATAATAATATATATAATATAGCTTACCTAGTAGCTTATAGCGATTAAGATAAGGAGGATGATGATCCTGCTATATACTATAGTCTGATCGCTAGTGGAAACTAGCTAATAAAAGATATATAGATTAGGGATAAGCTAGTAATAGATAAAGGAGTCCTCTACTTTAAGATAGAGGCAGCTAGCCTAATAAACTACTTTTTGTGTTTAGTAATCTATAGTATATATGATTATTCTAACTTATATAAAAATAAGGAGTAGTAGGGGTTCTCTACTATAATAGCGGCAGTATACATATAGGACCTTCTCTAGTAGATCCTACTAATAAGGTTAAGGTGGAAAGACTAATTTCTAAGGCCCTCTATGCTAATTAGTTTATATATCCTTTATATTCACTCTATCTAACTTAATATAGTTAAATATAAAATCAATAGGCTATAGTAGACTATTATAGTAATAAGTGCTAACTAATATACTAATAAGATTAAGCGATAGCTTTACCCCCTTGATCTATCTATAAACGCTAACTATATAAGGAAGCTTCACTATAAGGGAATAGGTGTATAGCTTCTGGAATACTTAGTCTTCTAGGACTAGTACTTAGGGTCACGCTAATATTTATGGCTGCATAGGCTTATAGGATGTGGTAAGACTATCCTTAGTGTAACTATGCTAGATTATCTTATAAAGGGAAGCAGCTATCTTATCCTTAGCTTCTTCTTTGACTTTAGTAATAAGGTAAAGAAAACTATAGATAGTATACTATGGTTGCTTATCTTCTAGCTTTATTAAGGGGGGACTAATTCTATATATATCCTTAATACCTTATTCTAAGTATATTAAGATAGCCGCGATTAGCCTTCGATAAAAGCGCTCTTGGATACTTTCTTTATAATGCTCATAGCTTAAGAGCAGGTTATTATCGTTCTGGAGCTATAGATGAGTTAATATTGAGGGATGAGCTTCTCTGCTAGATTAAGGACACTATATCTAGGTAAGGCCTTAGCCACATCTAAATCGTTTGTACTAGTTAGCCTAGAAGCGAATTCTAGTGTGATATGCCCTCCTTAATGGGCGTGGAGAATAGCTTGGCACTTAATAAGTAATCTGTTAATGCTGATATCCGATTATATATTATAGCACAGCTTTTAGAGCGGTGTGATTTTCGGGATAAGCGCTTATCCCTAGAAATCCGCGATAAGATATAGAGAAAGGTCAGAGATAGGGCCGACAGCATGTAAGATAGCACTACTTCAATCGATGTGTCGATGCCTTTCTGACGGCGTGTCTAGGTTTAGGTGGGCATTATGTCAATAGCGGGACGCTACGCGCAAGGGTCCACTGAGACAGTACTTGACAGAGTCATGTCTTCGTACGCCTCGTCTATCAAGGGATTGATATATGGACGCCTGCACCGTCTTGATAAACCCACCAGGCCTCCATCTGGCCATGCTATCCTGGTTGCCATGCGCAAAACACCAGACTTGTCCATGAATGGAATACTTCCTTTCGCTGCCGCTGAAGTGGAGATGTTGAACGACCTTTGCCCGTCACTCCGGCTGAAACCAATTAAACCGACCCTGCGTAAAGAGGACGTTCTTAAACATTTGCACTCGTGTAGGATATTCCATTTTGCAGGCCACGGGCGGTCGGATCCAATGGAACCTTCGCAGAGCTGTTTGCTCCTCGAGGATTGGAAAACCAAGCCACTAACCGTGGGAGACCTCCGCGACCACAAGCTCCAAGAGAACCCGCCGTTTCTTGGTTATCTCTCGGCTTGTTCGACTGGGGCCAACGAGGCGGATAGACTCGCAGACGAGGGAATCCATCTTGTCAGCGCCTTCCAACTCGCAGGTTTCCGACATGTTGTTGGAACGCTCTGGGAAGTCTCGGACAAGCACTGTGTTGATGTGACGAGAGTGCTCTACGAGACGATGCGAACTGGCGCCATGAGTGAGTTAGAAGAGGCCATTCGTATGACGGAGGACGCAATAAATATTGTGCCAAAAACTTCCGCGTTGGGCAACCAGGTACGCCAACAAAAGCCAAACCATACGAGAAGCAGTACCGCCTGTCCTGATTTGAAATGGTAGAATTGCGGCCCAAACGTGCGATCGAACCCAGAACTGGCAGGCTGAGATAGGCACAAGGATATATAGGCCCGTGTATTGGCGTTATTTGAGAGGACAAAGATGCGTGGGATGAAAAGAACTAATTTTTTTTTTCCGTGATAGCAATTCGGCCACTATCATTGCTAGGTTTTGAGAAGAAGAGTCAAAATCTGCATGAAAAGTTAGTAGTCTTCTCCGTGCCACCTGAAATTCCCATATTAAACCTTTATCATCCCAGCTTCCGTGGGCAATATGAGGACGCCTTTGCCTACGTGAAAGGACAAATGCGAATGTTGGTCGAGCCGACTAATGAAACGTCTCCATTTGAAGATTTTCCTTCTCACCAAAGCTAATTAGAGTCAGATCTTGCTCTCGTAGAATGATGAGAAACTCTTTTGATGATAGATGCTTCTATAATTTGAATATTTTAATTACGGGCATTGCAGTCACACGCAGATTTCTCTATGTTAATTCTTTTTCCTTTTCCTTTTCCTTTTTTCTTTTTTTATGGCAAATAAAAGGGACAAGAGGAAGGGAAGACATCAATGACACTCGCTTCGCATATATTAATATTTTGATGGAATATTAGAGATTCTAGGAGCGTGGACACCAGGGAATTGGAAGTAATCTTGACAGCATAGTTTAACTTCGGCTGAATGTGTACACATAATATCATTATAAGAGCAGGGTAGTATTAGGACTAACAAGATATAGTAAGTGGAATATAGTATAGTACACGATGATTCTTAGACGCTGAAAAGCCCCATTAGCTAATTCCTAGCTCCGAAAGTAATATATATAGCCTTAAACTTAACGCCTCTAGTATAGGCTATGCCTATCCTCTAATGTGAAGATTTTAATGTAGTGATAGCCCTCTAAAATATAAGTTTATTATATAATTAAATAGCCTTATGTACTGTCTGGTGCTCTTATAGCTTTACCGCTAAATCCTAAGCGTCTTTAAGAGCTAAATTAGCACTATTACTAGTAAATGGGCTAATAGTGTAGTTACTGTCACTAATAAATATGATACCTGATAGGCCCTTATCGTCGTGAATGAACGGCTGTTTATCACGAGTAGGTATCACGAACACTGTGGAAGGATCGGTTGCCTTGATTATTTCTGAGAAAGGTCCCTTTAATATTTAGCTGATCTACTTTGCCTCTTTAAGGGCTGCCTTCTTATTATTATTACCTATAAGCTTTTGCTAAGGCTCTAGCTCCTTAAAGCTTATTGCCTAGATAGCACTAGTTTTATCTATAGGCGATATAAAGCATCTTACCCCTTGCCCGGAAATAGCTATACCCTAGGTTTTATTAATTAGTTTAGGTAGGTTGCCTTTAGGGAATTAACTAATTCCTCTAATCTAGATAACTCCTTAGTAGTTTAGTCTATCCTTAGGGTGAACTAATGTATAGATCTTACTATAAGTACTATCTGCGGTAACTAATAGGTTACACTCTTCCGTTTTGGTTCTAACTTCTATGCTTAATAGTATAACCTCTACTTAACTATTATCAAGCTATTTAGTAGAGGTATAAGTAGTGCCCTAATAAATCTTAGTGATCTTCTCTACTACTTTAATTAAGATATTCTATAGGTCTATACGCCTAATTCTAATACTAGTAGTAGGTAGCCTATCGTGAGGCTTATAGGTGACTTATAGTAATTTATTCTACTCTACATCCTATATACGAAATGAATTTATACTATTTACTCTAAGTAAGGAGTATTTTAAAGCGATATTAAGAAGACTGATATTATAGAGGGCTACTAAGCTGCTGTTAATATCTAGGCTGTTTAGGGATAGAGAGTAGCCCTTGTGTTCCTAGCTGACTTTCTTAGGATTATAGTTATAGATAAGGATGCTAGGGAATTTTCTAGATAAATGGACTAGGGATATGATCTATTGGTGGTAGAGGGTAATAACGAATGCTAAGCCACCGATCCCAGAACTAGCGATAATAATTCTCTTGCCCTGTAGGTGATGATAGGGTGGAGGGGCCGCTATCATTCATTGCATAAAGGAGCAAACAAAGGGTCTTTAATCCTTTGAATGACCTGACCATTGCATAAAGGAGCAAACAAAGGGTCTTTAATCCTTACTAGATATAAATAAATGACGTTCGGTGAATTCAATAAACCGTAAGGCTGAATTCACTTCCCGAAAGCTTACGTCACCCGGAGGTTAGTTAGAAAAATAGCATCAGGGTACCCTATCCTTTAGCGAGCATGAATATGTACATACTTATCCGAGCTGATTTAAAATGCCGTTGGCTCACTATTAAATAGAGGATGCTGACAAGACCCGGAAGAGTCGGAAGCTTGGCCCATGACCTGGCTTCCACAGCATCTCAGGCATACCACCTTATGCTTCAAACGAGATTTTTTTTCTCACAGTATCGTAAAGATCACAAGCGTGGTTTTACATTCGTGGGGAAATTCTTTTTCGTTTCCATCATTTGTCTTTTTGGTGTAGCATGTTGAGAGATAATAGTAAACCTCGCAAAATTCCGAACACTGCGCAGCTGATGCCTGCCCAGGTTTGGGGCTTGTCACAAATACATTAACACGGTTACCTTCTTAGTAATTTCTCCTGCTTATCAACAGCCAGTGGTTCGACTACGCTGCCGGCAACAAGTTTTGCTTTTTTCGCTGAGAAGATAATGAAACGACATCATCGTCAGAAAAGCAATATCTACCAGATACGCAAATGCGAGTGTTCTTCAGTATGAAACGAAAAAGCGTTACTAGCGTGTACTACTTATTCAACCGTACAATAGTTGTCATCGTCCTTTGCACCTTTCCTGTTGTAGTTCCCGTGTCTCACTTCTTGCCAAGGTCTTGGTTCCGGTTACCCGTTCGTTGCAGGGTGCCCTAGAGCGACTTTGCACATCACGAAACCATGTTAGATGGTATCACTCCCAGTCGTGGCAAGCTATGTTCCAGCTTTGGGATTCATATTCTCATAGGTGCTTGTCAAAAGGTTATGAGCAACTGCTAACTAACCAACTTGAGATGAAGCGGCCCCTTCCACTCGGTAAGACATCAGGACCGCTCGGTAAAATATCAGGATCTGCAATATAATCATGCATATTTGGTATCATTCCTCGTGTGAAGCGCATACAGTGTAGTTGATTTTCCTCTTCCATCAATCCTTGCCGTAATATGCACCTGCATATGCATACGCCACAACTTCACGGGACTGAAAGCAACCATCTCGTTTGCGTAGGAGAATGCACCATGATCCTTTGTCGACTCTCAACAAACATAGAAATTTCGCAGCTACATCAACGGCGTAGATGACCCAAGATCCAAAGGTAACTGGGTGAAAGCTCGGCCTCTTGCCCCCAAATATCTGCAACATCCATCGAACCACACTGCTGGATAGTAGTAGTGTATAAGGCGAGGCCGCCGGGTGGCCAAGGATTCAGCCCATCCTGTTCAGGAAACACTCGGCTAGAAGAAGTCTGATATCCTTACAGGCGCAGGGCCCAAAAGCCAATAGTGTGGGTGAATCCTCTCCCTTTCCGGCCCTCCCCTACTTCTACATAGAGAAGGATAACCTGTCTACACTTTGTGTTGTAAGTCCTGTGGAAGGCACTGCCCGGAATTGGCCGAGTGTAAATACGCACGGAGGCCCGTTTTGCCTGTGCGCATCTGCGTACTGACCGAACTGATCGCTCGGTGTAAACCGTTGTGGATCGAGAGCACGGCTTTACTTGGTCGGGCGCCGAATTTGAAAAGCTCTCTGCCGTGTTGGCCGTTTTCCATGTTGCAGACCATTCGTTCTGTCAAAGCAAGCTCCCGCGTTGCGCTGCTTTCTGCGCTGGAAGGCTGCATTGACGGCCATCATCACTTGCACAAGGTGGGCCTTCTCCACAGAGACATCTCTATCAACAACCTCATGATGAATGAGGATGAAAAGAACCCTTCCTGGACAGCCTTCTTGATCGACCTTGACCTTGCTGTTCGAGGGCAACGAGAAGGTGCCTCTGGAGCAAAGGGAAAGACAGGAACGAGGGCGTTCATGGCTATAGGAGCGCTGTTGGATGATGAGCACTCCTTCATGCACGATCTTTTTTTTTTTTTACAATTAGAATTCAGAGCAATTTTAACAATCTTAAAATAAGTTAATTAATACATTTAGTTACTGTACTAATTTCCGTCCAACTCAAGTGCCCCTCGAGCGTCGGCGATCTGAAGACTCTGTCAGCAAATAGCAACTCATCGTGATGATGAACAGCAAGGTAAGGTAAGGGTATAAACGCACATGGGCATTTGCAAAGGCGGCCCGGTCAGTTACCTCGTTAATGGTTGGATCGCATTCATTTGTCCTGTCATGTGGCGAACACAGGTAATTAAAGAAGAAGCTCAAACATCAGTAAATCTATGGTATGATGATGGCTAGCCTTGACTAGACAGAGCGAAAGGCTGGACTTGCGGACCAAGATGAAGAAGTCTATCTCAAGTCAATGAAAAGAAGAGACCAAATGGTCACCACACCATACAGGGGTGGTAGAATTGGACGATTGTACTTACAAAGCCTTCGCACAAGCTTCCGCTCTTCTTTGCCTTTGGCCTCATCTCCGAGGAAGAAAACCAGTTGATGAGACTCAGACATGACTGCACACATTCCTGATTCTCGGATGTTTTTATACCCTTTTTCTTGTGCCAGAGGAGTTGTTTGGATTCCCCCATTTTGAGGATGAGTCAAAGGCGCAAAGTTGAGAACTCGTCCGCAACCTTTTGTTGAAGAACTGAATGCTGAGATGTGCGCAGTTGATATATGAAAGTGGCTTTTCATGTCTACAGGCAAGGAAGTCAGGGTGGTTCTCGCTCGAGAACCTGGTCGTAGTAGAGACCGATTAGAACAATGAAAGGAGTTGCGAGGGGATAGCTATGAACTTGTTCTCTGATAGTTTACGCTTAAATGGGATTTATAGGATAAATGGGGAAAAAAAGTAAGTAGCAAGAATATACATCAAGGATATACTCTTAAACTTAGCTGTATATTTATTACTAAGTTCTAATCCTAGCCCTTAAGTAGTAAATGCTATTCTCTATCCTCGAATCACTGTACGTCGGCTTCAAACAGCGATACATTAAAGCGTGCCGGCCCCCCAGTAAATGGTTCAGATCCAAATTGGTACACTACACCTTATAGTTAGTAGACTGCAGTGGTATAGAGCTGGGGTTGAGATGTGCGTACTGAGCATGTATTGTGTTGCTGCCGGAAACGCGTGAGCCTTTGTCAAATATTGGAAAAACTCGATGACATCGCCACTGAAAGAGCTAAGATCTCCATTCGCTGGCAAGAAACTGTAAACTCTCATGGGAGGGGTCCAAGCAGTGTTCCATCCAGTGTACAAGTTCCAGGTGCGCCCAGCAAGAGTGACCTTAGCAACGGGCGCACCGCTCTCAGTGATGGGCCAGACCCCGCCGAAAACAGCAAGCCTAGACAAGCTGTTAGCATGATTTATCAGTGGATGGGAAGAGGAAAGCTTGCCAGATCATTATCTCATACTCCCCATCTGAATGGAAATGATCAATATTCTTGTGGGTGAAGATATCATAAGCCACGTTGCCTCTAATGTCAGTAATGTTGTATGACCATCGAACTGTCGTTGGGAGATGGTTTATCTCGCTAATGCGCTTACGTTGAAACGCACGATTGGCGTAGCTGTAACTTTTGACTGTGTCCTTGCCGCCAACCCAGTGCCAGTCAGAAGCCCAGGCTACACCACTTCGGCCAGCCGGACCATAGTAGTACGTACACTGGGAACCACTGGTTGCCGTGTTCATTCCCCAGAGATTGTTGTTAAATGAATAATCTCCAGCGTTGTAGTAGGCATACTGATCACAAAGTGAGGCAACCGGAGTAGGCTGGGATGGAGTCACGGAAGTGGAAGTGGGCGTAGGCGAAGGCGGTGCCTGGAGGCACTGCGAAAACCCTGCACATTAAAAATTATTGCTGCTTAGAACAAGTATGTTTGGGTATATCAGCTCACAGTCATTGACCTTTTGGCAGGTCCAACCGGATTGGCAGACAGTCGGTCCTGTGTACCCGTTACCTGCTGATACATTCTATGATTAGCATGCTTTCGAACTCTCCTTGTCATTGTCATCATGTTGCTTACCCCCGCATTGGCTCCAGGGTCCGGCCTGAGCTGAACTCAAAGTCCCGAAAGTCAACAATAAAAATGCATTCAAGAGCATGGCGGATAGTAGATGATGTGAAGCAAAAACGGTCTTTACTATGTAAGAGATGTGTCTCGACTCTGGAAATTTGAATCTCATATCTGTCACTATGTCATGTTATATATTTTAAAATTCGGAAGATCATGTTCCATCAGGTATTGTTCGCCTGAGCATTTGTTTAGTTGTCATTTTCGAAGTCCCTAATGGAGGAACTGACTCCATTTAGGAACCATCTAAACAACAGCTGTACTTTTCACGTAGGATTTGTCCCCACGAGTGGATTATGGTACGTTAATTACACCCACCAGTTGATGTATCTCCTGTCGGATCGACAAAGTAATGTCTGTTGTGCCAGCTGCATTTCATCATGCACAGTTTTAAGTCATCAATTACCTATTTGGGAGAAATTCCCGCACCTAAACAACTTCTAACCCGCAAACGAACTATAGAGACTCCTGGCTGATACTTAGCCCGTGGTGGTTGGGGTCGGCGCTGATGCTGCAGAGGCCGACCGAGGAAGGCTCGATGGGACGTAGGAATCCGATAGGACTGACACAGACGCAGACGGGCGAGACAGATTCCGGGTTGGGTCTGGGTACTCGCAGCGAACATTGCGCCGTACGCATGCCCGACAACTTGGGCGCTCCTCGCTACACTAGGAAAGTTCTTTTAGTCGGTAATTTGAGAAGTTCCATCCAAAGCAGGGAATTAATAATGATAATAGCCTTGTTCTTCGTCGTTGATTTCATGTGTCACCGAATCCTTCGGGAAAACTATCGGTCAGTCGTAAGAATAATGGTTTGTTGACCTTGAACAAGAAGCGGGGGAACGAGGAACGAGACGTGGTAACGAGGAACGAGGCGTGGGAGCGAGAAACGTGGATCGGGAACGGAGAGCGATATGCGCTAGCCTCCCTATCCAGGTGCCATGGATTAATTCCCTGACGGATGCGGACGACCTATTTATAGAAATATTATTTATTGCCCTCACCCGCGATAGCCTGGCGCATAGCGCGCATCATAACAAAGCGTGAGCTAGACATGTAGGAAACCCACAAGCGAAAACTCATTTCTCCGTAGCACTATATAACAACGTAGCAGCCATCTAATCACAAGCTAGCGAGGAAAGCTCTCGCCCTAGGATAGATAGGACAGGGAGCAAGTACTACTATATACCCAGTATATATAAAGCGAGGCCCTCTATCTAACGTCTAAGATAAGCACCTTAAAACCCTGCTGACCGGAGATAATGTATTCGCCCATCTAGTATATACTAGTACTACCTAGTAGGGAAAAAGCTAGCAAACGAACATACATATAAGAGTCTGCCCGCCAGATATAGCCAAGGGCGTCAGGCGATGAAGTTTATACTCAAGGCGGCCTCAGTAGGCCCATATGAAGGCATACAGTAAGGCAGCAAAGGCATACAGACAGATAGGGCCTAAGTGACGGCCTGGAGGCGCTAACGAGGTACCAGCAAGGTACCTGGCTTTAGCCTTTAGAGGGCCCTATTTTTTTTTCAAAGGGGAGGGGGGAGCCCATGCATCAGCGCGTGGGGAGCACTACTGGTGGTAGATAGGTGGTGCTATTAGCACACACAGTATGGAGGATTGTGCTTTCGTGCACCTCCGCCTCCACTCCAGACCCAGCGACTGACATCCAACAGACCCAACTGGACCGCGAAGCACCAGAACAGAGCTGACGTGGCTGTCGGGGACGAAACCACGAAGGTATCATGAAGCCGTCGCCCCGGCGACCGAACCAAGCTGCCTCCGCTGCTGCATACCGATCCCAAGCGGCGCCGCATCTTATCGACAATGGCATCTCCTTAAGCAGGTGAGTGACGACGCCGCATATCGAGAGCTCTTAGGCCATTCTCTTATCCAGTTCCTCGCCTACGCTTCTTAAATCTAACATATCATTAGAACTATCTCGCACAACAATTCTATTCTCCCCACCACCCCTCAACAAACCTCTGCCAGTATACCGCACTCTTCTTCCACGACTTCTTCCACAACATACAAGGGCCATCGCACAAGCGACTTAGCAGACTACCGCCATAACCGTGCTGTTCTTAATCTCTCTCGTATGCCATAAATTCAGCAATAGCCTCCCATAGCAACCATAGCATCCCATATCGCTCCCTAGATAACCAGTAATAGCTCCCCCTCACAGGCTAATACCCTTAGCGCTAGGAGCTTTTACAACAATTTAACCAACACTTAGTCTATAATATCGCAGATATCGTTAGTTAGTCTAGCCCCTATATCCCACTCCCGCCCACTCAGTAGTACTTATAAATCGCCAGATACCTCCTTCTATAATAGCTACCGCCTATTTATTATAAGTATTACTACTATAAGTAGTAGGGGTTTAAAGGTAAGTATATTATAAGGAGGATTCTAGAAGCTTTAAGGATTCTTTAGCAAGGAATTTCTAGGATAAGATAGCTTAGAGATTAGTCTACCTAGGTCGCTCCTAGGTAAGGACTAATATTCCTAGTCTTATAGCTATAGCCCGCCTTCCTATTATAATCATAAGTAGTCTAATACTAAAGATTACATAAGAGATACTTCTCTATTATTATTTAGGCTAAGAACACCTATCCCTATCGCTCTTAAGGTTATTCCCTTCCTCTACTAAGATAATATAGTAAGTGGCTCCTATCTCTATTTCCTCTAATATTATATATATAATTACCCTACACTTTTAACTAATAGCCGCTATATCTACCTAGAGTATCTATATATACTTTCTACTTCCCCTAAGTACCTATAGAAAGTCTTATCTAATCCTTATCTAAATTTTTTTTTTAATTTAGGATATTACATAGTATAGTGAAGTACCTATCTAGATAAGCTTAACTAGGCCTAACTAAGATTATTATATATTTAATACCTTATCATAATACCTACCTAAGTCCTCTTCCTCCTCTCAACCTAATCACTCTATTATACACTTACCTAGGCATTATCGCCACAATAGGAGCAATAATAAGACTTAATCTTTAAGACTAACTATTAGCCGCGAAGAGTCTATATAGAGTAGCTAATACCCACCCTCACAAGAGCAGGGTATATAACCTAGCAGAATATTAAACACACGCTTAAGAGCCTAGAGCCTAACCCCTAGTGTTAATAGTATTCTAGTTCTAGGTTTAAGATCTAGCTATAGTGAGGACTACTAGTTATTTCCTAGCTATAATAGAAAGCTCAACCTATTTAACTAGCTACACTAGCATTATAACCATAGCTAAAGGGAAAAGGAGGAGTCTACTAATACCTTATCCTAGTTAAAGAACCTTCCTTAGTCTACTAGGTCCTTATAGCCTAAGTATTTAAGGGCTAATCTCTATAGAAGAGATTTATCCCCTTTGCCTCTACTAGTTACTTCTAATCCTAATTTTAAGGCCCCTAAACTACCCTAAAACCCAACCCCGCATAGTACTATATTTAATAATATATTCCCCTTTCATAAGAAGAACTATAGCTATAATTAATATTTTTCAGAAGAAGATATTAACCTAATAGATAGGTAGGAATTAGAGTATATATACTATCTAGATATAAATCTAAATAATATAGAGGGGATTTTAATATAAGCCCTAGCGTTACCCCCTATAGATATAACCTTCTTAACTAATACTAATCCTAAGCGCTAGGAATCTATTATATCTCCTACACTAAAAGGTAGATAGGATATTCCTAATAGTTAGGCAGTATATTAAAATACCGACAATAATATATTCTATAGCCTAGAGATAGATAAGATTTAAGGCATACTACATCCTAATAAGAGGAAGATACTATATTATATATAAATATTCCATTTAGATAGGACCTTCTCTACCCACTCTATATTACTAGATATAAGTATAGCAGATATAATATTATAGGTTATTAAGAAGATATATATTATTAATAGCCTTAATAATTATTATATTATTCTAAAGAAGTAGAATCTTATTTAGGTTCTTACTCTACCTAAGCAACCACTCCTTATCTAGAAACATCTACTCTAGTAGGTAGGTTATAAAGATAAAGATTATATTAAAGATATTAGCTACAAAGATAATATATATCTTTATCGCTTTATATTCTTATCTACTAAAGAAAGTGACTTTTACTTAAGAATAGTAGACTTAATTATATCTTAGACGTAAAAGCTTAACTATATTAATTTATCTAGCTATAACCTTATTATAATACTAATCTCCCTCTACTTAAAAGTAGTAGATATTATCTTACTTAACCTATCTTGAAATTTATTATTAGATATCCTAAGGGATTTCATCTAGTCCTATAAGCATCTATATAATATTAAGTTTAATAATAACAAGGCTAGAAGACTCCCGCCGAGTCTAAGCCACACTAGTAAGCTTACCTATCTTAATATCTCTAATAACTAGGTTAAGTAACTTAAATATACTAAGCTAGAGATATTAAAGGGACTACTAAAGATAAACCTTATAAATAATTACTTAAAGCACTTACCCTTACACTTTAGTGAATATAAGGCATTAAGAAGTCTCAATATTTCCTCTAACTTTCTAGAAAAGTTTCCTATATTCTTATACTACCTATATAGTCTTATTAATCTTAATCTTAGTTTTAATACTATTAGTAGCCTCCCTAAAGATATTAGTCTACTTAAGAACCTAGAGAAGCTACTTATTATAAATAATAGACTTTTACACTAAGTGCTTAGTTCGTTTAAAGATATAATAAGTCTATATAAACTTAACATTAAGTATAATAGCATTACATCTATTAATATTATTTCAGAGCTTCCTAAATTAAAGATTCTCTATACCAACTATAACGCTATATCAGCCTTTACTAGAAAATTTAAACGCCTTCACTAGCTAAAGCTTAACTTAAATCCTCTTAATAAGTTTAAGTTAATATAAACCCTACTAACTTTAAAGACCTTAAACCTCTCTAACACTTAGCTAGTAAGTATTAATACTATATTTATCTATATCCCTAACTTAGAGCATCTATTTCTAGATAAAAACTACTTTATCTTATTACCCACATAGATTAGGATATTACTTAAGTTAGAGCATTTTAGTATTACTAATAACTCTATTAGAGAATTACTATTATAAATTAGCTACCTTATAGAGCTCTAGGTTCTTAATATATAAGGAAATAATATTTCCAAGCTTCCTATAGAAATATAGTAGGCGAAGTAACTTAAGACCTTTAATACCTCCTCTAATATCCTTAAGCACTTCCTAAAACTAGTATCACGCCCCCCTTAGGTTCCTAGAGAAGAGACCTAGGTCCTTATACCTATATAAAACAGAAAGCCTACACTCTTAATAGGATTAATATCTTTAACTAGAAGTAGTAAGGAATTATCTAATAAGAGAAGGCTTAGCTAAATATTAAGTACTCTCCTTAGTATTAAGCTATCTCTAATCTAAGATAGGAAGAGCTCTATAGTATCTATCTATAGAAAAGGCAGATGTAAGACTTTAGTAGTTTCTAGATTAATATCCTAGAATACACTAGTAACTACACTACCTACATTAGCCCCTCTAACTAGTAGAAAGGACTTAAGTTTATCCTTAAGACTTATCTTAACTTTTATAGGATTACTATACTATATTTATCTTACTAATAATCACCTTAATAATAATATTTTTAACTAGATTATACTACTTACTAAACTTTATATATTAAACCTATTATATAATAATAAAATTATAAATATACCTTAGAGATTAATTAAGAGCTAGCTATAATTAGTAGAACTCTATCTATTAGGAAGTTAGCTAGTAAGCTTACCTACTAATAACTTAGAAGAGTTAAGTCTCCTATAAACACTTTACATTAATAATAATAGGTTTATAAACCTACCTATAGATATCTACAGGGTAAAGAAGCTTACTATTCTTAACTATAGTAATAATTATCTTAAGTATAATATTTCTAATATACTATATAACTAGAATTAGAATCTTAATTTAAACTTATAATACCTTAACTTATCTAGTAATAAGTAACTAGAAATTAAGTAGATAATATAGGCGGGATAAGGTCTACTAGGATCAGGCGATATAGATTATAAATAATACACCGATTTCAGCTAGCTATTAAATCTCAGGGTCCTTAGGCTAATAGATATTACACTAATATAGCCTAGCATCCTAGACTAAAGTGAGGATCACTATATATAAACATCTAGCTCCTTAGTAGGTTATCTCCTATATAGTATAGCAGATACGCTTAATAAGAATAAGCATCTATTAACTATAGACCTTATTATTCCTTATTTTAATACCTCAGGGACTAAGGTGCTCCTTAGTCTTTTTAATAGATAGGCTCTTTCTAGCGGAGGCTTAAAGATTACTAAGTATTTACATAAAAACTTTAGGAATATATTCACTTAAGAGCTTAAAGCACTAAAGACTAGGTAAAATAAAAACCCTATAAATACTCTTTATTAAGCATTCCTAGCTATAAATAAGGATCTTATAATAGTTTCTATTTAGTACACTAAAGATCGCCCTAGGATAATACATTAATCCACCTCTTAGCCAATTATATTAAGCAAAGAAGACCTAACTTTAGGTAGTATTACTACTATAGTATATCTATAGGGAACTAAGCTCTACGTAGCTAATATCAGAAACGTTTAGGCTATACTAATTTAAATAGATAGCACGTATAAGATCTTAACCTATAAGCATAATCCTATTAAGCCATCCGAACAATCTAGAATTCATAAAGCCAGAGGGTAGGTCTCCTAAAATAGTAAACTAAATAATATATTAGAAGTATCTTAAGCTTTTAGCTATAGCTATCTTATATCTATAGTTTAAGCTACTCTATATATTAGTAATATAATAATTAGGGAAATAGATAATATTATTCTAATAGTTACTAGGGAGCTTTAGGAGTATCTTTCCCCTAGGCTAATAACTAATATTACTAAGGCTAAATAGGGAGACCTTATATAAGCTACGCAAAAGCTATATAACCTCACTATAGTATATAGTGCTTTAGGGAAGATTATAGTAATAATAATTAGTATTATAGATATTAAGAGGTAAATAGAACGTTTATAACTCTACTACAGCATAAGTATATTACTCTATCCTTCTAGTATCCCTAATAAAGTACAGGCCTTATTAATAAGGAGAGGTTATAAGGCTAAAGGAGATATTTTAAACTTATTACTTAGGCGATTAAAAGCGGAGATTCTAGTACTAATAGGCAATATCTTAATTATCTTTACTAATATTAAGAATTTAATAATACTATAGGAGATATATCCTAGTATAATAAGATCAGCTATTAAGTTATATAACGAACTTATAAGATATTAGTTAAGGCGGATTAGTAGATATAAAGTTAAAATGGAAGGTGATACCTTTATAGTTTTATTCCTAATAGCTATATTAGCTCTACTCTAGTACTTTATAGTCTAGTTAGGTCTATTAGATATTAGCTAGCCTTTAGAAGTATTAGGATCTATATTAATGTAATAGATTGTAGATAAGGATAATAATATTATCTTTAAGGGTCTTTCTATTTAAATAGGTATTTATTATAGTGACTATATAAGCGAGACAGACCCTATAACACGCTATATAGACTACTTTAGCCCTATAATTAATAAGGTGGTGAGAATTTCAGCTATAGTAGATAGTAGGTAGATTATAGTATTATTAGATTTTATCTCTAAAATCCAGTACTATTTAGAAAATTACTAAGATATTAACTAAAGTAGCTCTATACTAATACCTAAAGATAAATTTAAGGATAAGTTATTTATAAATTCTATTAGAAAGGATCTTTAATCTTTAACCTCTTAGGGCTTTAAAGTAAAGGAAATAGGAGAGAAGAAGTTAAAAGGTCTTAAAAACCCTAAAATAGTCTATTCTCTTTATCCCTATACACTTACTAGTTATATTAAGTATTACTAAGTGTTTAAGTAGCGTGAAGAAATTAATAGTAATAAGCCGGTAACTCTCCATCCTAGGATAGGAGATAATCTAAAACCTAAAATAGTCTAAGACCTCTAGAGAGTTAGCCTATATCTTAAGATGCTTTATAGTACACTAGAAACAGTTAGAGGACCTAGGCTATAGCCTCCTAAGATAGAGTTAATTAAAAGGATTAAAGCATAAGGAGGTAAAGTAATAGAGAAATTCCTTTATAATTTCATAGAGCATTAAGTTAGTAGGATAGAGGTAAGTTATATAATAGTATACTAATTTTTTCTTTAATAATCTAAGCTAATTAACCCCTCTATTATTAGACCTATATCTCTATACTTACTATAAGGCACCTTACTAGAGGCGAAGGGATATTATAAGAACTTAATGACCTATATAGCCTAATAGTAGCTATCCTAGACTATTTTATTTAGTAGAAGAGGGAGCTTAAAAGATATAAAGATAAGTATAGTAATCTTTCTAATTCTAATAATAGAGTTAAGGGACTGTAGAGTGAAGAGGCAAGCGACATAATATTTACCAATAATCAAAGCAGCGTGTTTAAGCAGGATTAGACAACCTTTGCCTTACAATCTAGTGTTATGCTTTATAGCACTGTCCGCAGCTTCCAGAGCAAAGACAGAGATATTGTCAGTACCATCTGTTCGGATGTGTGGGCCACCTGTGATTGGTCGGCCGGATTAGTAGTCGGACCGAGCATGCTTTACGGACGCTGGCAAGGGGCTTGCTGTAATGGTAGTACGCGACTCTGCGCACGCGGCAATTCTCGTACGCGACTTTGCGTCGACGGTCTGTTCCGTGCGCAACTCTGTGTACGCGGTGGGTCTCGTATGCAACTCGGCGTACGCAATTCATATGTATGTACAGACGTACAGTACCTACATATAGAATAGCAAGTACTGTATGTATGGCCAGCAATACACAAGCCCGGGACAGCATTAAAACTAGATATAGATGTAGCAGGGGTTTGCGATCCCAAGTAGTTCACAAGTGAAAGGTTGACCCACATTCAATTGTCATATGAGCTTTGTGTCTTAGCCAGAGGCCCAGCTCCAGGAATGATGCAATAGCAGCGATAAGCAGATGTCAAAGTCACGTGGACAATTCTAGGTTGAGTCCCAATTCTTGGTAGCGCGGCCAAAACCCTGGAGTCAGGTGCCGAGGTTTTAGATTGAAGCCAAGTCTTAGGCATCGAACATAGCACACCTCGATTCAGGCCTGTGGTATGCAAAGCTTTCCCAAGATATCCGCCGTGCGCTGCGTGACAAGCGTTTTGTCAAGCAGTATCGTGAGCACTACTTTTATCACCGTCCTACTTGGGATATTGAAAGACAGGCCAGGGGGGAAGAGGAGGAAGAGTACACAGAGCCCGTCATCAATGTCACTATTCCCGAACGCGCAAGATTAGCGGGGATTTTCTGTCGCCAGCCCGACGACTTGACCGAATATCAATATTCCAGCTCAAGATCGAGGCCGTCAGTCTGATGGTAGCTCTCTGCGATAAGAGATCGACGTCAAGCGTAACCGTGTCCAACAAAGGGCCAAAGCCTGCCAGCCCGTAAAGATTGAGCCTCTCGAGATAGAATATATATCATCGCCCAGCTCCGTCAATTCCCCCTTCTCCTGGGTGTTGCGCAGTGTCCTGATTGTATCGGTGATGAGCGACTCTCTTGTGAAGAGCGCACCTTTATATATTGCCGTCCAACTATCATAAACGATCATTTCGATGACCAGCATCTGGCCAGACGCGAGCAATCTGAGCAGAGTGGTGAGAATATACGATGCGAACATTTCAGGTGCCGAGACCTCAAGTTTAAACATGTCAACCGCTTCCGAAATCACGTGCAGGCAGCCCACGGTGTTACTCTGCGGTCGGCAGAGCATGTGCAACAAAGGCGGCAATAGAAGGCGAAACGGCGGCGCATGGCCAAGGGCGGCAACTGCTAAAATTAGCGTAGAACATAACTAATCACAATATGACTTTGCTCCCTTATTAACAACTGTTGCATCAGATAGTGTCTGCGTTGCATGCATGCATGGAAGGGACAGGCCCGTTGAAGAGTCACAGAGAGATAAGAAACAGGACACATCTAAATCAACAAGACCTTCGAAAGAACCGAGGAGGGCCTCCGGTTCTATCGTGTCGGACCTATCGTCGAAGAAGATGGAGCGAAATGCTGTGGAAAAGTTAGGTCTTTTTTCTGAATCTGACACCGAAGATTCAGACAGCGATGTAGACACGAAGTCACCAAAAAAAGGGGTGACACTTTCGGGCCTTTTGAATGTCCTTGATGGGGTTTCCTCTCAGACCGACCGAATCCTGATCATGACAACCAATCATCCTGAAAAACTAGATGATGCCCTCACTCGCCCTGGTCGAGTAGATTTGAAGATTGCGTTCCAGCTTGCCAATAGAAGCATGGCTAATAAGATCTATCAATTCATGTTTAAACAACCTAAATATGATCATGGAGGTATTGGTCAACAGGGAGACCAAGATGAAAAGATGGATGAATTGGCAAAGACATTTACAGAAAAGGTACCGGAGTTTGTCTTCAGTCCAGCTGAAGTTATAGCGTACCCAGACCCCTCGAGGTCCCAATAATAAGAAACGAAGCCATCGATTCTGTTACCTCCTTTTGAGTTACTGGCTTAATTCTTCTAATTTCTTCTCGAGCTGGGAGGGTGTGAGGGTTCAACAAGCGAAGCTGTGATCCGACTACGGACGAAGGGGAAGTCTCAATGCAGTATCAAGTCAGTCAGGCTCTTCTGGAACAACTCAAAATATTCAGATCACCAAAGTGTATTTCTCCCCCGCCTCTTTATGCTTTAAGAGATGGGGGCGTACTTTATAGCCTAGGTTTGAAGTTAACACGCCGAATAGGATATGTATCCGGATTTAGCAACAAGTCCGCTTGCCTTAAAAGAGAAACGCAAAAGCCCGCATATCTCCGGTAACATGACTTTCTTTGGAATGACGAGAACTTCAAGGCATTGTGACACTTTCAGGGAATGTATTCGGATTTCCACACTAAACAAGGAACATCATCAAGGCGGAACGCAGGCTGTTGGAATCACAGCAAGCCATGCGCTTTGGGTTATAGCAATTTCTAGGCTGTACGGATTGAATTTATGGCAAAATAATGCTAAGATTATCGTTAGGAAAACAAATGGGCATCATTGGCAATTTATCAAAGACTATAGGCGACGTGGAGTGTTACCAACTGTGACCAACAGCACAGGTGCGATCGCGAGTTATTGCTTAGCGAACGTCCGTGTCGGGCGTGGCCTTGGTCCTGGCGATGTCTCCATTGCTTACGACTTGATGAATGAAATGGGAAAAGGTCTAATTGAATCGTATCCGAACAAAAGATGACGGCATGCATGCAAGTCTGCTGGAACGATGAACGATGTACGATGAAGAACGAAAAATGGGATTGGAAGGAAAAGGAACAAGACGAGGAGAAGATTGAAAAATTGTGTTATTAATTAGCTTAGTGATCAGTGAACTTGAGTTAGGAGGTCGCAGGGAGGAGCTTGGCTGACTGTGAGGTGGGTCAAGTGGATGTGACCCTTACTTGTTACAGGTTCTGACCTGCTCGTACCCCGTTTAGCCCCCTCGTTTATCCTCGCTTGGCTGACTCAAGACATTACTTCACTAGTTCCTTTCTGCTGTGCACGCTCCAACCAATTGACTGTGTTCCGGGCCAACTCTGTGTCATCAGCTCCAATAAGTAAGGCGCAGTGTCATTTGTAACAAACTCAGGCCTGCACGTAGGGACCGGCATTTGGGTCGGACATGAACCTGCTAAGGGTCTCGATGACATTGACTGTGGAGTAAGTGGTTGTGACTTGTCGGGGTATTTTCATTACTCAAACCGTCGCGTAGTGAAGTTACTGTACCTTTACTGCTCACCAAGTGTAATCTGAGAAAAGCAGTCATGCCTTTATTATCGGGACCGCAGTCCTTCTGGCAAGTGTAAATGCCTATCGGTCAAGTAAGTGATGTTGGAATCTACTTAGTAGGTCGTCCTGGTCTACCTGCAGCCCTCTCTCGCCCCTGATCATCCACTCGCCTTCCTGGTGGCGTTCTCGGGCTACCGCTTTGCGAGTTGAGCTATGTACCGCTGTGCGAATACTCTTGCTAATGCCCGCACTGGGATACGCAAACACGCCAAACATGCCGGCTCCGCTCTTGGTCGCGAGGCTCACAACTCCCTTTCCAATACCTTTGACGGTCCCCAAAGCGCCCTCCTTTCTGGCCCCGTTATATGGCTGTACCACAACGTCGCTCAGACCGTCAACGAAGCCCCAGGCAAACGTCTTCCCTGCAACTATCATGCCACTCTTGGCATCAGTCACGGGTCCATGGTCGCGCACACCGCCGCCGTAGTGTTGTGGCACTGATTTGAGGCCTTCTGTCAGCGCAAGAGGAATATCAACCACCATTCCTTTGAGAGCGGTGAGACCTATCATCCCCATACTCTTGGCTGATGCGCCTGCCATCCTCCCAGCAAGCGGGTGCGACCGTTCGCTGCTTGGTCGCAATGTGTCGCCAGAAGATCTGCTCGCCAGGCTCTGCCTGCCATCCGTAGCCTTGTTCTGGGCCTGAGCTTGCTTCAATTCGCGACCGCGTCGGTGCTGTTCGTCTCTATACTCATCGACTGGCTTCGTGACGATACCGGTAATGGAACTGGCCATGCCTGTTGCTGTTGCCATGACTGCAGAGGCGCCTCCAGAAATCGGATCCCATCTCGTAGTTTCGATAAAGATAGGGTTGCTCTGGTAGCTATGAAGAACGAATCAGCAGCCCACACAGGCTATCTCTGAGCGCATCGCCCATCGAACTGGACACCTACGCCTTCATATACTTGACTTCGCCCGGTCTCTTGGAAAGGATAATCTCTGCGGCCATCTTGGAAAGCTTGATATGCCGCTTTGACTTAGAGTATGACCATACAGCGGGCTCGTTCTGAATCAGGTCGCACCTCATTCGCTCAAGGGGGAGATGCTTATGGAATGACTGCACAGCAGCACGAACTCCCACTTCAGATTCCATCTTCTTGGCTATGAGCGCTGCAGCGGCAGCGGCCTCGTCTGAAAGGCAGTAGTGAATAGCTTCTGCAAGATTGTCTACGCTGAGTTCTTTGTGGGGTATTGGAAATGGTCCTGCACCTGCCTTGGCCACCATTTGGCCCCAGAAGGGTTGGCTACAATAAATGGTCAGCCTGGAATTTCGTAACTTGGTATGGAAAGGGAGCCGCTTTGTAGCTGACTTACTCGCCGAAGAACGGGATGATGGTTGTGGGTTTCCCGTTTCTTAGTCCGCAGGCTGTTGTACCTGCTCCTCCATGATGAACAACAGCGGCAACTTTCTGGAAAAGCCATTCGTGAGGGCAATCTCCTATCCAATACACGTTCTCGTTTGCAGAGCCCGCCAGGTCGGACCAGCCTTTAGAGATGATGGCACGGGCACCAGTTGCCTCAACAGCATCCAGAATGATTGCAATAGTCTTTTCCGGATTATCCAAAACGATGCTTCCAAACCCAATGTAGACTGGTGGCGGACCAGCCCTCAGGAACTCGGCGAGGTCTTGTGGGGGAGAGAATTTCGGGGCGTCACGGAAGAAGAAGCCACATACGTCTATATCACCATGTTAGTGTCACGCATGGCACTCGCGCGGTTGTGATGGATGTCTTACCAATATGAGCTGCCCAGTCGGCAGGCTTTGGCACCAAGGCTGGGGACCAACAGTATGTGAAGGGAATTTTCAACGTCTGCGTGAGCATCGGGGCGTCGAACATAGCCACCTCCTCTAGATCTATAGACCGTCGCCATTTATTGATCAGATCCCCCAGCCTAAATGCGTGACTTGGTCAGCAGAAAGGTCCCCGGCGAGGGCAGACGAAACGGGCATCAAACTCACCCTTGCCAGGTCAACCACTCAACAATGCCGTACGAGATGTAGTTTTCCACCCGAGGATCACTGCCAACGTTCTTCAAATTGGCAAGTGGGTGAGGGAAGGCTCTGGTGCTACTCCAAGGCATCGTGAACATCAGGTGCACTGGAATTCCAAGCGCTTGGGCGCAGTGTACGTGTGCAAAGCTGGGAGGGTTCGCAATTATTGCATCGGCTACAAAGGGAAGACCAGTCAAAGTATCAGGTCTTAGACACGAGTGCCAGAACTTTTCCAGCATCTCTTGGACCATCCAGCGCTTTTGCTGGATTTCTCCAGCCCCAAGACTCTTCATACTAGGTATCAAACCCGGATTCTTAACCATATAGGACATCAATTCGGCGGGGTTTCCTCCAATGGGGTAGAACTCCAGGTTCGATTCTCGCACAAAGTTCTCAAATACGTCGTGTGTTGCGAGACGGACGCGGTGACCGTATCGTTGGAGCTCGTTGCCGAGGGCGATGAAGGGCTGTACATCTCCACGACTGCCCACGACTTGTATGACAATGTTGAGTTTGGTGGCCCAAGATTGGCTCCCCGCTTCTGCTTCGGTGTAGCTTGGGGCTGGGGAGGCTCCTTGATCATACGTTTCGGCGGGCAGTTGGTAGAGGCGGCTAAAGGTGCGAACCAGCTTCGAGTCACAATCGATATCAACCCGGGCATCATCTAGATTGATGGATCAACATGAATGTCGCAGAAAAATTAGATGCTGCACATACCCCGAGTTTTGACATGGCTTCCCACGAAATTGGCGAATGTCGATGACGAGGAATTGGTCAAGACAGGCTCGGCAGGCATTTCCACAGCGTTTGGAAGGTCACCTGTGCTGGCGGCATGCCTCAAGTCTTGATAGGGAGGCGCAGGCGTAGCTGGGCTCAGGTAGGGAGTCTCATCGCCGGCGAGTTCATATCGAATTGTGTCTCTTTTATTATCGGCCATTGTTGCTGCTGTCGAATGTATGTCGACAGTGATGTTGTGGTTAGAATGGAAATGGGAGGGTGAGAGTGGTGAATTTCCCAGAATGATTCAGCTATAAAAGCACCCCAGCGAAGACGTAACGTCAGTGGCTTTGGTTGAGCGGATTTTTCTGCTTCGCTCCCTTCTCGTACCTCGTTCATGATTTACCAGGCCACACCAGAAAGAGCCTAGCTCGAAACCCGAGGAAATGAACTGCCGAGAGCTGAGAGGGCTGAGAGCGAATGGCGAAACTAACTTGCGTCAATGCTTAGCCGCTTAGCATCACTGCGGATACGGATCCAGCGGGCAAGAAAAGCATATCAGGCTGTGTCGCATGCGTGCAGCGATGATTACACTAAGATGCTTCTTTTTTTGTCCTTGTCACACTACGTCGATCATTAGCCCAGTTGAGAATAGGAGTCTTCATGCATGTGTAAAAGGAGGCTCACGCTCATATGTCGGTGCGGCTTATTGGTCATTCCGCTCACCGGAACTTTGACTTCTTGCCTGGACGCCAAAGGGCGGAGTGTTTGAGTCATGGATGTGAGACAGACTGGCATGAGCGAGAAGGGTTCCGTACCGTGATATAAAAGAACTGGGTAAGGGAGGGCGGGCCATCAGGTTTGACGGTGTGGATCCCAAGGGCGGGTATAATAATAGTTAGCTTTGCAAACAGAAGTCTCATAATTTAAGGAGATATAGGACACAATGCATTGGTACCAAATGGCGCAGTATCGTGAATTAACATACAGAACAGATCGGCCGACTTTTATTGCTAATAAAAAATACATAAAGACAAAGCCATCATATCTAAATCGTCCTCTCCTTGATCATGTCCTTAATCATCAATGCCGAGTTCTTGGGCGTCCTCTCAAGTGTATCGTAGTCTGTGTGAGTCACTCCAAACCTGATGCCATATCCATCGGACCATTCTGTTCATTTTGTCAGCATCGGCACTTGTGGACTGTCGCTGTTCGCAACCGAGGTAAGGGAATGAATGAACTGACCTAAGTTATCCATGAAAGACCATCCAAAGTATCCGGAAACTTTTGCCCCATCTTGGATCGCCTCAACCAGTGCATCAAGATGTTCGCGGAGGTATCGCTGGCGAAATTCATCCTTGATGGATTCTTCTCTACTCATCTTGTCCTCGCCAGGACACGGGCACCCGTTCTCGGTGACATATATGGGCTTTCCATACTTTTTATAGATCCTCACAAGGTGCTTTCGGAAGCTCTTGGGTGCGGCTCGGAGCCAGTGGACGCCGCTTAGCTCGCCGATAGGGATGCCTTCCTTGTTCTCTGGCAACTCATCCACATTGCCTGTGAAGTCCGTATCTGGCGGCCAGGTGGTGCGGTGATGGGCGAATTGGGCAGATAACTGTATTGGTCATCAAAACATGCAGTGAAGACCCGTTACATTAGGATTCGCTTATATAAGACTAGTGGATACCCTTAGTGCTAGATCAGACTTGGTCTAGCCCTGTTGTCAATTATCTTCTGTGTCCGTAAGCTGTCTTGTGGTTTTTTTTTTTCCTTGTTGAGAGTAGACATTAGTTTAGCCATTGTTATCTCACTGGTGTTTAAATTAGGATGAGATCCTCGGAGTGGCCGTGTTTCGCATTCCCACCTGTAAAACAAGCCACATTTTGCCAGCGTAGTGCGGCGTAGCCGTCGTATTTCCTTTAAGATACGAGGACATATGGGGTTACGTTTCTTTCTCCCTTTGAATTAGGAGGTAACTAAATTTCTAACTGAAAAAAAAATTCATGATGTACTTTGCTTTTATTGCCGCGCTCTCTGTCCGGTGCTTCGTTATTTACCACATTTCCCCTTCAGCAAACCACGTAAAGTAACAACTCAAGTCAAACACTATCATTCATCTCTATTTGAAAAATATTAAGAGAAGACTTTCGGGCCAGTGATGTTGTCACTTTCTTCGCGATCTTCCACATCCTCGTCGTGGATGATAATCGTTGGCGTGTCTATAATCCTGGTCAGTAGAAACATCCAGCCCTTTGTTTGTTTCTTTGCTGACAATAAGGGTATAGTGTATATTTTATATTCTCCTGCATATTTTATACAATACTCTCTTGAATCCTCTTCGGAGGTACTCAGGGCCTTCGTGGCTTGCAGCGACTGGTATACCGTATACATTCTATGTGTTAAGAGGAACTACTACTCAAAAGACGAAAGAGCTTCATGATAGATACGGTTACGTCGCTCGTATAAGGCCAGGCACTCTGTCGTTTGCTTCGAGTCGAGCTTGGTCCGATGGGTGTTCTTCTTTTACGAGTCATCTGTCATGAGCTATCATGTGTAACTAACATGGTCAAGACATATATGAACCAAGGCAATCCCAAGGACGTCCGATACTATACTGAATTTCATTTGGTGCGTAATTGCTGATTTATTACCCCTTAGCATAGTGCTGGTGGCGGGAGCGTTTGCTGGAGGATTCCGCAACTCATTTACGATGATTCTAATGATACTTGATTATTTACAGAAGATCTTCGGTGATGATACCTATCGAAGGCTGATACAGCGCTATCGTATACCAGCGCGCCATGAGGCTTGTCTTCAAAAACATATCAATCTTTTTATTTCCATGATCCAGCAATCCCAAGATGACTTAAACGGGGGCTGTAGATCTGAACCACTGGATCCATCTGCTGATGACTGATATATCAGGCGAAGTGATTCTTGGTGAAGACTTCGACGGGTTCAGCAACGGCCATACTCTGCCTATCGTTGCTGCTATTTCACGGTTATCGAGGATTTTGCCTCAGTGTCGGAGTTGAAGCAGTATCCAGGGGGTTCCCATATCAGCCATACTTGCTGGACTTGGTTTGATAGAGCATCGAAAAATTCAGAGTCAATGCCCACACAACCAGATAATCCCTTCGATCAAAAGAAACCTGACACAGTGATGCTAGATAGCATTGAACCGCAAAGGTACGCTTTCAGTTCCGTTAAGTGTCGATTCTCTACCCTCCAGCTCTGTTAACTCCAACACAGTCTCTCAAACCTGGAAAAGGAGTCCGTAAAGATGGCCTTCATCATCGCGGGAAGTGAGACGAGTAAGTTACACCCGAAGAAACTATTTTTCAACATTCTTGAATGCCAAGTTACTAAATCTTACATAGCGGCCACATTACTCACTGGTTGTGTATACCTGCTTCTGAAGCATCCTGAGCATCTCAAGAAATTGACCTTGTCGCTACGCACGCGATTCCTCACTCGATCTGACATAACAGTATCCTCTCTTCGGAAGCATCAATACCTCAACGCCATTCTCAAAGAAACCCTTCGCCTTTATCCTCCTTTTCCCGGAAGCCTATTTCGTCGGACTGAAGATGAAGGTCATGTCGTGATGGGGGAAGCGATTCCACCAAACACAACTCTCACAGCGAATATTTGGGCAGCCAACCGCTCCGCACTGAACTTCCATGTACCATTACCTTACTAAGTCTATAAGAATCCTCCCCGTAATTGAAGTACTTTCGCATCAGTTGTCTGTACAAACTGTCACACTTATCTATACCCCTCTCCAGTACAAATCCCTTCCTAATTCGAACTCTCTCTGCAGGACTTCATCTTTCGGGTTTGCGCTCCGCGATATGATCGCCTTGAAGGAACCTTTTTCGGCGAGCCAAATTTCCTCCTCCTCATCCCAGTATGACACAGCGTACTTGTCTAAGCTAATTTCGGCCTTCATCTTCTTACCCTTGGGCACCCACACCTTGACGAAGCCCTTCAACTCTTTGCGTGGCCGGATAGTGTCGCATTCAACATCAGAGACGTACAATTGGACTATCTCGTAGCCATCTCTGTCACCAGTGTTGGTGACATCAACCGCCACCTTGAAGGTTTGCTCCCCATCGTCGCCTAGATCGACAATCTCCGGGACCCTGAGGTTCGAGTATTCGAATGTTGTGTACGAAAGACCAGTTCCGAAGTAGAAGAGCGGATCGTTGCCGAGCTTCTCATAGTATCTGTGACCGATGAATACGCCCTCTCCGTAGTACATTTGCCTGACTCCTTTACCGAAGCTAAGGAAGGATGGCGTGTCTTCCAGCCGGCGCGGGAATGTAACAGACAGACGGCCTGATGGGTTATAGCGACCGAAGAGTACATCAGCGATAGCATTGCCAGTTTCCTGGCCACCAAACCACGCGTGGACAAGGGTCGAAACTTGGTTCGCCCAGGGCATGGTAACTGGGCAACCAGACTGATTGACAATTATCTACTTGTGCATTAGCCAAGAGTATAGTAAGCTGTAAACCAATTCCTATTAATGACTCACAGTTTTGGGGTTAGCTTGGGTTACCCTCCAAATGAGATCGTTGATGCCAGGTGGCAGCTCCAGATCGTGTCTATCCACCGCCTCGGTCTCGTAATCAGCGTTCAGGCCAGCGATGATAATAGGCACATCTACACTCTTCGCTAACTCAATGGCCTCATCTACAGCGGCAGCAGGGTCGATCTTCTCGCAGCACCCGAGCCGGACGCCACCAATACATGGCGTTCCAACATAGGGCCCTGCAACATTGGTAGACATGGATTCATTCTTCATGAGAACAGAAATCTCGTAAGTTTGTCCCTCCTTGGCTACCAGATCAGTTGTCAACTCCATACTTGCTTGGTTAAACATGGGAGTCTGGAGCGTCTTCTGCGGATGGCTGGACCAAAGATCGACCACTTCTTTGCCATCAATATAAAGGCGTCCCTTGCCCATAACACAGAGACCGACAAGCATGGTCGCTGTTTTGGGTGCTTTGTATGTTGTCTTGACGCGAAGCCAGTATACTTCAGGAACGCCGGCGGGATGGCTGTCTGCGAAATACATTGTGGCTTGAGTTGTAGTCACAGAGTGAAGTGGTTCAGCCTTGGTATTCGCCTCTGGGTCTTCACCAAACCAAGAGAGTCTGTACCCCTCCTCATTTGTTCCTGGAACAGTGACGCATTCGGATAATGGTGGCGTGAATATGTGCGCTGTTTCGCCAAACAGTTAGTGGTAGACGAGGATACTTCATAAGAAAACATACAGTAGCAACCAACCGCCATCTTTACTCGTTCCTTGCCTACAATGTCTTGTATGGCGTCTAGCGGCCTTTGGACATAATAGGGGCGTAAGTCAGCTGAACCACCGCCACTGACGGCAGGGTATATAACTCCGGGGCCGATCAGACCGTAGGTTTGTTGCGCTGATGGGTCAAGGGGCAACACCTTGTCCTCGTTTTTGAGGAGAACGACAGAGCTCCGAGAGACTTCTCGGCATAAAGCTCTCTTTTCAGGTGTATTGCCAGCTTCGTCATCTGGTACTTGGTACTCGAGAGCCGGCCGCACCCTATTCACGAGGTTGACCAAGTTCCGAACTCGTTTATCGATCATCGATTTCTTTACCTTTCGAGAAAGGAGGGCAAGATGCAGGAGATCACCTCTCCACCTTGCAGGACCTGGCATCTCTAGATCCATGCCAGCATTGACTGCCTCCGCGGTACTATAGACACCGCCCCAGTCACTCATCAAGAGCCCATTCCATCCCCATTCCTCGCGGAGAACTTCTGTATTGAGCCATTCGTTCTCTGAAGTATGAACGCCATTTATGCGGTGATATGAAGTCATAAATGACCATGGGTTGGCGTGTTTGACCGCTAACTGAAAAGGCAAAAGGTGTACCTCTCGTAGTGTCCTTTCAGCAACTTGCAAGTCGTCCTCTGGGGACATGTAGGACTGATCGTGTGCTGCATAGTGCTTGATTGAAGTCGCAACCCCTTTCTCTTGTACACCTTTGATATACTCGGAGGCTATCATACCGCTGAGGATCGGATCTTCGCCAAAGGCTTCAAAGCCACGGCCTATGAGGGGCGAACGCTGCAAACAAACGGTTGGGGCGAGCAAGATTTGGCAGCCCTTCTCGATGGCTTCTACAGCCAGCATGTTACCGACGGACCGCATCAATTTGGTATCAAAGGTGGCCCCCATCGCCGTTGCTGATGGGAGCAGCGCCCCTAGTGGCTGATCGGAATTAAGTGATATCCTATTTCCAGGCTGATGGGAGGGAATAGACTTACGCCATTGAAGAAGGATGTGCCTCGTGCCCCGTGTGGACCATCTGTGGCCTGTTCAGCAAAGGTAAGCATGGTATCCTATCACTGGTTTGATCTTGACGACACGCACCGTAAGAGAGGGAATGTTCAGGCGCTCAATAGGGTAGGTAGACCAGTTGTCTTTACCCGAGAGAAGCTTGACTTTTTCCTCGATCGTAAGCTCCTTCAAAGCACGATCTACTTCTACGAGAACAGGCATTGTGAGATTCGATGAGTGGCAGAGGCGATAGTTTGCTGTGGTACCGTACCGTATGGACTAATTTGGCTGAAAACTTTCGCTGTGATGGAAACAACTACCTGGCAAAAGGCGTTGTTAAGAAGTTGGAAATACTGGTCCGCGTTTGAGAAGTCCGGAAAGCCTCAAGCATGATGCGTCGTTCCTTGGCTGATTGTGGAATTTGGCCGAGGTCAGGACTTCGAAATTTGGGAGGCTAAAAAATGGCAGTTGGGGCCTCTGGGTCTGACTGATAGTGGAGAATTGCCCGGGCGAATACAAAAATGCGGACCGGGCAATTGACGGGATATGGCATTTATTTTTTGGTGGTGGGACATGGGACTCGGGCAAATTCTATTCTTACTTCATGCCGATCCACAGATTCCCCGGCATATCTCAGCGATTATAGGCATAGGTTACAGTGGATTTCTTAGCACACTTTAGGTAATGGGACTTAGCTGTCTACACTTGTAGACACTGTGCTATTTCTTCATATTACAGCGCAGGGCTATGTCAGCAACGACTGATGCTGGAAGACCTTATGCAGACCTGAGGGTATGGTTTTAATGGCGCCACAGTTTGCCCAGCCCGAATTGTCCGGCGTCACATCATCAACGCTCCATATGAACCTGTAGAGATCTGAGCTCCGATCAGTAGAGAATAAAGTGTATACCAGTTCTTTAATTCGTTCGATTCTCAACTGCGTTGATTATATTTGGATAATCCCTCAACCACTGCCTATAATGGTGTCTTCCAACGCCGAAGTTCTCTATTCTAATCCAATTGTGCCTGGATTTGCGCCAGACCCCTCAGTTGTCTTCGTCGATGGCACATTCTTTCTTAGCACCTCCTCATTCCATGTATTCCCGGGTCTTCCCATTTATGCTTCACGGGATCTCAAAGAATGGACGCACATCGGTTAGTATGTACCTTTACAAACTATCTTACACATTCTGAGTGATTGCTTTTCTAGGCAATGCTCTACACAGGCGCTCGCAGCTGAGCCTGCGCGATGCAAACACGATACATGTGCCATTGGATACAGGTTTCACCATGGTTGCAACTACGGGCATTGTCGCCCCCAGTATACATTACCATGAAGGAGTCTTCTATATTGTGACCACGAACCAAACCTTTAATGGCGAGGATTACGAGAGGCACAACTTCATTATCAAGTGTCACGACATCTGGAGCAATAACTGGGGCGATCCCGTCTATTTCGACTACCGTGGTATTGACACCAGCCTCTTTTTCCATGACGATGGCCGTGTTTTTGTGCAGGGAGCTTGGCATATTAGAGACGATGAACAGCCGACGAATACCATTAAGCAGGTCCAAATCGATATCAACACTGGAGAGTTGCTTTCTGAAACAGTAGAGATATGGCCTGGCTGGGCAAAATACGACACAGAGGGGCCTCACATCTACAAAGTTGGGGAATATTTCTATCTATTGGCCGCAGAAGGTGGAACGTTCGAACATCACATGCTATCAATTGCAAGGTCTACGGACATTTGGGGGCCGTACGAATCATGGGACAAGAATCCTATCATGACGGCTGACGGCAAGGAAGAGTATATCCAGAATATCGGCCACGGTGCGCTCTTCCAGGACGGCGATGGAAGATGGTGGGCTGCTGTGCTTGGCGTTAGAAAGCAGCCCAATGGTACTCTGGGCCTCGGGCGCGAGTCTTTTCTATCACCTGTTGACTGGCCAGAAGGGGGATGGCCCACTGTTCGTCAGCCTAAGATAAGCTTCCAGAGGGAGGCTGCGCCATCTCTCGTTCCCCAAGAACCACTGCAAGCCCCTTCTCGTATCGAGGATCTTTACATTCGAGACCATGACGAAGAAAGTTATCAGTATCTAGACGACGAGGGAACCTTATCCCTCAGTCCTAACCGAAGTGGCCTCGGTTCGGTTATTGAGAGTCCCACATTCCTAGGCCGACGCCAGCGCTTCTTGACCGGTACTGGCTATACACGCATCGGAACAGACCAAGGTCTGAATGGGAAGAGTATCAGAGCCGGTATCTCCTTATATAAAGACCCCATACGGTTTGCTAGCCTAGTCTATGACTTTAAAAACGCTACTGTTGTTTTTGAAGTTCACAACTCTGCTACTGGAGTTTTCGGCACCATCTCGCGCAAGCTCTCCTTAGGTTTGACAGAAGTTCAACTTCGAATCACAGCTACACCCTCCCGATACACTTTCCAAGCTAAGGAAACCCTGCGAGAAGCTGTATTTGGCTCGGAGAAGGGCTGGATTGAAATTGGTTCGGTGGAGACTAAAGTCCTCGATGCTAGAGATTTCACTGGTCCATTAATAGGTGTTTTTGCTCAGAGTCAATCAGAGGAGCGTGAGAAGAAAGCTATCATCTTCCGAGAGTTTGAGTTGGCAGCTGAAGAATAAAGGAGCAGAAAGATAAGTAACAATGTATTTAGAATTCCTTTCATCTGCTAAATACTGAGCTAAGTTAAAATTATTGCCTGAAAGCATAATCTTTTATGTGGTTCACACAGGCCTTCGTGGAAGAAATGCGGCGTGTTTTGCATTGTCGGTTTATGGGCCTAGGTGGAATTGCGGCGCACTTTCAGAGGGGGAATTCAGGGTAAGAAGAACATGAAGATTCTGGTTGATGCAGAGGTGGAAATCTGGCACATTTCTTGTCTACACACATTCTTGATTAGGGGCGACTAGCCAATTCAACAACTACCTAGGACAACAACTTCCATCATTACTGAATTAGAGTTATCCGAACAAGACCATGAGGCAGTCCTGTCTGGAGGCTTAATTATGCCAACAATAAACCCATAGGTACCAGCAACCATGAGGAACGATCCCGATAGAATAACGAAAACGCTCCAGGCAACCATGAGTCCCCATTTACGCGTAGGATTTCTCTTGCCGTCACTGTAGTTATCATAGAGCCACATACAGCCCATCGGCTGAAATGACATAAGTGTCCCGAATAATGCGCCGATTAAGGACACTAAACCAACAAAGACAGGAATGCCGCTAGCGATGAGGTATGCTATGATTGTCACGCCAAAGGTGCAGCCTAACCACGAGACCCAATGAACAAGTGTGTTCGATGCAAGATGTGAAGACCCTCGCAGCATGCGCACGAAGACATACTTCGCTGCGAACTGTTATCAAGTTAGTCCGAAATCGTCTCGAATAAACATAGTATTCAAGTTGTGAGTATGAGGGACTTACATGAATGACGAGAACAGTGCTGACAAGAACGCCAGGAAGCGCAATACCATAGCATATCTTCTTCATTAGTGGTCCAGCGGATCCTAGTGCAGGCGAGGCAACAAAGGAACCACATAAGTAATAGACTACAACTCCAACCGTTAGGTAGGTCGCTGTGACAATCCCTTGGCAAAATAATAACGAGCGCGTGTAGTGATAATGATATCAAGCAGAAAAGCTCTTAGATGGTTGTTCACAAAAGATGACGGCGAAATCGGACTTACTTATACATTCTTGCTTGGTCTTGCAGCAGAATCTGGGGGTTTCATAATCCTAAGACGTTTGGGCCTCTTCCGGCGAACAGAATGGAAGCCATGAGAAATCCTGCAACGCGAAATCCGACAGCAACTGGTCCATTACCGGATCGTTGAGCCATTCGACAGGCGATGTAGGATCGTCCTCTCGACGGGTAGATTGTGAAGAAGTTTCTCCGATGTCCCCATGGGATGGATGAACATAGCTCGTGATTATCTGCAACGCCTCATCCCCGGACTAGGTAAAGATATCGAGTTGAAGCCTCCATGGTCCTCAGACGCCGCGTTCAGTGGCCTAGACACGAGCAGCTCCCAAACCAAGTGTGGCGGGAGCTTTACAGTAGTGCCATCTCCAGGGTGGGTAAAAGACTGCAGACAGCGAAGGATATGGTGCTTGATCTTATGTTAGCTATAGAAGAGAACAGTGCCACAGGAGGCACTCACCTTGCGTGCGAGACGGGGCCATTTCTCCGACAGGCTACCAAGCGCCTTGTGGTACTCCCGGTAGTCAGCCTTGGCTTTGCTAGAAATGGATTCGTCCCTGGCAAACTGAAACAGCCATGGTATGGTATGGTAGCCGTTGCTGCCACCAATTGCCCGACTACCGGGTCATTCAGTTGGAAGGGTATTTTGTCACAAGCACGGAGCAAACGAGCAAACCAAGCCGAGTGGAAAAGAGACTGGTCAACGGATCGTTGAAGGAATGACAAAGGTTGTGTAAGGGATTTGGACTTGCGTAACGCCACGAGTTGGATAAATGGATTGTGCAGGGCTGCGTGTCCGGCGTGCGATATAAATTGCATTAGGACCCAAGGTGTCCAATACTCTTGTTCTTGACACAGCTCAGCTGGTTGTCGATCCTGGAACTGGACCTTACGTAGAAGATGTTGATGTGCCAGATTGAGCTCAAGTTCATGAAGCTTCATTGTTAATTGACTGTGCTCGGAGGAAGGCATCCAAGGCTGTTCCATCTTGCCTCGCCGTATTTCTTCCAGATAGAATATGATATCGCCCCAGATGCTGAGTGCTTGCAAGCAACATGCATTGATGCCAATATCCTCATGTCTTTGATCAAGCGCGTCTGGGCGAGAGGCGAGAGGCGCGTCTGGGCTTGGCGGATATGTCGGCACACGAGTGTGATGCGCCAGAAGACAGAAGCCTGAGGAAAAGGTCTTTTCCAATATAAAGATACTCCAGTAGCACCTAGAGTTATTATTGTCGTTATCTTCAGGAGTGTCATCGTTTCCGACATATAGGAGGCGCAAGCTCTGGAGTCTGGCTGCTGCCCCGATCGTCATCCAGGCCTGAGCAAAGTTCCCGTCTATATTGCATTAAAATCTTGATAATGATCAGAAGAATTGATCTTCTACCTAAAATGTGGAGGAGGGCCAAAATGCAGAGGGAGCGTAATACATCCAGTCTGAAGGTTCCAACGGAGGACAGCTCCATGACCACGCTCTGGCATGATGTCTAACAATTCGACAGCTTGCTTCTTCTTGTCGCCATAGAAGGTGTGAGTCGTAAAATTCAGGACCAGAGCTAGAAAGCCCCAGCGGCCAAGCCGCAGTTCATGGTCGCAGACCTCGGGATCGCATCCAAGCGAACCGGGGTTTCAAGCGGGGCTCAACTAGTGGAGACTGAACCAAAATACGGGTGTACATGAATATTGTATGAAAGGGGGTGGCTTGGAAGAAACGTTCTTATGCAGGGTCAATCTCGATGGCGTTCCGACTCGCATAGCTCGGATTGCTTGATTTGGCGGAGGAAAGTACTCTTCTGAGGCTGGAGCTCAGGCCCTTATAAAGAGTTTCATAACCTTCCCTTTTGTCAGTCTTAAAAACACACATTCTGTTATCAAGTCACTCGTTCCTTAACCGCCTTGAGGCCGCCGTCTGTCTCTAACGATCATTATTTAGCATTTCTTAAGATCCTCCCATAATTCTTTGACATCGACTGTATTCAAGTCAGCTTCAGGCCGCACAAGTGGGTGCCGAGATCGAATAATCCGCTTCCTCATTCATCATGGGAACCATTTTGCGAGTTTTGGCACGTGTAGCCACCGAGGCTGCCCCGGAGCAGAGTTCCTTCCGATTATACCACTATAACCCAACAATCGTTGGAGCGATTGTATTCTTCATTCTCTTTCTTGGCACTGCGCTTCTTCACGTCTGGCAAATTGTCTGCTTACGATGCTGGTTTGCCATTCCCCTCGCAGTTGGCGGCTTGTGTAAGACGAGAACCCAGCCATAAACTAAGTGCGATTGACACGACATATAGCTAATCCTGACTCATCTGAATTTTAGTCGAGATCATTGGCTACGGCGGTCGTTTTGCCTCTGGTCAGAAGGAAGGCCCCAACTGGACCTTGGGCCCGTACATTTGCCAGGCCCTCTTGCTCCTGGTAGCTCCGGCTGTTTGCGGCAACCATCTACATGGAGCTGGCAAGGATAATCGAGCTTGTGGATGGTGAAAGCCGTGTATTCATCCCAAAGAAGTGGCTGACCAAGATTTTGTTGTTGGAGATGGTTTTGTCTTTCGTGCTTCAGGGTGGCGGTATGTGGGGCTCTTCTGTACCCACGAATCTTTAAAACCTAAGCGGAATATGTACTAATTAATCGGTGCTCCAGGTGGTGGATATCAGGCCTCGGGCACCTTGGAAGCTTTGACTACCGGTGCCAACATCATCATCGCAGGTCTCTGCAACTGATCGGTTTCGGCATCTTCATCATCACGGCCATATCGCTCAACGTCAAGATTAACAGGGCACCGACAGGTGCCTCCAAAAGCAACCGAGAGTGGAAGAGGCACATGACGACTCTTTACATCACCAGTGTGCTCATCATGGTTCGATCCGTCTTCCGCGCCATCGAGTACCTGCAGGGCTTCAGCGGTTACCTCCTCAGTCATGAAGTGTACCTATACCTGTTCGACGCTGCTCTCATGCTGATAGTGATGGCGCTATTCAACTACATCCATCCTGGTGAAGTCTTGACTATGCTCAAGGCCAAGCTCAGCAATGATAGGTTGAAGATGGAATTTGGCACCCGAACCGCTCTGCCATAATTGGCTCGACTTGGGGGTTGAATATACCGTTGCAAGTCGGACGAACCGCAGCCTTTTCTCGCAGTTTAGCTGCGTATGCACGAGTATGTGTGTTGTAATTGGTTATGAGCTATGTGAATGCAAAGGGGAGAGAAAGAGCCCATGTTAATATATATATGTATAGAAGAGGGGATACCCCTTCTTGCATATCCTTTAAGTCTATAACCCATTATATTACAACAATATATTCCAAGTAAAACACGCTTTGAGATAATATAGATATACTATGGCACTGTCTTTGCATTCGAGGCACTTTGACAGAACTGTACCTAGACTGCAACAAAGAATCGACACCTCGTACAATCAAGTAACTCCTACCCTGCTCTTGGGCCATGCCATCCAGGGAGACCAGTAGTCGCCAAGGATCTCGTCAATCACCTGCACCACTTCGCGACCCCATCCTTCGAGAAACCACGAGTCATTCAAGTCATACAGCAGCGCCCCAAAGTAAGCAAAAAGAACCAGCGCCGGGGGCTGACGCTGGTGCAGGCGCGACATAAACTCCTCGGGGGCAAAGTGCAAGAATGCCAACGGCCCAGCGCACCGTCGGTTGTATCCCCATTCTTCCAATGACGCATGGTCCATCGTCTCAAACTGGGCCGAGAAGAAGCGGCACTTGCGAAGAACCTGCAGCGTATCCTCGTAGCACTGGCCATCTGGCGTCTGCTGCCACAGGTCACGGACCCGGCGGAACCAGTCATCGTCCGGGGGCGCGTACTGATCGACATCCAACTCCTCCCAGTTTCCCATGTCGGTCAGGGGCCTCAACGGACCGAGGCGCACACGATCGTACACGGGTAAGAGGATGGCCTCGATACCGCGTATCATGGGAATCCATTCAGTGCCGAGGGCGCGGACGATGCGAGATCGAACATTATCGTCACTGTGACCGCCGCCATTGAGACGGCGATTAGTGGGTCCCAGTCTCGGCTTGTGTGAAGAGTCCAGTGATGGAGCAGAAACATATCATCCATCCCGAACCTCGCACTTACGCTTACGGTACGGCGAGTATTAGATTCGGAAGGTTCCGTCACCGGCGAAAGCTCTCTGGCAGGATCGGGGACTAGTGTCGGGGCGTGGACATGTGCAGAATGTTTACTCCCCGAGAATGCAGGGGACGAATAGACTTCCGCTGGCCCTACACGGGGCGCCAGAGTCGCGTCCGGATATTGACATTGGACACCATGACGGACGCAAGACCGGCAGCTTGGCTTCTGCTCGGGACACTGATGATACGAGTCAGTCGCATCTCAGGGGGTGTTTTTTTCGTCGATGGAACAAGGGTGACGGACCTTGACGCGACGCCTCCTGCATTCAGCGCAACCGGTTCTTGACTTGCGGTGTGGTCGCCGTCGGCTGGCTGGAGCCAGGTTTGACGTCTCAGGAGGTGCGAGTATTGGTGACGGTGCCATAAGCAGGCGGAGTGTCGTTGGATGAATGCGAACGACGAAGAGGAACGAGCAACGAGCAACGAAGAAGGTGGCAAGAGGAAACGAGGGAGGCACTGGGATGAAGAGAGGAGAACGAACAGCGAGCGAGATACGAAACTAAAACGGTGGGGTGGTGGGAAACACGTAGACTTGTGGCTGGGGCCGCGAGGTGGGTAGAGTGGAGTATCATAATTAAAGTTTTATGAGCTCCAGCGCTACATCGGGCACGCGCATTTATTAGCAAGTTGATGACCCCTGAACCTCGACCTGCTGTACACTGGCACCTGAGAGTCAAGCAGTAGCGATGAAGGCGTATCGGCTTGATGTATAGGAATATCAATCACCGTCCCTACCAATATAGAAGTTGAACGACTAGGGAATGCCAAATACATTATCAAACAACAAGTCAAATGAACCTCCAGATGAGTCTCACCGGTACCGGCCCTCGACTCTCCTAACCTTCTTCCCCTCGAGGAACTCCAAGACGCCGGCGCCAGTCGAAGCAGCAAATGCCAGACACAAGAATAACCCAACGGACCAACCCGGCCGGGAATGCCTACTGTAACCCCACATGAACCCGGAAAGAATGGCTTGAAACACAGTGTTCATCATGTTTAGTCCAATTACCGCTCCCAGCATCCGAACGGATGTCGTCGCCGCGCGCTGTCCGGTCGGCGGCGCATCAGGGATACGCCGCACGGGGAGTGGTAGGATGTTCAGCGTCGCAGAAGGTAGAGACAGCCAGTTCTCAACCTCGTCGGGGCCGACGCTCGCGGGGAGCATCTGAGAGCCTGGGAGCCGGAACCATGTCCGATACCTGCCAGCTAGGCAACGGAGGGCCACTAGATCTCCACGGACAACGAACTGGAGAAGCTGCCAAGCCTGAAGGGCTCGTCGTGGGAAGAGCCCAAACGCTGGAACGCAGAATAGGGCGTTGAGGATCTGAGAGTCAATCTCAATCCACTTGCGGCGAGGCGAGTTGATGTCGTTGCAGGTTGGATAGCACATTGCCGGGGAGGCGTTGCAGAGTAAGAGAAATATCATGCCTCCCCAGGCAACGATGTTGAGGCAATAGATGATCAGGATGGCCTTGAATATGGTCATGTCGCGGAGCCACGCCATTGCCTTTGCTAGAGCCGAGTCCTGGGGCGAACTTTCGGGAGTCCCATCGAAATCCTCGGCGTGCCCATCCCCGGCACTTTGGGCTGGGACAGTGGTGCCGTACATGCCTTGCTTCAAAGTCAACGGATCCGACAGCTGCGGTCGTGAATTCAATGTGTGGTTGGTCCTCATCAGCACTGGTGCTCTTTTTGCCTGTGATTTATCGTTCTTGATGTCAGCTTTGCGATGCGACGAGAGCATGGGATGAGTTTGTCGACTTGCAACGACATTAATAAAAAGAAAGAAAAATAGACGCCTGTATGCATATATGTGTAGACCGACCAGGCCCCGTAGACCCTGACATCTGACCTTGATATCGCACCATCTCAACATGTTACATGACAATAGTTCTCATGCCATATAAGCTGACCTTGCTTCTGCAGATCTAAGACCACAATCGGGCTTCTAGAGCTGGACTTGGAACCCACTGTAAAATTTGGTCAAGTTTGAGTCATTAGGTAGGCCACTAAGCTCGGTGGCTTATAGCTTGCTCGAAAGATTTTCTTTCCTAATGAACGAAAGACTGAATACGAGGTACGAGATCCGCCGCATCAAGTGGGTTTCGGGACACAAACCACCAATCGAACGCATCCCTTTTGAGCTCTGCAATCTCCGATCGTCAACAGATGGCTGCCACTTGACACCTGGAAAGGACTGGCTGTGCCCCAAGGTGTGGTTCTCCCTCACACCCCATTCTACAACAATCATAATTATAATACCGGGGACGATGCTCATCTATCACTTCTTCCTTCTCTTGCATCTCTATCCATCCTTTACTCGCATTGGAAGATTACTCGCCTGGAGACTCGGAGAAGCCCTTCCGTCCAGCGACCATGAGTGATACAGAAGGCCCCGGCGCGGGATGGAACTTTACCGCTACAACCCGTCATTGCCTGCAGCCATCACCAGCGTTGCCATCTTCGCGGTCCTGACAGCGTTACACTTTTGGCGATTGTTTCGAGCACGAGCGTTTTACTTTACTGCCTTTACAATCGGCGGTGTCTGTAGGTTCCTTGATCCGGCCATGCTTTGCACTTGACCTGCTTGTGTTCCCAGCTAACTCCTTGCCTCTTCAAGTCCAGACAGTAGGCTACTGCGGTCGAATCTGGAGCCACTATGACAAAGAATCAATCGGCGGTTTTGTTATCCAGGCCATCCTCATCCTGGTAGCCCCCGCCTTCTATGCGGCTTCTATCTACATGATACTGGGCCGACTCATCCGCACTGTCAATGCTGCTCTCGTATCGGTTATTCCGGTCAAGTGGGTAACCAGGATCTTCGTCGCAGGCGATATCATTGCCTTCTCACTGCAGGCAGGAGGTGGAGGTATTCAATCTGCAGGCACTCTAAATCTTTTCAAGATTGGGGAAAAGATCATCATCGCTGGCCTCTTTACCCGGATCTCCATCTTCGGCTTCTTTGTCGCTACATCAGTTCTCTTCAACTACCGTCTTGCTCAAAACCCGACCTCTATCTCACTTCGTGGCAAAGTGCCCTGGCGTCGATACCTTTGGGTCCTCTATGCGACTAGTGCTATTATTCTTATTCGGAGCATCTTCCGCGTCATCGAGTATCTCCAGGGCAACCAAGGCTATCTCATCTCCCATGAAATCCTATACATCTTCGATACTATCCTTATGGTCGCAGTTATGGCCATCTTCCTGATCTGGTATGTCGAGCAGCTTGAGCCCAAGAATCGCAGGCACGGCTCAGACGAGGATTACGTTATGGACGGAACGCCAGAGAGATATTCTCGCCGTAGACGCTCACGCAAACACTAGAGGGCTAGTCAAGTTCCTGCATTGCTGAGGATTCTAATTCTTGGAGTATTTTTTTACACGAAATGCAAGACTAAGGCAAATTGTTTGTAGAATTGGCTTGTCCGTTATTTTTCTTTACCTTCCATATATGTTTCAGGGACGCGGCGCTTGCTGATTTGTGTATCGTTTGGAATCATATTTACGATAGTTAGATTTAGATGCAGGGGGGGTCATGTCGAATTAAAGGCCAGCAATAAAAGAACTTCAAACAGTTAAAACATTTTCGATATACCGACTCTATAATTCTAACATAAAGTGTTTGGTTGGTCTGTTGGATTAGATGGTTTTGATTACTAGGTAATAGATGGGGCAAAAGCTATGGAGAATTCAACAGTTCGCAAATGGCGGTGGGGTAGACACCACTATTCGACTGGTTGCAGGTAGTCCTCCAGCTTGTCCAGTCCTGGACGAGAAGGAGATTTTTGGCTCTCAGGCACTGCTCAAGAACAAGCGAAGATGGCTGCTGAAGTAACTATCGATTATTACGCTGTGTTCCAAGTGTCACCATCGGCGGATCGTCACATTATTCGGTCGAGTTACCTCAAGCTTGCAAAGCAATATCACCCCGATAAAAACATCAATAACCCAGAAGCCACGGCTCTTTTCCAATCAGTGAGTTTGCCTTTCTTTATAGCGCATATAAACTACAGACTGACAGTACTTTACACTCCTCGTCGATGACGCTGTAGACGTCGTTTCTTTGAGGCCATCCTGATGTCTTCACGATGTTCGAAGGATAAACAACAAGAAATCTAATCATCATCTTTATCTGCGGAATAGCACGCTCATAGATGAGATGCCTACCTTATCCTTGTACCTTGATTTGGGCCAGGGCTGTGGCCGTCTCAAGTTGGGCCCACCTTTGGATTTTGGTAATTTACGGCGATAGACATTCGCCACATCTATCGCCATTTGATACCCCTTCGGGTACCGAGATGCTGGTTATGGGTTGCAAGCTGTAATTCAATTCAAGGAGGTAGGGGTTACTGTGCATGGCTGCATAAAGGTAACGTGTTGCCACACGTTACTTTGCCATACGTTACTTTGCCATCAACGACGTCCTTGCCCAACCTGGTTCGCTTTAGCTCAATAAAGCAGATCGCAAAACACTTCCAAATTATCTGAGAATGACGTCTCATCCCGATTTCCAGTTGCAAATCCGAGGTTCTTTTCTGCATTACTTCAACTAGTCGGAAGGCATCCTGGGAGAACTTGGGAAGAAATGTGCTCTGCCGTATTTGCAGCAAGAGCGCAATCTCAGCATCACTCGCACATCAGACACTTGGGCCCCAAGCTCTGTGAGAGGGCTGGAACACTTCTTCAGAGCCAGAGGTACCCAAAAACACGGGCAACTCTCAAATCTCTTGGCAGAGCTGCTGAAGGGATTATTGGAGTCATTTCTGTGGACGATAAGAGCCAAGGAGAGCTAGAAATGAACAAGAAAACGATTATCTGGTTCGATTTTCTGCCAGGCTTGGCCTTGATCAACGACAACCATAATAGTGGCGAGCTATATTATGATCGAAAGGGCATGGAACAACAATTGGAATCAAGGATTTTAGAGATTTATCCCAGCTTCCCAATTATTTCATGGTATTGTATCCCGACAGAGGATGGCACAGGCACGAGAATCGACACTGATCTACAATTCGCTATAAGAGCATTCTGCTTCTCTTTAGGCTGTAGGCTAAAGCAGCTATCCTTTAGCGCTTGGAGCTTCTTTCTTGAGGCTTTTACTAGATCTGAGCCCACCAGAGGGGAACAATGGCACACAGATTCCCATATTTCTCAAATTGCCTCTACCCTACAGAGCTTTAGCACAAAAAGTGTAAAGCTCCTACAATATAAGCAAAGCTCTATGCCAACAAACATTGTAGGGCCCGTCATATTCTTATCAGTCAAGGATTTAGCTATCCTCAGGGAGTGTAATCATCTCTCAATTTTTGCCTCAAAAAGTCCTCCTGTGGGGCGAAAGCAGCGCGGGATTGAAGACCATCTCGGCATCCCAGGCTCCACATGGGCGGTATTCCCCGGTCTTGATATCAACTTTGGCCTACTTCTAGCAGCATTCACCTTTCATATGGGAGTCGAGATAGCGTCTCCAGATAAAGATATGTCCCAGGGCCTGTTAGGTCTATGGAGGAGAGTTTTGCTCCACCTAGTCCTTTCCTACAAGAGCTCCACAAAATATATTTTTTGGATCGGACTTTCCTACGAGAAATATATTAGTGAAAGCCCATTCACTGGTATTAAAGTGTGTTTCTCGGATAATGAAATTTTGGCAAGCCAGATGCCTATTGCCTATCCAAAGGTTATTGCATGCAATGAGAACCCGTCTGGGTCCATCCTTCATAGAACTCCATGGTGAAGATGAAGCATTCATTCACCAGTCCGTCTTGATGGCACTCCTTACTGCTGACTGTGCTGCCACAAATATCGATTTTTTGGATTGGGAGAAAACAAAATGTCTTCACAACACACTGCTTCCATGTCGTTATGGCGAAGTGATTCTTCTCCTATCTTTGAACGCGTCTCATGCAACTGAGTCAAAGGATCTGTACAAACAAGCCAACGTTCTGAAGCAGCTTGGTATTCGAGTGCGCGCGTATCCCAGTGAATTTGAGACACACTGGTATAATGGGAAAATTGGGGATATCCGAGTGTCGGATGAAATCGCTGCAGACCTCGAAGTCGGACGACCAAAACATGCTACGGCCAGGGCATCTGCAAGCTGTCAGAGGATCTGGTCACGACCTCTCCGCCTCGTCCTGTCTTCGCACAGGGCCAGTATTTGCTCAAGCGATGGATAGAAAAGCGCGGAAGTGGCCATTCCAAATACATGGTGGGCTTGTTTGACGCCGCTGCTCTCTCGTATAACAATCAAGCTTCGAGGGCAAGCAATGCAACCGGGGCTGGGTCGGTTGTGCCTGATCTGGACTACCGGGCAACTCCTGCATCATCGGCGTTTTCGTACGCCTCCCCGGCTGACTCCGAGACTGTGGAAGCCCTCGACTTGAGCGACCTCTCCCTCCTCCGTCACTGGGCCGTCTCCGTCAGCATCACCATCTGTCGTGTCCCAGAACACCTTGATCTCTGGCAACGCGTCTTCCCTGAGATTGGCTTTGACTACCCCTTTGTCAACCGTGCCATCCTTAGCGTCGCCGCCCTTCACCTTGCATCCCTGTGCCTCCCTGTCCGAGACTCACTGTGCGGAGCACGTCGCCCGTGCCACTCAGCATCATAATGCCGGCCTGTCCGGCTTCCGGCGTTCCGTCGCCTCCATCACCGCCGAGAATAGTGAGGCGCTCTTTGTCTGGTCCCTTTTCAACATGATCTACGTCTTCGGCATCTCTACACTTGGGTCCACCCGCCCCTCGTCAAGTAAGGACCTTGCCCTCGGCGTCGACTGGATCCCCATGATCCATGGCATCACAGCAGTCCTGCACCGCACACATGACTACATTCGCCTTGGGCGCATGGCTCCCCTCATGAGCCTCGGCAACTGGGACGATCTGGATCCGGGGCCGCTCACAATACAAGGGGTAGACGGCCATTTCTGCTAAACACACTATACCTGGAAAGATGCAAGCGATGCTGCGGCGACATACAATGAGGTACTCCGCGTGCTAAGGAAGTGCCGCATGTTCATTGACCAATTCGAAGTAATGGACGATGCTTCCCTTTCATGGTGGGGCTATAACCGGGCTTGGTTAGGCCCGTTGATCTTTATCCATTTTGCGCCAGAGGCGTACTTTTCACTACTGCACCAGAGGGCAACCGCCCGCACTTGTGTTGTTTGCGTTTTTCGGGGCATTATTGCATGGTTTACATGGGTATTGGTTTATCAACGGATTGGGAAGGGAAATCGTCAAGGTTGTTGACGACCAGCTCGGACCTTACTGGCGCCCATGGATATCGTGGCTGCTTGAGCAAATCGGAAATGTGTGATGATATGGCTGTTCATTGATGAAGGAAGTAAACTTTAGTGCGTAGCGAGTGACAATACTAGTATCTCCTTGAAGGGAGATGCGCCAGGTGTCAGTGCCCGGCTCTTAGGGTGATTGGTTGGTTCAACAACACCAGTCGAAGGAGCCGTCTACCATGGGTTCTACCAAGGTAGGTCATGTTCAAGGCAAGCCCTGCAAGCAGACGTCTAAAATGCGGACGTCATGCATTCTGCCGACCAAAACCGATTCGATGTGGGTGCCCGTTATTATGGAAGGAGCGGATGAAGTTGGTGCGCAGTTTGGACTATTGTTTGGATGCAATGCATTACCGTGAGCTCATGTTACGCCCTGGTCATAGGCCGGCCCCGCCCCTATGTCACGTGACATGCATGCTCAGTGGTCAAAGAGCAATGCTCAGCACTGAGCAGTCGACGCTCAGGACTGAGCACCTGAAGTATATATACACATTCATTTCATTAGTTAGAACACTCTCTTAACCAGCTATCAATACACTACAGTTTATGCACCTAAGTATCCACTGATACCACTGCAAGTCTAACTTTATATATAACTCTATTACCTGACTTCTGAGTGACAATCCGTCGCTCTTCTCTCCCTAGTAAAACCGTCAACAAACAAAGACATTGATTACTCTTAGCCTACCCTGTAGCCTGGAAGTATCCCGTTCGTCACAGCTTATAGAGTGCATGGCATAGAAAGCTATTGAATGGATGAAGGGTCTTAAAATAGATAGGGAGCCCTCGTCACTAACTGATGGTTACAATTGCTACTAGTATTAGGGATCAGTCGGATACTCGTGATCGCTCATCCAGGCACCGTAAGCGCCTCCTTCGACCCGAGTCCCTTGTATTGGCGGCTGATGAGCTGAATGATCACGCGACGGTAGCTGGCCAGGGACAGTATGCCAGCATCCGTCACCTGGAGAATCAGATGTAATACAGCCGCTTGATAACATACGACTTCTCCGCGGGCGCAATCGTGTTCTCTGCTTTCCGCCCATCTTCTATAGCGTTCATACCTAGCTTGGACGCTTCATACCCATGGAAATTCTCGTCGCGCCTGGCCCGCGGTACTGAAAACACGTAGAGTTGAAATGGTCGCCATCGGGTCCATAAGTCTGAGATTCATCGATGATGATGGTAATCAGCCTCGATATACTCGAGGCTAAGGCTGAAGACGCATTTGATCGCGACAACGGGTAGTGGTTCACTGTCAACAGATAACGCATATGGCGAACCTACGCACACGCGGATGTGCATCCCACTTTTTGTGGTCTAGTGGTCTTTATGCGGTTTGATATTGACTTTGGCGAAGTCAGGGGTCAACGTCCACTGAATTCTCGCTGCAAAGTTGTGCAAGGGCCTCTCTCCAGCGCCAAGAACCCCTTTGTTAGTCTCGAACCTCTCTCCAATCCTGCCTATAACCTCGTCGGATGCATCCGCAAAGTGGCCACGATTCGGCACGATTCGGCAGGCCGGCTTCGCTAACATCGATCGGAAGGTATCGACCACCCCAGGAGCCGTATTACGGGCCTTCTGGAAGACCAAGGCCGTTCTGAACAAGGTATAGGACGTCGGGGCGTCGCCTTCATCACAATAGACACCCTCGTAGGGGGGCCGAGCAGAACGTCGGAGGCCATCATCTTCCGGAAAGAGTAATTACCAAGGACTGTCAGACGGAATGGGCGTCAATGGTCAGTATTACTGCGGGCCCGTAGTCCACAGTTGCCCCGAGTGCCCATAACCCCTGCATCTCGATGTTACGATGTCTGGTGGCGAAGATCACCATAATTCCATCACATCACTACGATCGTACTAGATTGAAAATCCATCTACTGAAGGAAATGTCACAAAGCTTCCAATCGACTTGACACTGGTAGTCGCAGATTGCAACCTAAAGCATGTATAATAGAGTTGCACTTTTGAGCCACTGTTTCTCCCCAGATGCCGATTCCTACTGCTCTTCCAGTTATTATCCAGACCAATAACTAAAGCATAATAGTCACTCGTGCTTCTGAGAAAACTTTGTTGAATATCATCCCTTCACTATAAGTACTATATCAACATTCTCTGTGTCACGCATTTGTCGAGTTCTCAGCAAAACAGCGAGCAGCGATCGCTCTACTCGACAGTCGGCTCTCTTGCTAGACCAGGACCTTGCGTAGGATGGTCAGCCGCACTGGCCCGACCAGTCCATGAGGTTGCCAGTCAGTGTTGGTATAGAGCTCAATATCTAAGGGCCCTGTACCGAACATTTTGACCGAGTCCGCCCGTGCCTTGACCGCGTTGAATAGGGTGCTTGAAACAACGACTTCGATCGAGTTCTCGCCTTGAACCACGTAATTAGATACGTCAAGCTCCGCATCTGTAATGTCTACTGCGGGTAACTGCTGTCCATTAATCCAGACTCTTAACGTGTTGAGGACTTGGCCGAAATTGATTATCGTGGCTGTCTGATCATAGGGCAGATAGCACAAGGTTGGAACGATGAAGGACGCCGAGTAAGTGCCGACGCCTGACACATTCTGTATAGCCGGAAAATCCGACCACGGCCGAAGTTGAGCCTGGGGACCGAGATGCAGTGTCTTCTTTGCTGAATGCGTGTCGGAGGGGTCATCGACGGGCACCCAAGACTCGAGAGTCAAATTCCAAGGACCGATTTCGAAGTTTGGAAGTCTGACATCTGGCTTCTGCGTAAGCTCAGGGATCAGTTCGGTCGTCTTATCTGAGTGAATTAACTTCGCTGCTTTAGGTTCGTTAATCAGAACCGAGAGTCGTCCATCTGGACCGTCATGGATCTTAACAACGTTGACTGTGTGCGAAGTGACATAAGGCCGCGCTTCTCCAGGTATGAATGCGATTAGGGCTGTTTGATGTTGCTGAAGTGTTAGGTTCAAGTTGACGCCAGATTCATACCGGTTGAAAGCCATGATAAGCTCTTGCTCTCCTGTCCAAGCATTCAACGAGGCTGGCACGCTGTCCTTCCCAACTGCAAATGTCAGGCCGAACGTTGCAGGTGAGCCTTTGTTGTATAAGAAGACATAATCAGCATTTGCATCAGATCTCCACAGCGTGTACAAGTCCGCAGCAGCAGCAGCGGGCTCTGAAGCTTCGACAGAGACACGAGGCGTAACGTGAAGATCGTCCAAGACCTGGACCAGTTCGTCTTCGTTCTCTATGAACCTGACGTTGGTATAATGAGATGACCCGAGCGAGGCAATATTCTCTGATACAACATCCTGGCCTGAAGAACCGATTGTGGTATTAGGGAGACCACCAATAACGACGATCGGGAGGCCGGCCTCAGCAAAGTCGACCAGCTTTTGTGATGCGTCGGGGCTAATATGGAACTGATTCTCGATCACAAGGGCTTTATAGGCGGGGCCAGAGGAGGCCAGAACGCTGTCAGAGACTGTGGCATTCTCTGTCGCCAGGTTAAATGGCGAGAGGTACTCGTATGTGAATCCTGGATAAGTTTTAACACTAGCTATGGTAGAGAAGGGTTAGGGCGCTTGCCATACCTCTGGATCGAATGTCTCCTGCCTCCTTCTTGATAGAAGTCATCCATGGGTCCTGGAACAGGTAGAATGCGAGATCCCTTTTGGCTACACCTGTCTGTAGTACGAGCTGGTTCCTAGCCGTGTACTCCATGATATCGCTCATAAAGTCCCACGCTGGCTGCCTTGGGCTCCAGAGCTCGGTAAATCTATACTGAAACGGCGTGTAGCCCGGCCAGGTGGTGTTAGGAAACTCGCCGCCGTACGACATACCGTGAATAAGCATCATATTAACGCCTCCGGCAAAAGCTTCAGTGAAGAGATAGACGAGGGATGGGAGAGTCAAAGAGTAGGCGCCGCTAGGCACCGCGCCGACTTCGGTAGAGACGACATTCCGGCCCGATAGATGGGCGGAGCCGACGAACTGTAGCATGATATCGATGTCGGTGAAACCTAGAGATTCGAGTTCCGGGCCAGAGACGGATGGGACAGTAGCTAGCTACAACACAATTAGATGAAATACATCCAGGGTTCTTTGCAGGAAATAGGAGCCATACCACATCGACTGGCATATTATAAGCCACTTGCGCCGAGTGAGAAACACCTAGGGACAAAGCCCACTCGTCCAAGGACTGCAGGTACTCCATAAGCCCCTCGTTCAGAGTCAGACGATAGTCTTGGTGGTACTTGGACTGGCCAGCGTTCTCCAGCTCGAGAACGTAAGTGACGTCGTACGGGGCCATGTTACCATGGAAAGCAGTGGAAGAATGGAATAAAAGAGGGAGATACTTTGTCGGATCGTAACCTCTGGCAGACTTGAAACGCTCAATAAAGTCGGGTGTCCAATAGAGCGACGCCTGTATTTCCATGCTGTCTTCCCAAGCTACGATTGAGTCAGTCACTATTTCGGAGACGCACGGGTTTCAACCTAGAGTAGGACATACAATGCTGCCCGACTGCCTTCAAGAGGTCGCGCACCTGACCGTCCAAGAGGTGGTCGTTCCAGAATTTGGTCACAAGCTTTGAGCCCGCAGAGCTAAAGTGATCTGTAACCCACGACCCGTTCGCAATAGTATCAGCCGGTATGCCCTTGCAGGAGCGTTGGTTCGTGAATCGTTCATACAGCGCAAAAACGATGTACTCTTCATGATCAGATGGTGCCGTCCATACAAGCCTCCCCTCAGCCACACTCTCCGTGAGATCAAGTAGGGAGGCCTCATCGAGCACGATCTCGCGCTGGGTATTATTCAGACCAGCCCCTGTAGTCGGATACCGTCAGCCGCAGCATGATACCTCAGAGGAAGAGCCTTACCGGACTTGACACCCGCGGCTGAAACTCCAACTAGCCGACTGTCGCCGAACTTTTCTTGTGGCTGCATGAAGCCAGGAACTTCGTTCCAGTCAATGATAGGGCCAGGGAGGGCACCTTCAAAGGTGGCACCACCTCGCACAGTGGCTTTCCCGTACATAAGCTGTACGGCTAGGCCAGGGGTTAGTGGCTCGACTGGTACGCCCTGACCCTGGCTAGCACCGATGGCAAAGTCCATAACGAGATTATACTCCTTGCAAGTCTCCAGGGCTGTGACGAGGACGTCCTTAAACGCAGGCGTCCCGAACCCAAACTCGTCCCATCTCTCCTGTCCCGGTCCGCCAAATCCATAGTTATAGAAGGGCACGATTTCCAGGCCGCCAGCCCCTATTTGCTGAAGCGCACGTATATCCTCGGCGAGAATTTCGTGGTCGAGGCTTGCATCGTGGAACCTGAAACAGTCAGAATTCGTCTTGCATGGCTATATCAAGAGGAGGCAGGGACTGACCAATATCTAAACTTCGCGCGATACTCCTTGGAAGGGGAATCAAAACCATTTAGCGTCTGTAGGGCAGTGGCGATTCCTGGGGCGAGCGCCAGGAGCCGAAGTAATGATTTCGGAGCCATATCTGAGCACTGAGTGGACTCAATGAGAGGGAACCACGAGTGGTGTGCGGTGGTCCCATCCTAGAGGTCGAATGAGTCGCTTTCGTCACGCTTTATAATTGCGAATCAGTTATCGAGCTCTCGATGCTGCTCGGTCTGAATTACAACGTTGCCGGCTCGCTGGAGCCGCTGTCATTCTTGTTCTTCCTTGTTTGAAGTAGCCGATGTACCCGCAAGTTAACCGTCGTATGGTCTATCACTAGTAACCTCCCTCGTTATTGCTCGTTGCATATGATAGGGGCTTAGAGTCGGTCCCCTCCCGAGTCCAAATTTCGGACGAAGTTGCCCCGAGAGCCCCGCATGGAGCAAAATCTGGGGAAGGCTGAGCTATGCGACGGCTGGGTCAACCATGTCGGCGATGGTTCTCTGAGGTATACCTACCAACGTCCTGGTCCTTTTGTCTGTCCGCCCTGGGGCGGCGACGTCCGATTAGTTCTCCCTTTCAGCGCGCCGCTGGCGGAAGATCCCTGTGTTCAATAGACTCAATCTTCGTGTCCGGGCATTGATGAGGTCCTTTGGTTAATTTCAGAATTGCGCTAAGATCAGGACATCGGCGAAACTTCGTTCATCGTTTAGCTCCTTGTCAGAGCTCGTTCCTCGTTTAACTCCTTGTTAGAGCTCGTTCCTCGTTACGCACGGACCTAGATTTGGTGGGCCCTAACTGACAGCGAAAATCTTCCATCGGACTGTTGATCTAGCGTCCCAACGCGACCCACGTTGCGATGGACAATAAGGTTGCTTCGTTCAAGGTAATTGACAAATGCTGGCCAGGATCTGATCACAGAAATGCATGACAGGGTCTCAGCTTCGGTTTGACTGCTGCCGAGGGCTCTTGTTCTGACATCAACGTCAATTGTCATAGCTCGCGCGAGCCACCCAGGCAAGGGATGCAACATAGTGTGACGGAGGATATAGGATCCAATAATTCTGCAATAATTGTGGCACCCAAATTTTGTCACACATAAGCTGCGTCACGTACGTTGGACGTCGAGGGCCTTACTACCTTCGGATATTCGCCTGTTTTCTTGTATTCTCGTAGAGCTTTTTCGTTGCATCATCAGCGCTGACTTCTCTTGTCTGATTGTAATTGAGTCCTCCGAGGATCAAGAACGTTCTCAGTCGTACTAATCTATTTCCTAGCATCAACGGACATCTTGCTTTTAGAGCTGAAGAAATGTTGGAAGCTGGCTTACTCGTTCGGACTGCCTTTTTCATGGCGGCTGTCTTCTGTGTCATTATTCTCGGTTTATCAGCATTCAGTATGTCATTATAGCCGAGTTTCTGCTGGCCGTTGCAACGCGTTGCTAAGTCCTTCGTCCAGTCACCACACAATATGGTCCTAACACATCCGCTGCCGCTATTTTTCTCCTTCTCAACTCGGTGTGGTCTCTGCTCGCTCTGGTCTACCTTTCCATCGTCCCGATATACGGGCCACGGCTCTTCAACGAATTTGTCTGTCTTGGACTAAACGCGGTCACCACAATCTTCTGGTTCGCTGGGGCCATCGGGATTGCGGGCACGGTAGGCGCCCAATGGCGCGCAGAACAGGCCTCGACGGCGTTTTCCTTCTTCCTCTGGGCCATCTTCACTGGTCTGCTTGTTGTTAAAGTCAAGTCAGTCGTTCGCTCGCGACGACAACCACAGTCGCCCCTTAAGCCCTGACGATTGCAATAACAGGGTTCGTCCCCACAACTGAGAGTGGTGGTGCGTGGTGACTGCATAATCGGGATGCGGGCTGAGCGTAACTGAGGCGGACAGCCGCGCGTGACACTACGAACGAAGGAATCAAAAATAACATAGATTATGTAGCTTTTGGCTATAGTTAGCCAATAAGTTCTTTAAGATAATAATGTTTACCTTCTTTCGAGCGTGATTAAGTAAAGTATTGAAGAGAGCTAAGTACTAAAGTGCAACTCAACTGAATACCCATGGCTTGCCATCACGCAAGAGATAGCAGAAAGGGTAAAGGACGGATGCGACTACGGAACAGTCTCGGCCCAGATGAGAGATCCAGAAGCAATCTCATCATTACGTCTAGGTAGCGTCTATCTAGCCTCGCACTGGCTCGATCCTGTCTCAAGTCTCCTCTTCCAGGACGTACGCCTCAACCTCTGCAATGCCCGTGCGAGCAGGAGTCGAGGCTGGGATGGGAAACTCCCCGTAGTCAGGCTCTTCGTTGGGCATCACCATGGCCTCGCCGCCCTTGATCTGGTCGCCGTTCCAGATGCGCCCAGTACGGAGCGTGCCATCGTCGCCGGCCTCCAACTCCCTCGAGGTCAAGATACCTGTGAACCCAACGCCCTTCCTCAGGCTCTTAAACCTCGCATCGAAGCCAAAGCCGACAAGTAGAAACTTGTTCTCGGCCAGCCTGACGATAAGCCCCCCGCCGGGGCCCGGTTTGCCGAAGACAGAGGCTCGCTCTACCGTCACTTGCATGTCTCCGAAGACCTTCACCCACGGCTTCTCTGCCAGCGGGGGATCTTGCAGCTTGTCGAAGAAGAATCCGAAGCGGTCGGTGGCCGAGGCACTCGCCACAATGTCCTTGACCTGGTTCAGGACCTTGAACTCCCGCCCAACGGCCGTGGCGTCAAACTCGACGGCAAAAGGGCTGACTCCGATTGCGCCGTATGTGCCGTATGCCAGCCACATCCTTCGGGCGCCCTCCGGATCGCGCCGCTGCTCCGGGATGAAAAGAGGATCGTCCTTGTACAAGTAGTCTCTGCAGGTCATCTCATAGTCTTGAAAATAGATGTCGGGCGCAATGAAGTCGAGAGAAGGCGTGTTGAACCGCCAGACATCGAGGACGTGGACGCAGGGGCCGCCAGAGGGGTACTCACCCGGCTTGGAGCCGCCGGCCACCTCTTTAGAGCTTGCCACGAAGGAAGGGGTCGAGGGGTCGAGGCATTCCGGGCCGTCGACGGCGAGCCAGGCGTTTGCATAGACGGGAATTGGGTAGGAGGCCTTGCCAGCTGCAGCGACCTTATGTACGAACCGTGAGATATGGAACGCCATAAACATCTCGTCAGCGGGGGCCCCTGGTCCGAAGACCTCTTCCCACGAGTGCTTGCCGCTCCTATGGATACTGGGGAACCGCTTGGCGAATTTCGGGTGAGGGTTTTCGGCGAGATGAGCAAGCAGGGCTTCGGGAACGGGCTCCTCCCAAGCTGCCTCAGCTAGGGTAGACCTGTCCCTGGAGTCACCAAGGATGCCTGTCTCGTTCTCCACTTGGGCCATGAGGACCGTGGAATGATGCTGGTCAAAATCCTTGATGTGAGCCAGGAGCGCGCCGAACGCCCGCGAATCGGCCTCGGCGCACTCCCGGGACAGCGGCGAGATGGCGTCGAGAATGGCTCGGTTGCCGTGCTCGTCAACGCTGCGCGCACGGGGGAAGCGCCCCGAGTCCTTCTTCACCCATGGGGGCACATACGTGCTGACAGCGTTCTTCCACGTACCGAACCACAGCAGCACCAGGTGCATGTCGTGCTGCCGCGCGCCGAGGATGACCTTGTCCAGCTCCGAGAAGTCAAATACCCCCTCTGCGGGCTCGACCTGTGCCCAGGAGACGCCGCCGAGGAGGGTGTTGATGCCGTTCTGGACCATACGCGGCCAGACATCGGCCATGTAGCTGGCCGAGCTGAGGTTGGAGTTGTGCAGCTCGCCGGCGAGCATGAGGAACGGCTTACCCTTGACGATGAGCTTGGTGCCGTTCTTTTCATCGCGACGGAGGTGCGGGTGGACATGTGCTACGGTAGCCATTTTTTCAAAATCGACGGCACCTATTGTCGGACGACAGGAGGCGAAGAGTAAGATCCTCGTTAGGTGACATGTATCTAGATGATCTGAGTATCTACAGACTGCTAGAACATCTCGTTCATATACCCTGACCTTCAGATATGTCTTCGAACCAAGATGTCCGGTCTCCTAGACTAAGACGGCATGCTCCATCACGCATGCCACAATTATTTTCATCCCCGGCACCCCCACAGAGAGCGGTTTGCGTACACGTGGGAATCCGACGAGGAGATTCACCGAGTAGCCCCCGCCCGCATCTGGCCCTGGTCGGAGTATTACCATGTAATACTGTTGTAAAAGCAACTTAGGTAACTGGTAAGGGAAGAGCGCGCCCCGCAATACCGCCGCGGCCGGTCAAAATGCTCCTCCAGCTGCATGACAAACTAATTGTCCGAGAAGAGGGCATCAAAGCGGGTGATGGGTGACCCGCACTTGCCTGGATGGGACTTCGAGAAGCATTTGCTTCATGGGCTGCTTGACTGGTGGAAGTATTGGAGTCATCACGCTGGTCGTGGCCTTTTCTGTCCCGCCTTGGCCGAGACTTATGTCTTGTCACCCCGGTGATCGCCGTGGCCTTTCCTCGAGAATTTTAGAACCTAGACCGCCAAGGCCAAAGGACGCGGCCGAGTGAAGTCTCTTAGACATTAAAAGGAGTAGACATGTGCTAGATAGCGTGAAAGCCGGGAATTCGATAGGAAAGGGTGCTGTCGAGTGAGGAGTGTCAAGGTATTCAAGATGTAAAAGTAAGATAGATAGCACGAGAAGATGATTTCTAGCTCTTACTATCAATATGTCATGGCAAGTAACGAGCCATGTTTGGGAACTAGAGGTGGTCGCTGCTAGGGCTACGAGGTTGCCTTGGCCCTCCACGCTATGCCTGTGTCCGAGCTACCCAGTACACAGAGTCTGTCGTACTGAAAAATCCTCAAGCAACATCCAATGAGTAACTCAAACCTATTGCCAGCCGCGTTCAGGACAGGAAAAATGGAAGTGGTCACTCAGAGATGGCGTCATTTGAACAAGACAAATGACAGTTGACATCCGAGGCACACTTTCACGTCTCCTGAGCCTGTTTCTCCACCTTTGTGACCTGTCCTGCGTCTTCTTCGTGCGCTAGTCCCTCCGCCTTGATGTCGTAGGTAGTTTCCAGAGCCTTCTTTCCGTCGAACACCATGCTAACCTCCTCCAGAGTCAGACCTCGCGTCTCCGGGAAGGTAAAGTAGATAACTGCAAGCCACAACACTAGCGCGCAGACGAAGACGATGTAGTACTTCCAACTTAGGGCCTCAAGCGCCACCGGGTTGACAAAGCCGTTGAAGATGCCGCTGCAGTACTGTGCGAGGTTGAAGACGGTGAGGCCTTTCGCGCGTAGTGAGTACGGGAGCACCTCGAGCAGGTAGGCGATGGGGAGGGGGTTCATAGCGAAGTTGTAGAAGGCGAAGAACATGAACACCATGACGACAACACCGACACCAAGGCTCTTCTGACCGTTCTCTAGCTGCTGGTTCCGCGCCGCGAGGCCGGTCCAGATGGTAAACGCGCATAGCATGCCGATGGTGGACGTCAGGAGGAGGAACCGCCTTCCGAGGCGGTCAACGAGGGTCGCAGAAGCAGAGGCCACGGCAAAGTTGAAGAGCTGGAGGCCGCCATTGATAAGGTTCTGAGTCTCCAGATCGGTGATACCAATGTCGCGCAGGACGAGAGCTAGGTAGGATGAAATGAGTTGGTTACCACACCACTGAATGATGAAGCCGAAGATCGCAACGACGAATAGCCGGTGACGGTTGCCCTCTGAAGTGGCAGTATGTATTAGCACCCATCGGATTCGTCTGATCTCCAGAGATAACACGTCTGAGATAGGAGGGAAGCGGGAGCGGGAGCAAGGAACCTACTTGTGCGGAGGAACTGCAGATAAGAACTGGACTCAAGAGACCGCTCAAACTCAATGGCACTGGTGATCTCAGCGATCTGGAGCCTCACTAACTCATCCGGTTCCTGGGTGCCGCTGTGGTACTTGCACAGAATCCTGGTGGCTTCATCCGTACGGCCATTGGCGATGAGCCACCTCGGGCTTTCCGGGACAAGGTAGATCAGGAGCCCCTGGAAGACGGAGACAAGAGCTTGAAGCAGGGATGGAATTCGCCAGCTCCAGCTATTGGGCATCCTGAAGGTACCGTACGTTGCCCATGCAGCCACAATGGCGCCGGCGTACTGTGCACATGTTATATCAGCAATGCGTGCCCCACGGAGGAGGACAGGACAATGTACTGACCCATTGCGTGTTGTAGATGGCGGTGAAGATGGGCCGATGCGATGGATACGCCAGTTCTCCAAGGAGCGGAGCGGCGGCGGTCGCGAGAAAACCTCCGCCCAGGCCAATGAAAAAGCGACCTGCGATGAACATGCCAAAGTTCTGGGCGGCTGCCTGAATGGTAGCGCCAGTGATGATGATGATGGAGGCCAACAGGATTGGGGGCCGCCTGCCGTACGTATCCGCAGCGAATGGCGCGAGAGGCAGAGAGACGACGCCGCCAATCATCTGCATGTTGACCAGGAGACCGAGGAGAGAACCCGAGGGATGCTCGAAATCTGTGGAGCGAGATCTAAAGTCAGGGGACTGTTTCCAAAAAGAGCACGCATAGAGTTAGTTGAGGCTCACCTTCTTGCCACTGTTGGACCGTCTGGATTCCGTTAAGCATGCTGCCATCGAAGCCCCCGACATAACTCGCGAAGAAGGGTATAAGGAGGAGCAAGTTGAGCCTCAAGAGATGGGGCACGCGCCACCACGACTCCTGGGTGCACAGCTTGAGGAGCCGCAGTTCTCCGACTTCGTTGGACGACATGATAGTGATGAGTGACGAAGGATAATTTGCTGTTGACAAGGGCAATGGGGGTAAGAGATGAGCCACAAGAGAGAGCTTGGAGAGTGAGGTCTAGCAAACTCGAAATGCAGGATAGTGGCCAAATATATAGACCTTGACGGCGATTCCCGGTTGTGATGCTCCCGAATCTCGACTCATGCGCTCCAGACTCAGTCCAGCCCCATGGGCACCACCACAAAAGTCTGGGGTGATGGATCGAGACACCTCATTCGATTCTCACTCAAGGATCCATTAGCGACCAACACCGACCGAGCGGTCCCACATGATGCGGGATCCAATCGAAGTGCAGCCGGCCATTCTCCTGGGGGTGGGGCTCTACCCTTTCGCTCGTATTTGACTACTACTGCTGTACTCTTTACTAGTACTAGTGAAAGTCAAGTCATAGTGGCGGTTCGGGAGAGGGCAGCTTCGCCATCGTATGGATCCTGGCAATGTCTACTTGCCCGGCCAGGCCCATGCATTCAGCCAAAAACTATTCCAGGGTAAATAGCCGTGGCAGTCAACCCACGCTGACCGCAGCGTTGGCCGTGGACAGACTGCCCATCTGTGCTTATGGAGGCATGCCGACGAGTTCGGCCGAGGGTTTCGCCATAACCTCGGAGTCAATGGAATCGACAGCGGATCTTGAAAAGGGCACATCTTTGTTAAAAGGCAAGATGGAGCTTGATCCAGTGTTGAAACTTGCAGGTATCTGTCATAGGCTTTCGGAATGTTGAATGAGCCCAAGTTACGTCCTCAGCTCTCACCATGCAGCGAGTCCTCGTCAACCCGGTCATCCCCGGCTTTGCCCCTGACCCTTCACTCGTCTATGTGGACGGCACCTGCTTCCTCGTCAACTCGAGCTTCCACGTCTTCCCTGGCCTGCCAGTGTATGCCTCGAAGAACCTAAGGGAGTGGAAACAAATCGGTACGTCCTCGCACAGTCACCAACCGCCCGGGCCTCTGTTCCCGTCCGATAGCTTTCTCCGGCTGACAGGGTGTTTCCCCAGGCAACGCGATCAACAGGCCCGGACAGCTGAAACTGCAGCAGTCCTACACCAAGATCGTAGGCGAAGGCGAAGACATTGTGTGCGCACAGGGCGGCCTCTACGCCCCCACGATTCGGTACAACAAGGGCACGTTCTACATCGTCTGCACCAACTGCGTACACACGTCGTCCCAGCCGCCCACGAAGAACGAGGTACAGAACTTCATCCTCTCCACGACCGAAATCTGGGCCGACGAATGGAGCGACCCGGTCTTTTACGACTTCTTCGCCATTGACACCAGTTTGTTCTGGGACGACGATGGCCGGGTCTACGTGATCGGCGCCGCCGACCAGTCTCCCGAGACCAAGATCCGCCAGTTCGAGATCGACCTCGCCACGGGCAACAGGCTCTCCAAGGACAGGATCATCTGGGAGGGCGTTACGAGGGTGTACCCCGAGGGCCCACACATGTACAAAAAAGACGGCTGGTACTACCTCCTCATCGCCGAGGGCGGCTGCTTCGCCGACCATCACACCATCATGGCCCGATCGAGAAGCATCTGGGGGCCGTACGAGGTCAATCCGGCTAACCCCGTGCTGGGTAAGACGGATCCAAGCGGCTACATCCAGTACACGGGCCACGGAGAGCTGTTTCAAGAACCCTCGGGGCAGTGGTACTTTGTGTGCCTGGGCGTGAGGAAGATCAACGGCCGCTTCATCATGGGACGCGAGTCCGTCCTTACCACGGCCACCTGGCCTCACGGCGGTTTCCCGGTCATCGACAAGGCGCAGTTGGATGTGCCGCTCGCCCTCGGCGGCCAGGCTGCATGCTCGGAATGGCCCTCCCGCAGAAGGGTCGGGCGTCCTGAGGTTGGCTTCGTCCACATTCGAGACCCTGTCGAGGGCAGCTACGACTACGACTATGACGGAACAGGCGACATCGCCCTGACGCCTGGCAAGTCGGACCTCTCCCAGTACGAAGAGCCAGTCACGTTTGTGGGCAGACGCCAGAGACATTTGGACGGATCGGCATCGGCAATATTGAGATTCGGGGCCGCCACCGCGGCACAGGACAAGGCCATCAAAGGCTCCCGGCTGAAGACTGGGCTATGTTACTACAAGGACGAGCACCGCTTCGTCCGCATCTACCTGAATGTCGAATCCGAGGAGATCGTCTTCCAGCTCATCAACAAAGCGAAGTCCATCGAGAGGAACGTTGCGCGGAAGGTTGAGGCGCTGGGGGACGCCACGGGCGTCACCTTCGGCGTGGATTACACGGAGCTGGATCTGGGGTTCTGGTTCTCCGTTAATGTGGGCGGCAATCTCGGGAAGCAGGAGATGGCAAAGATAGACACACTGGACATGACAGGCCACGACTTTTGTGGTCCCATCATCGGCATCTTCGCCGTTGGCGATGAGGACACCAAGGTATATTACTCGGGCGTCCATATGGAGGGCTTTTAGACTAGACTATAAATCCATCTGCTGCACCAAGATGTCTGATGCTTTCGAGTTTAAGCGTGCAAGCATGTCGACCAAGCGCTCGGCGCACTGGTTCGCCCGGGTCTTGACCACTTCGTCTGTCGCGTCGTGGGTTATCTTGAGCAGGACGCTACCGATCCGTCTGATCTTCTCCGACTGACGATGTAAAGAAAACAAGCTGTCAGCAATGGAACCGAAGTGCCTTGCCTAGAGGTATAGTGCTCTTGGGTCAAGATTGAGGGAATACTCACACAATGTTCACCCTCCGTCTGGAGGTGGACGAACGGGACGCTCTCTAAGGAGTGCAGAAAGTCGTTCGCCAGCTCGATCTGCTTCATAAAGAGAGTCATGGGCTCAGCGTTCATGCCCACGACCTCCGGCATGTTACAATGAATGGCAGTGTTTAAGACAAAAGCCTTGATGCTGTACAGAGTAAGCAAATAGCTGGTCCGCTGCCTCTGAAGAATTTCGAGCAAGTGCTGATCCGCATCCCGATGGTAGCTGTTGGGAGACGAGTCGTCGAGCAGGCCTGCTGCAGAGGTAGCAGGTAACTCGCTCGAGAGCGTGATCACCTCAAAGTATACGGCAGACAAGCGCGCGACGGCATCGCTGCGACGCTCCATGTCGATAATCACGGCGTCCGGGGCCTTCTTCCCGGACAGCAACTCCATACCGCGAATGACGCGGGCGGCCATGGTCCACAGCCGACAGATGATGTGAAACCCCGTGGACAGAGACTCTTCCAGTCTTATCCCATTCGAGTACTCGTCGTGAAGCAAGAGCGGGACAGCAGTCTGAGAGTGCGTTTGGACGGTGAACTCGGTCTCGAACAATGGTTCGTGGATGACCACTGGACGGCCCTTCATGACCAGGGCCGTCTGGTCGCAGACGTACAGCTGCCAGAAGGTGTTTCGGAGAAGCGTCTCCTCGACGGGATCGAGTCCCTTGAGAGACCTCTCGTCGTACAGGCGCATCTTCATGGCGACGAGCCCCGCCTGGTTGAGGAAGTGGAAAGCCGCTCCGTACAGGCCGGTGGCGCTCTGGATAGCCGACGAGAAGAAGTGCCGAATTCCGAGCGAGGACGAGTCGGGGTGCTCGAGGTCGTAGTCCTCGTAGATCCTAAGCGTTTCCCTAGAGGCCCGGAGGAAGAGTGGCGCCACGATGTGTTTGCTCGGGAGCAGAGTCTCGGGGACCACGCACGACACGGCGGCGCAGAGCGCCGTCAGGAGCGTGATGCTCCTGAAAGCGCCGATCCGTTCATGTTCGCTGTCGGCGAGGAAGCACAGCGAGACGAGTGCCCGGTTCTCGGCGTGATTCTCCGATGCCGAGAGCGGGATAAGGAACCGACTAGCGGTGGCGCGAATGGTGGCCTCGTGGCACAGAGGGAAGGCCCCTAAGACGTACCGCGTGTATAGATCGATGCACTTATTCGCGATGGCCGCCGCCGGGAGCGAGGGGACGGCTACGAGCAGCGTGGTCAGCAATCCGAGATGGATCGTGATGGCCGTCTCTGTCTGACTGGCCAGCAACTCGAAGAATGGGCTCTCCGCTGCTGCATTCCCAACTGCGGCGGCGGACAGCGGGCTGGTTGTGGCAGACCCGGTGATCAGATAGGTCTCGGTTTGGGCCTGGTCCCCTTCCGGAGGATCCTCGAGGATGACTGTTGCCCCCGGGCTTCGTGGCCCTGCTGATGGACTGGACGGCGGAGACGTCAACAGCCGATGCTCGTCGACCGATTCTGTCCCTCTGGCGGCGTTACGTCCCCGCCAGCTGCCCGGCTTAGGGCCTCTTCTCCTTGGAACCGGGTACTCGCAATGTGTCTCCGCTGCGAGACAGTTACTGCACGTCGGTAATCCGTCACACTTTTTCGGAGACACAACGCCCGTCAGCGAAGGGATTCCAGGGAGCTGACCTTTCCTGGTCGTGTCAGACGCACTGGAGACATACCTTGACCTTGCGGCGGCGGCAGAGCTTACAGGCTTGCTTCGAAGTCAAGAGAAGGCCAGGCCGATCCGTCATTTTGGTGGAGTTTGTCCGAATGAAAGAAGTGATGCCGTCTGCTGCTGGTGGGCTATCGTCGGGTAATTAGACGCTGCGTGTCCAAGTGTCCCCACTACCACTGACTCACGATTTGTCCGAACTAGGGAATGGGCAGCTCGTTTCCTGCTTGCGGAACGAAGTCCCTAATACGAGCTTTGTTTCCTCGGCACGAGTAATTAACCGGACGCTCGCTGCATCATTACATATTGTCCGAGCTATTGTTGTTGAGACGTCCTTATTATCCGAATGTTATCCCTTGGATTCATCGGCGGATCGTCACCAACGCGAAGACTAAAAGTTGAATTGAAGTGAGAAAATGGTATGAAAAGTTCTTCCATATTTTATGTCATCGTGACAATGTGTGGTATAAGATTCAAAGAGACTCGTTCACAGAATTGGTCGCTTCGTTAGACACCAAAGTAGAGGGCCAAACGGACCACTCGCGTGCCCCCCAGAACCATGTCTTCGCAGCACGCAAACACACACAAGGCGGCGCAGCCCCCCGATTTTGAGTGGGGGTTCGCAACCGCATCTTACCAAATTGAGGGCGGCGTCGACGAGGACGGTCGCGGAACCTGCATCTGGGACACCTTCACGCATCTGGAGCCATCTCGCACGAGCGGAGGGACGGGTGACGTTGCCTGCGACCACTACCACCAGTATGAGGACTATCAGGTATAAAAGATCATCAGAGACCCGGGTATTAACTAGTTAGAGAACAACAAGCTTAAGCCTTTTACTCTGTACATCACCGTCAAATGATCCCTCTACCTATTAGTGCCGCAGAATACCAACAGAGGGGGTTGAATGGCCATCTGACTGTTTCTGCGACTTGCTCGTTGAGAATTTCGCAGGCAGTTCGCTTACCGACCTGCGGCAACCCCCAGTTCGAGAAAGATACTCTGGATGTCTCGTACCCCCACACTGAAAGAATACGATGTGCGAGGTTAACTATGGATATCTATGGAGTTGTGAGCAGTAATATGATGCGTAATTGCGGACTTCAAATCACTAGCCCACCTTCCCGCTCGCGAAGCATCTGTAAGTGCGACGCTGTCCTCGGGTTTGTTCGGGCTCGGGTTCGGATTCATGTGAAATTCCCAAACCAAGAAAGGCAAAGTAGTGAAAAAGGGTACATGGTTGAACTCTCAATAGACGTTACGTGAGGGATTCATGCCTGCTCGGGGACGGGCTGAAGATTCAGCCATCAGGATGAGGTACAAAGACCAGAGGTGCCACCCTAAAGGAAGGTCAGATAGGTAATCCGCAGACAGCTTTCATCTGCTAACTGTACTTTCTTTGCTCAAGTTGCGTTGGGCCCAGGGCCAACACAGGCTATCCTTAGCGAATGAGTCAGCATTCTTATTCCAAGAGGCATGTGTAGCTCTTGGGTGTATATGATCCACTTACAATGCAATACTTCTCGGAGGCTATCATGTGTCCGGTCGGCCGTCGGGATCCTTGATTGCCATTTGGAATTTTTTAAAGATGGCTGCTATCACCCGCGGAGTCCTGCACACATAAGCTAGCTGCCGACCAAATTCTCGTCTACGCTAACATGGGCAACTTATCCGCTTTAACTGAGCTGAGCTGGTGGTCCTGGCTCACACTCTTAGCTGCAACAGTTCGTCACTTGAATCAATTCTCAGGATTGCTTTATTAACAAGTGTCCAGGCATTATTACTTTTGATCGGTCAAACAATTTTCAACGTCTTCTTTCATCCACTTCGTTCGTATCCTGGGCCATGGTATCGGGCTGCAAGTCGATTGCCGTACAGTATCTCCATCTTTCGTGGCAGCGTAACGCATCGGGTCCAAAAGCTCCATGAAAAGTACGGCCAGGTGGTCCGAATAACCCCAGACTCACTATCGTATACTTCCAGCCAGGCGTGGCCAGGTTCGTGACCAGCAACGTCGGTAATAGCTATATGTGTATCTATGCTAATCAGGGGCTTGTTAGATGTGTATGGGCTTAGACAGTCCCAGAGACGGGGAAACCTTCCCAAGGATCCCAAGTTCTATGTTAAACCACCTGGTAGCATAGATACCATAGTGAGCTGCTTTTAAAAGGCCCAGAAAGCGATGTATACTGAATAATTTCTATCAAGTCAACAGCAAATGATGCCGATCATCGCAGGCTCCGGAGACTGCAAGCTCACGCCTTTTCGGAAAAGGCACTTGCGTTGCAGGAATCGTATTTGCAGCGGTACACTGGCCAATTCATCACGTGCCTCGAAAAGGAAGCTTCTCAGTCCGGTGGTGTCGTCGATATCGTGAAATGGGTCAATTTCCTAACCACGGACCTGATCGGCGACTTGTCATTTGGTGAATCCTTTGGCGGGCTAGACACGGGCAAGGTTCATCCATGGCTGGAGAGTTTATTCAACACATTGAAGACTTTTACTTTCATGAGGGAAATTCTTCGCCTGCCACCATTTCTTATTGCCGCCGCGATGGCCTTCATTCCCGAGAAGATGAAGAAGCATGAACAGGAATCTCTATCCTTTGGTGCCGCAGTGGCCAAGCGCAGACTCGAACGAGGCTCCGACAGACCCGACTTCATGTCGTACATCTTGAAGCATCAGGAAGAACAAGAAAAAGGGTAAGTGTTTGCCCATTTGTGCTAAATTCTCAATCGTTTATCATTTTCGCTGATATCTAGTTAGCATGTCGCAAGCCGAAATCGAGATGGCTTCCATAACATTCATTGTGGCCGGAAGCGAGACAAGTGAGTGACTCTGCGTCGTACATTGCCGCCATGACTAGTGAAACAGGAGATTCTAATGCGATATCAGCTGCTACCATGATTTCGGGCACTATTTATCTCCTTCTCTGCAATCCATCTCTTCTGTCAAGGTTGACAACCGTGATCAGGGCGGACTTTCCTAAAGAGTCGGATCTCACAAACATCAACCTACAGCAGCATGAATATCTTAATGCTGTCCTCAAAGAGGGCCTACGACTGTACCCTCCAGCTCCCGATACTCTTTTCCGCACTACGGCAAAGGAGAGCGCAATCGTAGCGGGAAGAGTAGTGCCGCCACATACAAAACTAACCATGAATCTCTGGGCAGCGCATAGGGACCCCACCAACTTTCGCAAGCCTCTTGAGTTCATTCCTGAGCGGTGGGTGAAGGAAGTACCGTTGGAGTTCAGCAATGACGACAGAGCAGTTTTCAAGCCCTTCAGTGTGGGGCCAAGGGATTGTATTGGGAAAAAGTGAGTGTCATCTCCGAGGGGTCTCTGCCCGGAAAGAAAACTAATTTGATCGGACAGCCTCGCATGGGCTGAGATGCGGTTGATCCTGGCTAAACTTCTATGGTCGTTTGATCTTCTCTCTCTTCAGGAGGATAGTGAACAATGGATTGAACGGCAGAAAATATTCAGTCTCTGGGAGAAACTGCCCTTGAATGTTAAGGTTACCTATGTTAGGTAATATAGAATAGGAAGGTTATGGTTATATAATATACTGTATGGAGTATTCTATATTATATTTATTTCTATATCTCGTAGGATATTTATATTTAAGAAAAGATCTCCTCTGATTAGTTAATCATTATAAAATATAAGTGTTCCAGTCTGCACCGCTTTAGGTGGTCTAAACTGCATACCTTTATCCTTACCGCCACTTATCCTCGCCATAAGCATTATCCTAGAAAATGAATCTTTGGCAGAAATCTATTTATAATAATGCTGGCCCTTATTTCTGCACTTATTAGATAACTACAGCTCATATCATGGCGCTATGTGAGGTGACCCATGTTTTTAAGCGAAACGCGAGCGGGGACGTTGAACTCGATCCGAGCTCGTAAAGCAAAGACCCACATAGTGCTGGGACCGAGCCTTCGGGCAAAGTGCGAGTTTCAAGTTGGCTTCCGAGGTCTAAGGAGTGCATGTCCGAAAATACGAATCTCAATTACAGCACCATTGCAGCTAGTCCAGACGCGGGAAGATGAGGAAGGCGGGCATAGCAGAAGCGCGTCTTAGAGGCCTGCAAACCGAGATGCGCCCTTTCTACTGAAACGGACCCCGTAGGAGCCCAACTCAATTGGTGATGTGCGATGAGGAAACGGGGACATCAGCTGAGCCCGAGTGCACATGTAACGCAAATCGCTGCCCAACGGGCCACCTCAAAAATCCAACCACCAAAAAGACAGACCGTCCCTTCAACTCGACTTTTCAACCACTAAGCTACAGTAATACAGTCTTCAGCCGTATCATCAGTTTTATCGCCTGTCTTGTTTTGGGCCTTGTAGATGGCTTTGATATTTCGAAAGATGCGGTTGCCTTTGCTGGCTAGACTCTCCAACGACATCAAAAGAAGATCTAGCCAATCATGATAAAGGAAAGGCCTATACATGATGAGTACCCATATTTACTAGATATTACAGTGCTAGGAACTATACCGATTAGGTCCTGATCGACTAAGTGCCACTTCGCATTAATACGACCTGGCAGTAAGGAAGATACCCTCTTTTTGGTGTGGAAGGCGCACAAGACGTGTACTTTTTTTTGCGGGATTAATTATGGAGACCCCAATGTCTGAGAAATAGCCAGCCATCTCGGCCAATCCATCAATCCACTTGTCGATTAGGCTCGCGGACGAGATCTCGGGCAAACAGACGGCGGATTGTCGACGAGGAACCGGCTGCTCGGCTACTCTCATGGATGGTGAACAGGGTGGGTACACAATTTGGAGGGAGAACACATGACCGAGGCTCAAAGTTGCATTGCCTGCGGTGCCCTACAGTTAAACCATCATTCCACATGCCATCTCGTCTCGGCGCGTCGGTGATGCTCGGATCAAAACCGTAATCTCCTTTGGAACCGAGGAAATGGGCCTAACAACCTCGTTATTTCAATCGATTTCACCTGCAAGCCATTCCTTCTTGTCTGGCTCAGTGCCTTAGCCAGCGAAATGGTGGGTAGATTCTCCGCGGGAAAACACTTCGTGCCACGGCGTACAATCGGACCTCAAAACATTCCTTGAGAAACACAGAAGATCCCCCGAAGGGCGACTCTGGGGTACGTATCCTCGCAACCCTTGGGGTTGGAATTGACTTCGAATTGTTACCATATTGCGCCTGCTAAACTGCTTGCATTTCCATGAACATTCTAATGCTCCCCAATTCCTGGTGTTGGTAATGGGCCCCCCTAGTCAGGAAGTTACTATTCGTCGCTTCCTCGGCCTAGAGCTCATAGGCTGTTCGGGAAACACCCTTCGAAGAACAAAGTGTCAAAAAGCGAAATTTGGGTAAGCACTGTAGATCAAGATCGGTACATCATAAAGCGAGAAGCACGGCCCTAAGACGGAGAAGATGTCGATGGGAGCGGTGCAAATGAGGAGGCGCAGGATATACCACGTCTTACAGACCCTTCGCCTTTGAAAACGGCGAGAACCGAGAATGCAACCAAAATACTACCAACATGGTTGAAAGAACATAATTTTTTCCTTGTCTGTGCGCAACTCCGTAGAAGGTTCCACAATGTTTTCGACGCTACTTTCTCACTTATTTTATTAGCATTCACGACGAACTCAGCTTGGAACAGACACCTTACCTTATGCCAACTCCAAATCCCCTCGTAAACAGAGCACACGCGATGATAGTCTCCGAATCGGTGGCTTATACTTTAATGCCGGCTTTACTCAAGACCGAATTGCACTCTAGCTTGATCTTACACCGCGACAAAGCCAAGTTGCTCTCCCACCTGTTCCTTCTTCCAAAACACGTCCGCTTGTACGAAGGTTCTTCTCCGGGGCTTTTAAAAGCAGCATCGCCAAGCATTTAGTGCGCATTGACTCGAAACTTGAACTTTTTTCGGCCATCCACGACGTAGCATTTTCCCCGCGTTGAAGAGGCTGGTGGGAACAAGGTAACTCCTTTTACCCCAAGATCGGGTTCTGTTCTCACGATCCATCATGTACCGTACCCTGTTTTGGGACTCCGCGCTCCCACCCCGCTTTGACTCCGCACGCCTACCCCAGACCAAGAAGTGATAGTGGGGAAAGGGGATAAGTTTGTGCCGTGAAGACCGAACGAGTACGTGTGCCTCATACCCGACGTTCGGGTGAGAGGTTACCGGGCGGGCATCGAGGTTTTAGGAGGAAGGGCTCCGTTTCTGAGTATAAGAGGAGCTCGACATCAACATGTCAGACCGACTTGATTCCTCGTCCTTACACTCTCTTCTCATTATTCCTTCCAGGTGCTCGCCAAAATGCACTTCTGTCCCACCGTCCTCCTCCAGGCTGGCCTCTTTGTAGGCTTTCTACAAACCAGTGTCGCTTCACCCGCTCTTCCAGAACTCCAGCAGCGTGGTACTCCTTACGAAAGGGAGACTAGCTCAATTGCCGCCGAAGTTGATAAATTACTCTCTCGCATGACCTTTCTCGAGAAGCTCGCTCAGACCCGAAATATCGGTGGTATTCTGAACCCTGGCGTAACTTATGACGAGGAGTTCGTAGAGGCATTCAACAACGGCCTTGGTGGTGGCTCTATCTGTGAGTTTCAAGGCTTTTTGCCTCTTATTCACTGGGTTGTTAACTCGACCCAGCTCCCGGAAATTACCAGAACCCCGGCCCAGCAGCAGCAGCAGTAATCAATGAAGTTATCACCCGCCACCAGAGGCGAGACCGCAACAATATTCCAATGATAGTTGTTGCTGATTCCGTCAACGGCGTCACTTTACTCAACACAACCCTCTTCCCAGCAACTTTGAGTATGGCCCAGTCATGGAACATCGAGCTCTATTCGAAAGTAGTTGACTCCATGTCCAAGGAGAACCGAGCACTGGGGATCCACTGGGTATTGAGTCCTGAGCTAGATCTTGCCCTTGAGCCAAGATATGGACGGGTGGGAGAGATGTATGGAGAAGACAAATATCTTGTTGGACGGTTTGGAGTGGCCTACGTCAAGAACATGCAAGCGGAGGACTCTCAGGGGTATGTTCGTGTTGCTACGACCGTAAAGCGTAAGTATTTCTCTCTCAAAGTTTTACTAGATACAAATACACTGACGTTCTGTTTTATAGATTGGATTTTTGGCAACTCCCTAGCAGGAGTAAACCAAGCCCGTCTCCTCGGTGGAGTCAACGATTTCTACAACCTCTACATCTTCCCCTATTTGGAAGTCTTCAGAGAGACGAACCCTCTCTCCCTAATGCCATCTTACTCCTCCTTCGACAACATCCCCATGACATCTAACCTCGAATACACGCGAGATATCCTCCGCAACGAGCTCAAATTCGACCGCGTGATCGTCTCTGACTATGCCGCAATCCCCCAGCTGCAGAATAGACAACATACCGCAAAGAGTCTCCAGGATTGCGGAATCAAGGCCATAGCAGCTACTATCGATCACGAACTGAGCCCACCAGAGAGGTCTGGCATGTCTACCCTTGCGACGCTAGAGAAGAATCCAGCTATTGCGAAGGAAGTGCATGAAGCTGCCAGAAGGATGTTGACGTTGAAGTTCATTACGAAAACCATGGAGCAGCCGCTTGCGGATTTGAAAAATGTTAACAAGACGCTCAGAGGCGAGGAGGCTATGAAGCGGAACATGGATATCACCCGAGAGTCCATGGTTCTCTTGAAGAACGACAAGATCCTTCCTCTCAGCAAGTCATTTCTTTCCAAGGTCGCTGTCATTGGCCCTCTCGCCGATATCATTAACCCTGGTTCCTATGCTGCCAGCGACTACTCCACGGGAACGACGATATTAGAAGGCGTTCAAAAGATTTCGCCGAATGTTGTCTTCTCTCGAGGGTGTTTCCGAAATAACTATACGAACTTCGAACAGATGCGAGATGAGGCAGTAGCGAACGCCAGAAGTGCCAGCGTTGCAATTGTTGCTCTTGGCTCAGTCGCTGCCATTGTCGATGGGAACGTCAATGACCGTACCGATGGAGAGGCGTTCGACCATGCCGACCTTGATTTCCCAGGTCCTCAAGTGGAACTCTTGAAGGCCATTGTTGAAACAGGAACGCCAGTAGTCATGGTTATCAGTGGTGGCCAAGTCTTCACCTTGGAATACGCTGCTGCAAATGCCAAGGCTATCTTGCACACTTTCTTGCAAGGAGAGCTCGGTGGTGATGCTCTTGGAGAAATCCTTACAGGAAAGACAAATCCGAGCGGGAAACTCAGCGTTTCCATTCCTCGCCGGTCGGATATTCTGCCCATCTATTACAACCATATGAATACGGATAGAAAAGAAGTAGGCTGGCAGGTCACTACCGACTACCAAGCTCCCATTGTTGATCGACTCCCTCGTTACACATTCGGTTACGGTTTGAGCTACACTACTTTCAGTATCTCCGGCGTGTCTGTGACTGGCACAGTGTCTAAAACGGGGTCGATCAAAGTTGAAGCAACGGTGAAGAACACTGGAGCAGTCCGAGGCAAGGAGGTTGTGCAAGTCTATTTCAACCAATCTGCTCCTGAGATGGAAAGACCTATCAAGAACCTTGTTCGCTTCACGAAAACTGGTGATCTCGCCCCGGGCGAATCTACTCAAGTCAATTTCAACATTACCGTGGATGACCTAGGTTATTGGATCAACGGTAAGAAGCAAGTCGATGCTGACACTTATGGTATTATGGTCGGATCCAGCTCTGATGATGCTGATCTGAAGTTTTTCAACGTGATTGTGCAAGGCTGAGGACTTCTTGCATGCGGCAGCTGTCAAACTAACTTGTAAAGACTCCTATGCTTCCTTTTTTAGAGCCCTGGATTAGGGATGAATAACCTCGCAGTAAGGTTCCGAAATAGGAAGGTTGGCAGCTGACCGCGTGATGGTTCACGCTAAGGTGCAGCCCACATATATCATGTGGTTGCTTTATGGCAGGAACCCGACGTCTAACCCATCATGAAAAGATGGTGCGAACAAACCAACCGGCAAGACAAAATTAGTTCCAAGACAAATTCTAGGATTCTCTATAATGGTGGTGTTGAACCACAAGCCCATAGCCTGACCGACCGAATGTTGTTACTCTCGATAAAACTGCTTTCCTGTCTATTACTTAAATCCAGCACACTTAACAGTTTAACAAAGCCAGTTAACGCGCCAACACCCTAACCCCCTCAACCACCGTAAGCTCTTACTAGCCCAGTTGGTCAGGCGGTATACCTAGCAGCCCACGGTGACCCTTAGGGTTAGCGTGTCCCAGGTATATAGTACCATACTTTATATAATATAGTCCAAAGTTATCGTAGCTAGGGTCACGATATAGTTTATAGTAATTTATTTCTATAGTCGTAAGCTATAGGTCTAAACGGAAATACGCAAGTAAGTATATAGCTCTAGAGGATATTAATTAATTATACTTACGTTAGCCTCTAATTTATTATAGTAGGGGTGGTTCCCATAAAGTAGACCTAAGCTAGCACAAAATAGGGGATAGGTTATACTAGTGACTATCCGCCTAGTTAGGGATCCAGGACGTCAATATACGAGAGTCTAAGAGTCCTAACCATTTAAGATAGCAAGGACCAGCATAGATTAGCAGGCAACTTTTTCCTCCCAGGCAGCGGAAAGATACATAAGATTATTCTAGCTAGTTATTTCAAACTCATCATCTGATAAAGGGCATAGGTTAGTTAGAGCGATGCCGCCCTCCACCTTACGGTTTAAGGATAGTAACGGGAGATCAGCTCTACTAGTTCTCCTTAGTAGCCTATCCTTTCTACCCCGTGGCCCGTAATATCTATCGCCCTCGCCCAGGTCCTAGTACCACATTCAGCCGCCTTGAACAACCCTAGCCCGAGACCCGCGATACTAAGGCCTCTAATCATCCTATCCACAGACTACTAGAGGGCTATAAGCCTATCTATATTAACGTATACTCTAATACTTCTTTACTCGCCGGGGACAGTGACAAGCTTAACGACGAGGATGGAGGGACCAATAACTCTTCGCTTTCCAGGAACGAGCGTGAAGATAAGACTCTAGACCTAGAAATAGGTAGTAGAAATCATCTAAATAGCTTTAGCCTAAGGAGTTAGGCGGGGAATCAGGCGGGGAATCAGGCGGGGGAATACACTACGCCAGCCTTAAGCTAATTTCACCCTAGCCCTTAATTATAATAATAGTCTACTATTCACATCTATCTGTAAGGCTTTTCCGAAAATATTATAATAGAGCCTCCTTAACTTACCTAATAAGGTTCTAGTAACTATCCTTAGGATGCTTAACATCTAAAGCATCTTTCTAATTATATAGTCCTATAAAAGACTCTCTAACCTCCTTAAACCCTCTCTTATATCCTTTATAATTTAAACACATTCACTTAATTCTAGTAAACTTTATTTAATTTCTTTAACCCTAGTAAAGATTCTTTCTTTTATCTACTTAAACACTTATAATATTATTCTAATTCTTAAAATAGTAAGCTAGAAATTTAAGGAGCTTAGGCTATAAGAGCTTATTATCCTAATTACTTTATATCTAGTAGTAGATATAAAGGACTCTTAGAGCCTTAAGGAGGAAAGAGAGACTATTATACTACTTAAGTAGATACTAATATAAATTTATTCTATTAGATGAAAAATCACCTAATAAGAGTATTTAGCTTTAGGCTAGGCCCTTACTATAAAGTATAGCTAGGCTTTACTAGACTAATAAATTACCTAATATAATACTTATATAAGGCACTAAATTATTATATACGCTTTCACTAGTCTTAGATAAGTTATAGTAGCTTTCTAGTGACTTTAAAAAGTATAAAAGATATAAGCGCCTTCTTTAATTATACCTATATATAGCTTAGCTTAATAACTCTAGGATTACCTTTTATTATACTATAAGTACTATTAGGGAGTTTAAGTATAATATATAAGTATAAGATAGGCTTCTCCTTTTTACTATTTACTAACTACCTATAGATTTTAAACTAGTAGAGGGATATAATAGAAAGTAGTATAGAATTACTATATAATAAACTATAAGAAATATAGTAGATCTTTATATAGAGGTTAGAGAAAGACTTAATTATTATTCTAATTATAGAGTATAAAAATAATAAGGAGGATTATCATTATATAAAACTACTCCGCTAATATACTTATTAACCGGGAATAAGAATCATAGCTATAAGTGTTAGTAGCATTATATCTTAGTATATTAATCGAACTCTTTTAATGCCTTATAAATAAGATAGATCTTAGATAACCTATTATAGAACTCTGGCGGGGGTTTCTAGTTCACCTAGTTATTATATTCGATTTTACTTCTTATCTTACTCTTCTTTACTAGTCTTATGTTTCCTAAATGATCTTATAATAAGGTATTATCTAAGCGCTGCCTTTTCTTATTCTATAGTCTCACTATAAGAGATATCTATAGTTAATTAAAGTATATTAGAGGAAGGATAGAGCAAGAATAGTGGCTAATAATTATAGAGGTCGAAAATTATTATCATTTCCTATAGCTAATATGACCTCGAAAATTATTATCATTTCCTGTAGCTAATATGACCGTAATAAAATCAATCCCTATTACCTTTTATATATAAGATAAAGTTCCTCTTAGCTACTAGGCTCTATATAGTAGTTATATACTTATATATAATTCCTAGCGCTAGTATATCTAGAGTAACTACTAAAGTACCTTCTTAACTAGAATAATTAAAGCTAATTAGTATAATAATACTCTCTCTCTTAAGAAGAAGAATAAAAATAATTATTAGTCTATTAATTAATACTCTACTAAGACTTAAGTAGCTAAAACCTCCTAGTTTAATATATACTATTAAGGTAGTTAATTAAATTAAGCCCTAAAGCTTATTATACTATATCTAATAAGTAGAATAGGTAAAAATAGATAGATCTACTACCTATAAGCCTAAGACCCTTAATACCTAGGGGTTAATTATATATTTATATAAACCTATCTAGGTAGTCCCTTAGCGGCCTATAAGGGAATATAGGCTAGTTCTTCTAGAGGGCCTATTCCTCCTCTAACTTTAGGACTAATTATACTACTAGGTTTACTACTTAGTTAATATTATTAAATAGGAGGGCGGTCTACTTTAGTAGACCTAGAAGTTAGTGGATATCTTTAGGGCTTAAGAGGCTACCTATAGTAGGCGTAGTAGGTGAGGTGGAAGATACTGAGAATAGAGGGGTGATATAGGGGCTAGGCCTAGGGGCTAAGAGTATAGTAGGGCCTACTTAACCTCTATTTATTAGCATAGAAATAGGTAGCCCTATACTACTTATTAGAGATATTTAAGGTTAAGCTTAGGTTTATCTTAATTAAATAGGCTAAAGCTAGATATTAGGAGTCTAATAAGTATAAAGTTAAATTACTAAATATAAATTAGGTCTAGGGATAGTAGTTATTAAGGATAGCGTTTAAGCTTAGGATTAAGGCTAAATCTATAGCTAAGTCTATATCTATATACTAGCTCTAGATAAAATATAAAGTCTTTGTAGAGGCTAAGGTAGTCCCTAAGGCTAAGGTAGTCCCTAGGGTTAAGGTAGTCCCTAAGGTTAAGCTAGCACTAGATAGAAAGACTAGATTAAACTGTAGGAGTGAATCTAGGACTATAGCTCTACTAATTTCTAAGTTTAAATGGGAGACTATAGTAGTTTCTAAGGACTAAGATAGATTTATATTAGAAAATGGGGTTATAGCTAAGGTTAAGGCTAAGTATAATGCTAGGCTGATATTTCTAGCTAAGGTTAGCTATAAGCTTGGAATTATATCTTAGATTAGGGATAAGATTAGTCTTAAAATTAAGAGTTTAAGTGAATATTATATTATATCTAAGGGATAGTTAGTATATAAAGGTTAAGTCTTATCCTAGGCTAAGAAGCTATAAGAGATAGGTGCTATATCTTTAGTTAGGGCTAAGAATAAGATCTAGCCTATAGCTAATATTACATCTAGGCCTAATAAAAACTATATTTAGCTTATAGGGTGTAAAATATTAGTGTTTTAAACTATACTTAAGATAGAACCTAGCCCTAGAGTTAATACCCTTAATTATTATTAGGCCCTATTAGGGGATAGCTTATTATTTCTTAGGGTATAGTTCTATAGATATAAAGCTTGCTAACCTAGTGGCTTTATATGTGGGAGATTTAGCTGCTAGTAGTAAGCGTAGGGAATAAGCTCCTAACTAGTGAGGTTATTAAGTCTATAAACTATATCTAAGCTATAGTTACTAAGCTATTCTTAGGAGCTATTATTATCTTTCCTAGTTAAATAGATAGCTAAGAACTATTAGAATACTACTATAGCCCCTCTATATTTCCTATTATATATCTAGGATACTAGCTTCTAATATATAAGGTTTTAGGAACTATATAATATAGCTCTATTTCTTACTAATAAGGGACTCCCCTTACTATAGATATATTTTAGCTCTTAGGGGTTTTGCCTAGAGTTAAGGAAGTAGGAATAAGCTATCTTTCTATATTAATTAAAAGTCGCCTTAGGCTAAGTTTATTAGATATAGCTTAGTTCTCTAAAGGATTTCTAGGTCTATTACTATTAATACTTATTATATCTCTTACTAATGCCCCTAGACTACTATAGGATATATCTTTTACTAGCTACTCACCCTTATTACTTAAGTTAGATAAGATAGTCTAGATTAAGACTACTCTTATAATAATAGGTAGTAGACTTTAGCTTCTTTTCCTAATTAAGGGTAT